GGCCTGTTGCAGCCTCTTCCTGTTCCTGAGATTCCATGGTCCCACTTATCCATGGACTTTATTGTAGAGCTTCCTAGCTCTGCTGGGTTCACTACTATTCTCATGGTTGTAGACCGATTTTCTAAGATGGCTCAATTCATTCCTCTCAAGAAGTTGCCATCTTTGCAAGATTTGGTCCTAATTTTCATACGTGAAATTGTCCGTTTGCATGGCATCCCCCACAATATTGTGTCTGATAGGGGCTCTCAGTTTGTGTCCAGGTTCTGGAGGGCGTTCAGTAAACAATTGGGATTGATCTCTCCTTCTCCTCCTCCTACCATCCACAGACCAATGGTACAGCTGAGAGGGCTAACCAGTCATTAGAAGTTTATTTGCGTTGTTTTATTTATAGCACACAAGACAATTGGTCCGAACTACTCCCGTGGGCCGAGTTCGCTAGAAACAATGCTGTTCATGACTCCTCTGGGCACAGTCCATTTTTTGTCAATAATGGTAGGCATCCTACGGTTCTCCCTGTGGTATTTTCTGATACTGCCATTCCTGCTCTGGATGAGCGTCTGGCCTCCATTAGGGATACCTGGGTTAAGGTTCAAACTGCTCTAGGGGCTGCTGCTGAACACTTCAAACATTTTGCTGATAAGCGTAGGAGTGCCAACCCGGTGTACCAAGTGGGGGACCGGGTTTGGTTGTCATCTCGCAACATCAAGCTTAAGGTCCCTAGCATGAAGTTTGCCCCCAGATTCCGTGGTCCCTATAGAGTGCTTCGTAGGATCAATCCAGTGTCTTACTCTCTGGCTCTTCCTGCATCTTTAGGGATTCCCAACACTTTTCATGTGTCCTTACTCAAACCTCTTGTCTGCAATAGATATACTGTTCCTTGTGTTCCTCCCCTCCGGTGGTGGTGGGTGGTCAGGAAGAGTATGAGGTATCTTCTATCGTGGATTCTAGGTTTTCTCGGGGCACTTTACAGTACTTGGTTGTTTGGAAAGGTTACGGTCCTGCTGATCGTTCTTGGGTTTCGGCTCCTGACCTGCATGCGGGCCGTAAGATCCGCGCTTTTCACGCTAAATTTCCTCTCAAGCCTGGTCCTGTCCGCCCGGTGGGCGTTCTTCAGGTAGGGGGTAATGTCACGTATTCATCCGCTTATAGAAATGTGGTTAATGACATTTACTGTCCACACAGGAAAAGTTGTGCCGAGCAGCAACCTAATCCACAGAAGGTTTAATGCTGAACAGTAATTGTGCAAATGAAACCTGGTCTCAAGTATTCATCCGCTTATAGAAAAGTGGTTAATGACATTTACTGTCCACACAGGAAAAGTTGTGCCGAGCAGCAACCTAATCCACAGAAGGGTTAATGCTGAGCAGCAATTATGCAAATGAAACCTGGTAACTGACTTTGGGGTCAAAGGCCGGTTACAACCTATCAGAAAGAAAGGAGGGGTATTTAGGCCAAGTTCTCAGCCTGCTCAGTGCCCTGTCGTGGTTTCCCTTGTGGTTGTCCGAGAGCGCGTTCCTGTTTATAGTTTTCTACCTGGTTTTTGACTTTGGCTTTGTTTATTGACTTCTCTATATTCTGGTATCCTGACTCCTGGCTTTCCTCATCGCTGTGTCCCTTTCTGTGTTCCCTGACCTCGGCTAGTATTTTTGACTATTCTTTGTACGTTAAATCCGGCCATTCTAAGGACCGGTAATACGTTACTTATTTGTCATCCGTGCTGTACAGTTCTACGTGCTGGATCAAACAGTAATCCTGACATATTTCCTCCCAAATTGCGGTATCACAGATATTTACCAATTACATAAAATGAGAATTAAAAACAGAAAATTTGTGCACTTTGTTTTGTTGTTGTACAAGCAAAATTAAAGGAGGTATACTCACGTAAGGAGAGCAAAAAAATTGTTTTTTGGTTAAGCGTGTGTAGCGTAGGATGTTTTCTCCCCACCAAGGAGACATCCTCTGGATTAAATCTTCAGGGATAAAATTAGGAAGGTCCAGGTAAGGTAAAAAAAACAAAACTAGTTTTATTTAAAACAAAGACAATAAAACCAGTGACCTAAAAACAGTAACGTGTTTCACCCAAAGTGTTTTTATGTAATTGGTTTGAATGCGTTAATGGTTTTTCTTTGTATTTTTTTCTGGCTTTTTTTTTTTCATTCTTTATTTTTTGTCATTAACCATGAGGAGATTTCACAAGCTTGCAATCTAACATTAGACATTCTGGTTGTGCTATCAAACAAGGTCATTGTCAGAAGGATAATATCATGGTGAATGATTTTTTTTTTAAATGATAAAAGTAAAAGAAATAACAGAATACCTATATGAAATACAAAACGAGTGGATGAGGTCATGAGAGGAGTACAAGAATTAACCATTAGTGAGGGTACCATAGTCAAATGGGGGGGATCCCTGTCCAAAGTTGTAATGTCAGTAAATGCTTAAAGAGGTGGTAGGGAGGGGGTGTTATGGAATTGTTGCCCCTAGCTTAGAGCTGACTCTGATCGGCCCGTAGGCCTGCAAGCCACAAGGGCTGGATATTGGGTGAGGTAGTCTAGGCTAACGAACTATTTACACATGAAATACAAATAACCTGATCTCAGCTATACGTGAATAGCCATATGTGGCATGCTAAGATAAGGAAAAAAAACTGGTTTTTGGTGGTGGGGGTGGTAAACCTGGAGGAAGTGCATGGGATACAGGACTGCAGTTCATGTCACTTCAAGTCGCCCCTCTTGCGGCTTTTTGGCACTTGAATGTGCGGGGGAAGAATAGCTGTGATAAGCCTGTTCCGTCCGTTCTTGGTGGTGTATTCAGGCCCAGCTGTAGTCTGGAGTCCAACTCCTGCAAAGTCTTCACCCGGTGCAAAGTGACCTGATGAGTAAAGATGAGTATTCTTGGAAGCCCCAATCTGTATTGGAGATTCTGTCGCCGGAGGATTTGCAGGAGTGGTTGTAGGGCCCTGCACCATGCAATGATGCTTCGGGTTAGGTCTGGGAAGAGCATGAGTGAAGAGCCTTCAAACAGGAAGGCAGATTATTGCTGCGAGGAGGATGGCCCTGTCTTGAATGGACTGGAAGCGGATGATCAGGTCGGTGTGTGCCGCTGGTGGTGCCGTACCCGGCTTTGGTAACTGGAACATGCTGTCTAGTTTTAATGCCTTGGCCTGCTTTGGTGGTAACAGCGTGGTGAGCAGGCAGCGGATAAAATGTGGCAAGTCGTGTAGGCTTACAGTGTCAGGTACACCATGGATCTTCAAATTGTAGTGTCGTCTCTCATCTTCGGTGGTGTCTATTCTGTTGATAATGGAATTTTGTTGTGTATGGAGTACACCAACTTGCTGCTCCAGTGAGGTGATTCTAGAGTTCTGGGTGGTCGAGGAGGCCTCCAATAGGGTTAGTCGGGAGGTGGCACCTTCAATAGCATATTTGATGAAGGCCATGTCAGCCGCAATATTCGTCTGCTGCTCTACCAGCATTCCTTTCAGTTGGTCTGCCGTGACTGGTTCCCCCAGAGAGGGTATCTTGGTGTTAGACATATTTGGTAGTTTGGCCACAGCTCCCTCACCTGGGTCGGAAGATATGTCCTCTGAAAAGCATGAGGATTCATCTTCTCCCGTTGCCATTTTGTCCCATTTTGGTGATTTTTGGCTGCCTCTCTGCAATTCTCCAATATCACAGCTCATCAGGCCCTTGTCCGCTCTCGTTTTTTTGTTTTTCTGTCCCATAACCTCCTACCCCAGCTGTTGAGCCGGTTTCTAGCTAGTTGGGCCCCCGTTTTCCACCTTAAATCTGCCGTTGTCAGGTTATGTAGCACGGAGCTCTCCAGAGCACGTCTGCTCAGTTGCACTGATAGCTCTGTTCCCCGCGTTACTAATATGTTTTTGGTTTTATTATCTTTGTTTTAAATAGAGGCGCCTTAGAATTTAGGGCCTACAGGTTCCAGATATGTAAATTTAACCCTGACCACAATGCTCCCCTACTGGATATCTAAAGATCCAGCTCTACAGGGTACTCTTCACTGGTTTGCAAGGGATAACACCCCTCCTCTTAAAAGCTAAACATGAAATGAAAAAGCCTCACTCAAGACAATACACAACACAGCCTCTCCCGCACACATACACAGCACTCAGCCACGCTCAGACTCCCCTACCATATAGCTCTGTCTACTCTACACACTCAACACTCAGTCACTACACACAGCATCGAGCACAGGACACTAAGAAAGTTCCCAAATCTGGCATCCAGTATAAGGCAATCTTAATACAGATGTATGTGTGTGTGTACGCGCGTGTGTGTGTATAATATACCCCTCTAATTTTGCCACCTCAAAACTCCTTAGTGCCATTATTTTCTCATAATCATATCAAGATGACCTCTATCACTAATTATGTTGTCCTGAGTCTAGTGCCATCCCAGGTCATCTACCACAGCCCCGATGTTCCTGAGTAAAACCATAAACTGTTCTAGAGGTAAGAATACTTACACAAATACATTTTACTCAATAAAAACAGGTCATTTCCATTTAATGTTTATTATGCTATAAAATAGGCAGTTTGTGACCTTTTAGAAACTTTCTCCCAGCTCTGAGAACCCATCCAGGCCATGTTCTCATTAGTTTAATTAGCATGTAGTCTGCAGGAGGTTAAGAGAGAGCTGAATCAAAAGAATATTTGAGCATCCCTAGCTTTCGGCTCACTCATTCATTCATAGAAAGACAAAAAAAGATAGTTCAGAGTTATTTTTCTCCAGTTATAGCTAACGAAATAACACACTAAAGAAGAAACCAGGTGAAAATAGTAGAAGTACCAGACATTCCTACAAGATTTTTGCTCAGGGCTAAAAGCAGTACACTTTTACTAGTACTGCAGTGACTGTGTGAGCCGACATCCAAATACTTTCCTTAATTTAAAGGCGTAGTTTACAGAAACAACAGGATCCTGAATGGAGGAAAAAGTCACCTAATGCCTTCTTATATTCAGAAAAGGCTCCACACCCCTGTCAGCCACCTATCTTTACACAAATAGAAGAGAGATCAGTGTGTGTAGACGTATACAGAGGAGTAGGAGGTCTCACTGCACAGTGTGCACAGTGTATGTGACTGCTCGGTCAGGACATAACCATGGCAGCAATGTGTCTGAAGTGCTGGATTTAATGAGCTCCGAGGGTAAGATCCGAGGAACAATACAGACAGCTGGTTAAAGGATCTTCACGGAATGTAGAAAGATTTAAGGTGGATTCTCAAGAAAGATCTTTCACCTGCCAGCTGTAGAAGTTTCCATTCCGTCAGTAAGAAAGAGAGCACACAGCAATGTCTGGTGAGTTATAGCACATGCACCTGTTGCTTTCAGAAGCACCTTTTCTTTTCGTTTTACGGCAGATGTTGGGTGTTCTTCATTAGTTGATACTGTCTAGAAATTAATATTGAAAAAAATGGAGCTTCCAAAAAATGAAGGAGAAATAAGCGATTGTGAAAAAGGGATCTCTAACAAAAGGGTGTGCTGCTATAATTGATTAAATAACTGCGTTACAAGCAGTATAGAAACTTTATAGATTGCCAAGATTCTACCATTGTTCTTTTCTCCTTAGTAGGCAATAACGTAGCGCCTGACCTTCCGATCTATTTAGGGATTTTTTTTCTTAGGTTTGTTACCTTCTGGAGAGTTTTCTACTGATGCTGTGTTTAATTTTTATACACATAGTATCAACTTTACCTCCTAATCCCCAGGGGCATCTCCTGTCCAGATAATTAGCTTGTTTTTCGGCCCATTTAACCCATAATTTATCATTTTTGCCTTAGAGTTTGATTCACCAAGTAATATGATGTAAATGTGGTATTTTTTCTACCATAAAAATAACGCAATAAAGCATTATTGGCTATTGTTTATTGGTATATTTGGGTGGGCTCCCTTTATCACTTGTCCTTCTCTACATTTTAGTAATTGTGAAACACAGAAACATAGAATGTGACGGCAGATAAGAACCATTCGGCCCATCTAGTCTGCACAGGTGGTTCACATATACACATGGTAATATGTTCAATCATATATAAGTTAATAATGGATTTATGCTTTTACACATTTTTAACGTTAGGGATTTTTTTTCCTAGTACTCCCATCGTGAAGAACTATTTTTTTTATTTTATTTTTTATATGATGTTTTGTGTTAGAAATAAATAATGATCTGGATTTGTTTTGCACCATCACTGTACTCACATCTAAAAATCGTTACAGATTACAGAGAATTATCAAAGAATGTTATTGACTAAACTCTGAATTGTAGTGAAACATAGAAACATAGAATGTGACGGCAGATAAGAACCATTTGGCCCATCTAGTCTGCCCAATTTTCTAAATACTTTCATTAGTCCCTAGTCTTATCTTATAGTTAGGATAGCCTTATGCCTATCCCACGCATGCTTAAACTCCTTTACTGTGTTAACCTCTACCACTTCAGCTGGAAGGCTATTCCATGCATCCACTACCCTCTCAGTAAAGTAATACTTCCTGATATTATTTTTAAACCTTTGTCCCTAGTGGACTGCTATCAAAACATATGCAAAAAGCTGATTTCCAATTCCAAAAAAGCTACACATTTTATTTATAGCTACAAGCCATATTTACCAAAAAAGTTTAAAATTCTATTACAATTTGTATTGCATAGAAATATTTGCCCTGTGTTTAAAAAGGCACTATTTTAGAGTAATGATTTTGGTGTGAGACTATAATTATTTGAGATTGCACAGTTCTAATGCAGAGCTCTTGATACCATCAGGGTTATTCAATGAACTAGGAACGGACTATAGATTGTTAATTGTAACTAATTATAGCGGGGTTGAATAATTTTCTAAATTAGCCTTATTTTGTTTTTACATTTGCAATTCATTGATTAATTTTGGATAATTATGGTTTATTGAAAAACCTTTGGGGAATTATAAACAAGCAGTGACAATAAGTCAGCTGGATTGTTTACCAGCTGTGCTGTTTTAGTCTCCGTTTCCAATATATTACAATTCACTGTTTGGTATTTAAAAAAAAAATATATACTCTTCCATTATCAGAATTATCCACTGAAGTCCTAACTGCAAAATCTAAACAGTTTTTCATACCAATTAACAGTGTCTGAATTTTACAATCCTGGCTCTAGATGACCCGTAATTTTGTCTGGATTTCAACCTGTCCGGGTGTGACCTAATAGCTCGAATCAGGAACTAAATATGGGTCTGGATTGTAAAATCCAAAGTAGTTGCCTAGCAGCCAGCAGGCAAATAATTAAATACCCCCTGACACATAAGTGTTTGTTAGTTGGCCAACTCTTTCTAGCCAGATATTTAAAGAAAAAAGTAAAAATTAATGAATAATGCAAGCATATGAGGGTCAGTAGTATGAGGGTCATATAACTAAGTGGAGTATATAATTTCTCCCTTATTCCCCCATCCATCATGGGGTTATATCTAAACAGTAGGTCATCAGCAGCTGCACAATCATGAATACTCCATCGCCTGGGTTATGGGATTGGGTGTTTACATAACACATAATAAGAGTAAATAGGGATCTTTGGTCCCTCTTTACACCCCACTGCCTAGCAGTTAGGTGTTGAAAATTAGGGATTGGGCAACTATTGGTGTCCATTTGCTTAAGTCCTTATCCAATTTAGCTGTGGGATGGGGGTTGTAGTGAATTTGGGGAAAAATTCCAATAATTTCCTTGGCACTATTCATAGGTATTAGATGGGAGATAAATTATTATAGCAGGGAACATGCCACCTGTCCCAACGAGGGGGCACACCAGTTGTTCCCCCACGCTTCCACCGAAGGACACTGGACTGAAGGTAATAAAATGATAATAAGGTGTTGACATGTTGCTTATCCCCCTTCTCTACCCCAACACATGGTCAATGGGTTGGAGCTAAATAGTAATAGAGAAGTGGACATTGCAGTCAATCCCCCATGTACATTGTGTTGTGGGTATTAATAAAGTAAAGGAAGTGACATGCCAGTGTCCAGCCCTCTAGTCTCTGGGTTCTGCCTTCAATAACTCTCCTTGGGTAGCTGGGGTCCCCAAGACCCTAGCTACCTCCTTACCCCTAGATGCTTGCATGTCTGTTCCCCCATACTAGTTATACTGAGGGGTCCAATAAATCTAATACACTTTAAAAAATGTGGCCCCAAAATGGCCAAATAATAGACAAAGCAGCTATTAAAACAAACATTGATGCACAAATTTAAATCAGTGTGAGCTCCACTTTGAGGGCTCCACTCCAACTAAACATGCAAGATGGGAAAGGACTTCATAAAGGCCTTCCCATGCTTTATGAGCCAGCTAGACTGCTGTGATTGACAGCTTAGAAACCAACTAATCGCATCGCTCTGGTGGGCAAGTCTCGCCTCATAATGTCGATCTATCTAGAGGCATTTTGACATGTATCCTGTGACACTTTTATAGTTTCTGTTCTGACAGAATTCTTTACCGAGACCATGTCTTCTTTAAGTTTGAGTTACTGGTTACAAATTAAAATGAAATCCATCATGGTATACCATTTGCAATCAACACCACAGGGAATTTGACGTAATGTTAGTTTGAGTGGAACTACGAGGCCATTTAATCACCAATTTTGAAATGAAAATTATCTGTTTGAAACCTTGATGCTGTGTCAGGGGCATGAGGCTGTGTCAGATGCCAAGATATATATCTGTAAAATACCTTGTCATGACAGTAAAAACTATTTTATTCTAAGAACTTAAAAGAACATTATTCTGTACTCTGCCCTTGGGTTTTTACGTCCAAGATGCATTACCTTGCACTTATCCACATTAAATGTCAGTTGCCACGACAATTCATATCTGAGGTCTACCAGGTGCTGCTCCTTCTCAGACAGAGACTGAGCTCACTGGCTGAGAGCAGTCTGGTTTAGTTCTCAGTCAATGAACTTGACTTCAACTTCAGAGCTCTCACCGTGCCATCCAGACTGCCAGGCGTAGTCGCCCCAGAAGTGCCCAACAGGGGATTTGAACATGGGGGCCTTCTGCATCCTAAGCCTAAGTTCCTGTCTCCTGAGTCACTTCTGAACTTTGGTTCTAACCTTATTTTCCTGGCATTGCCTGCAGCACTATTATTATTATTATTATTATTATTATGATATTTATAGAGCGCCGTCAAATTCCGCAGCGCTTTACAATGGGTGGACGAACAGACATGTAGTTGTAACCAGACAAGTTGGACACACAGGAACTAGGGGGCTGGACATCACCAGTGGCTCCTACCTGTCCATCTAAGTTCACCTGAGGCAGTTCACTCATTAGCTGGGCATAAAACACTGCCCCTCTCTGAGAACGTGGTCAGTTTGTTGTTTCTTGTATCCTGTTTCCTAAGACTGACTTGGCTTGTGACCCTTTCTGTTTGGGTTATTCGTTATTGCCTGTTCACTGCCTGCCCTGACTTTTGGAACCGTGTCTAAATACTTTACTGGATTTGCCCTTGTCTGTTTCCACGTACCTAGGTACTGTTCCTGCCTAAGCCCCCGTGCACAGGTTCACAGTCCTGGAGCTTTCTAACCTTATCACCTTGGGCTATGTATATCTGCAAGGGTGAGCACAAATCTCTGCTCACCGGACTCCCAACTAAGGTAAGCCGTGACATAACGAACTGACCATCATGGAGTCCGCAGACATGTGTAAGCTGCTTACCCAGCAAGTGTCCAGCCTGGCCCAGACTGTTTAGGAGCTACAGCGAGATGTTCAATTTCTTAAAGGAATAGTATGCCCAGCCCCTGAACCTGCCTATCCTAAACCGTTCGTCATTATGCCTGAGAAATTTGATGGTAGCCGTACATCCTTCCAGCACTTTAAGGTGGACTGCGAATTGTTGTTTTCCTTGAAGCCTCGGACTTATGCTACCACCTTCATAATGATCAGAGCGGAAATGCTATCAACCTCCTGTCTGGATGGATCATAACATGGGCACACCAGATGTTGCAGGCTAAGAGTCCTGTCCTTGACAGTTGGGATTCCTTCATGACTGCTATGGACTCAAAGTGCAAGACCTCTAGGAAGACCGCTGTGCCAAAGCCTGCTCCACGTCCCAGATTCCTAGAACCAGGGATAATCAGTACCAAAACTACTCCCCTGTGTTTCCTCCTTATGATCTGGTTCCTAGGAAGACTCCAGAGGTATCCTATGTTCCTCTTGACTCTGAGGAACCTATGGAAATAGGACTAGTCCAGCTCAAAGTCACTCATGAAGAAAGAGACCGGAGGAGAAGCCATGGTCTTTGTTTTTACTGTGGGAAAGGGGTCACTTCATCTCTCATTGCCCTGTTTGCCTAACTAGGCCTCCAGTTCTCCGATTGGCTACCACCTTTCTTTGTCCTATGAGCTCTGCATGCCAGCCTGTAAAACCTCAAATACGCCGACATGCCTGTCTGTGCTTAGCCTCCCTGAGAAATTCTCCATGTCTTTCTCCAGAGATGTCTGCACCATCTCCTGAAAACACTCATGTTAAAACCGGTACCATCACCACTTCCTGCCTGCTCAAAGATCTACCTTCGGATTGTACCTATGCCTCTAATGGTACTAAAGTCCGCATAAAGGATTTGGAAACGTTTGAAAAGGTGTTGCAAGACACAAACTCCATTCCTGTTGATGTACGTAAGGAGAAAAGTTCAGAGGATGTGCATCTACCTTTTGGCACCTCTGGTGTAGGACTAAGTAATCTGCCTTGACATGGCAGGTGAGCTTACACTTTTTATGACTATTATAGAAGTAGCAAAAACCTTTATTTAATAGTGTGCATTGCAGGCAGGTAATATGTTTGGTTTTGCTTTGTTAGGGCTGAATACTAGAGCCATTGCTGCCACCCATGAGAAGTGGAAGTTTGAGCATCGGGTTATGTCTGGTTTTATCATTTATGGTTTTTTGTATGGATACTCCATTCATGGGTTCTCCAACTTGACTGTTGTGATAAGGTGAATGGGGTGGTCTGTGAGGGAGTTTATATTTCATCTACATTGTTCAGAGAGGCATATGATCTTTAACCCCAGGGGGAATGTATGTATGTATGTGACTTAAATGCATATTTAGTTATGGCCCCCTGGGGTGGAGCATTTGGAGAGAAGGGTGGGCCAGTGCTCCACTCCACTATTTACTGTTTTCTCTTGGGAGACTAGGTCCAGACCAGGCTTTGGACTGTCTCCAACCCACTGCTCAGCTGCAGGTAATCAGCTGCAGCAGTGGGAATAAACCCCTCCCTGCTAGACAGGTGGGGAGAATGTTTGTTTATTTCTCTCCTGAAGGGCTGGAAGCAGCAGGCTGTCTAAAACACTGGAATGCTGAGAGCTGACAAAGACGCTAGGTTGGTGAAACCACTTCTTGTTTTGTTCTAGATTAAACCCTTGAGAGAGAGAGGGAACTTGATGTCAGTTAGTGCTCAGACCGAGCTAGGTTTTTGTTTATAGGATTTTGTTACATTTTTGTTTTCATTTGCTGCTGTAGCTGTGGTGGAGTTTGACAATAAAACTGCCTGAATTATATGCAAACCAAAGGACTGTGCCTGTTGTTTACCCTAGAGGACCGTGCTACCTGCAGACAAGGATGACATGTGTAGAATAAGGGAATTTACAGAAGAAGCTCTTCCGTTTACCACTACTCTCTAAACCAGTGGTAGTCAACCTTTTTCTACCTACCGCCCACTAATGCATCTTTCTTGATGGAAAAATTTCCTTACCGCCCACCAGTTTTCGCGCAAGTGCAGAATATTTTTTAGAAAGGAGGGTGTTTTAAAAAAAATAAATAAATGTACTGCGTACATTTTTTTTTTTTTATTTCTACTTAATGCATGTTTATAATGTTTTTAACTTTATAAAGTTTAATGAGAAAACAAGAAAGTAAATTGAAATTACCTTTACTAGTGATTAATGAGATCCTTGAGGTTGATGCTGCGAGACTAAATATTTGATATCTGGTTTGATTTTCGTAAGGAACAAACGAAGGTCTCCTCTTTCGGTGATATTCAGACGACTTCTCTGTTTGCGCATAATTTGATTTCTCATCTATGCATCAGCTCCCCTCTTCTCCCTCCTCAATTCCCTTCCCCACCTTTTTTTTTTTTTTTCCTTTTTTCTTTTTTTTAACCTTCCTTATAGCAATACATACAAACAGGCACACACATACATACAGACACACACACACACACACACACGACACAGACACACACACACACACATACACACACACATACAGACAGACACAAGACACACATACATACAAAGACACATACACACACAACACATACATACAAAAACAAGACACACATACATACAGACAGACACACACACACACACACACAATATATACATACAAAGACACACACATACACACAAAGACACATACATAAGACACACATATATACAAAGACACAGACACATACACATACATACAGACAGACACACACAAGACATACAGTTGCAAGAAAAAGTATGTGAACCCTTTGGAATGATATGGATTTCTGCACAAATTGGTCATAAAATGTGATCTGATCATCATCTAAGTCACAACAATAGACAATCACTGTCTGCTTAAACTAATAACACACAAAGAATGAAATGTTGCCATGTTTTTATTGAACACACCATGTAAACATTCACCGTGCAGGTGGAAAAAGTATGTGAACCCCTAGACTAATTACATATCCAAGAGCTAATTGGAGTGAGATGTCAGCCAACTGGAGTCCAATCAATGAGATGAGATTGTAGGTGTTGATTACAGCTGCCCTGCCCTATAAAAAAGACACACCAGTTCTGGGTTTGCTTTTCACAAGAAGCATTGCCTGATGTGAATGATGCCTCGCACAAAAGAGCTCTCAGAAGACCTACGATTAAGAATTGTTGACTTGCATAAAGCTGGTAAGGGTTATAAAAGTATCTCCAAAAGCCTTGCTGTTCATCAGTCCACGGTAAGACAAATTGTCTATAAATGGAGAAAGTTCAGCACTGCTGCTACTCTCCCTAGGAATGGCCATCCTGTAAAGATGACTGCAAGAGCACAGCGCAGACTGCTCAATGAGGTGAAGAAGAATCCTAGAGTGTCAGCTAAAGACTTACAAAAGTCACTGGCAAATGCTAACATCCCTGTTAGCGAATCTACAATACGTAAAACACTAAACAAGAATGGATTTCATGGGAGGATACCACAGAGGAAGCCACTGCTGTCCAAACAAAACATTGCTGCACATTTACAGTTTGCACAAGAGCACCTGGATGTTCCACAGCAGTACTAGCAAAATATTCTGTGGACAGATGGAACCAAAGTTGAGTTGTTTGGAAGAAACACACAACACTATGTGTGGCAAAAAAAGGCAAAGCACACCAACATCAAAACCTCATCCCAACTGTGGTTTGGGGCTGGTTTGGGGCTGCTTTGCTGCGTCATGGCCTGGACGGATTGCTATCATCAAAGGAAAAATGAATTCCCAAGTTTATCAAGACATTTTGCAGGAGAACTTAAGGCCATCTGTCTACCAGAGAGATACTAATTCTTTTCCCACTGTGGGGATGAGCAAACGAGTTTGCCGGAATCATATGGCTACAGGTCACACAGCCACTGCATCTATAGCATCCTGGTTTCTTGTACGTTGTATTTTTCTTATAACACTGGATAGGATCACTACTGATCAAAATGTCTCTTAAATTTCTGTTCCTTTTGTAACTAATAATTGGATTTTTGCAAAACATTGAAGACAGATGTTTATCTGAGCCTAATATAGCCCAGTGTCTATCGATTGCTTTCCGTATGGACTCAATGACTACAATACATACTCGATGTATACAACCTTGGTATAAGGTTGTATTGTATTTGGCATAGTAATATTGACTGGATGTGTCATCCACAGCTAAGATCTATTTGTCTTTATATAACAGATCCATTGTGGGTGGGCACTTATGAGTAAGTAGGCACTTATGATATCGTGTGCCATGTTATTCTCATGGAATTGTACTAGGCACCCTAAGTGCCTTATTCCCACAGGGACGATCTTTTTATACCCTATAGGTAGCCTCCCTAGAATAGGCATTTTTATATACTCAGATCCCTGTTACACATCACTGCTGGGATCACATGGGTCACATGATCGCTTCCGGGTTTCAGACAGCTGGCGGTGTTTCCTCTTTCCTACACACCTGTTGGTAAGTTATTAACATTTATTTTTTGTATATATACTTACCTCATTCACTGTTTATTTGATCTTGAAGAAGACCCTGTGAGGGTCGAAATGTCGATTGCTTAAGATTTGCACATGTAATTTGCACTAAAGAATAAATTAGATTTTGGATGTGACCTGTGAGTGCTCCTTATATATTGATTTTTTTGCTATATGGTAAACGCTGAGGATTGCACCCAGGCAAGGATTGATTATTTTTGGAAACAGTAAGGGTGAGTGCCAAGGTTATATATATATATATATATATATATATATATATATATATATATATATATATATATATATATATATATGTATGTATATATATATATATATATGTATGTATATATATATATATATATATATGTATGTATATATATATATATGTATATATATATATATATATGTATGTATATATATGTATATGTGTGTGTGTATATATATATATTTATTTTATTTTAAAACGTTTAATTTTTTTTTTTTAATACTTCCCACCAGCAGGGGGCCTGTCTGACATTTCTGACATAGCACGCCCGCCATCCTTAAGGGGTTAAAGGCTAAAGTTCTACACCTCTGATATATAGTCTTCTATATAATCTACTAACCTGAAATTGACTTCACATATTGATTATTATGATTTATTTCACTGATCAAACTCTTTTCTGAAAGAAAAGTGAGTACTTGACTGACTTGCTTTCATCTGACAGCATTGATTAACTATGAGAAAAATGGGTTGTTGTGGATGGACATTCATACAGTGCATTCACTGTTAATTAATAACCTGTCAATGTCTCTTTCTTCTTATTACTTAAAGCGGCACTGTCACCCTCCCCCCCCCCAAAAATGAACATTTTATAAAGATAGAATCTTTATGAATTATTTACATTGACTGCGTTGAAATTTTACTGAGACAAAATACTGAGTGATACAGCTACCACAGTCAAGCTGTATCACTTCTCCCAGCCGTTACTAGTGACAGGTGTAGGTGTCCCGTGTGGCGGTCCAGAGACCGGGACCCAGTATGCCTGAAGATGGTAGGAGTTACAGTGTGTAAATGAACAGTCAAGGTCCGGTGCAGGGTAACCACACATCCCCTGGTGTTGAGCACCAGGGTTTGTGTGGTCACATACCAGGACCCTGAAGCAGCTACTATGGATCCCAGGAGCTTGATAATATGCAGATATGTATCTAGTACTAAAAATAAGACAAGACTAGAATAGGCACCAAACAAAGTAACAAGGAAAGACTAGAAGAAACCATAACCGGAGCAGGACCAAAAGCAGAACCCAGAAATGTACACAAGCCATGAGGGAAACAACAACAGGACATGGACAAGGCAGGACAGAACTGTACATGAACTGGGAATGCAAGACAAAATAAAACAAGAGAAGAGATACAAGGAAAAACAAGAGGAGAAATAACTAAGTACTATATATGCAATAAACATTGGAGATTTAGACATACATAAATGTCCAAGATGTATGCAGTCCACCACTGCGCCAAAGTACTCCAATTAAGGTGGGTCCTAACTGCCTAGTTATGCATGACCAAAAGTACAATAATAACAGACACAGTACTTACCTGCAAGGAAAGCAGCAGAAGAATGAGACCACTGCTAGCAGGAATACTGAAACAAAAGGATAAATGGCAAAGGAATGGGTGTAGCAACAAAAAAAAAAAACACTTAAGGGATTCCAGGAGACTGGGATTTCAAGGAAACGGGATAAAGGAATGAACCCAGAAAACTCAGCAAAAAGAAAACCAGGCATAGAACAGAGAACCAGAAAAAAACAAGAAAAACTAAATAAGAATTGTAAAAAGAGTTCTGGATACCAGAAGCCATGGCCAGAAATGATCCACAAACAGGAACAGGCTATGACAGTAGGGAAAGTAAGTGAGAATACAGCACTGATATTAACTCTTGGCATCGTTAGCTCTATGAGCTGAAGAGGTGCAGCAGACAGAAGATGGTGGTGCCCGTAAGGGACAGGTTCAGGTTCACGGCCACCAGACCCGCAGTGGCTATGTCACCGTCAGGGGTCTCTGCAAATTATGCATAGACCTCCAGACGGTGACAATTCAACTTTAACTAATGTCAATAAATTAGAGATGTTTACATAATATTATATATGGGGAACGTTTTTGTTTTTAGCAAATCAGTACATTTATACTTAGTAAAATCATTCGAAAATATTTTTTGGGGATCCTAGGAACATACAGTTGATATTTGAAATGTGGATTTTCAGTTTTCGTTTGGATTCAACCAATCTCAGGTAGTGTATACATTGAGATTTACAAGTTTATTTACTAAAGTGAGAATTTAAAGTGAATTCAAAATAAATTTCAAATTTAAGGCTAAAATAGCTGAACTGAAAACATAGCTGACTTGTTCCTGTTTGGCTATTATGACCTTAGATTTGAAATTCAATTTCATTTCACTAATTTTCAATTCAGTAAATAGTATGCCATTAAACTGGTTGATAATAAAAAAAACAGATCCAGGATTTGTAACTTTCCTGGTGACAGCTGCCCTTTCCCTTGTCTCAATAAATGCAATTGAATGGTTTAATTTGGTGAGAAGTGCAGTAAATTAAAATTTAAAAGTACCTATTTATACAACATTTTCATGTGTAGATGCTTCCACCTTCCTATGATGCTCCGAGATCTCATACATACTTGAGTAGAGTGCTTTGCCAGCAGTGTGCTCATGGCCATTCTTTCCACAATGCTTAATCTGCAAACAATGTTCATGCTCCACATTCCCAGTGTCACGGTTCCGGAACCAGACACAAGGACAGATCACGAGAGGAACAATTGCAATAACGGTCCTTAGAGTGGCCGGGCTATGCAAAAGGAGAAAGGTCAGTGTACAAGCCAAAGTCAAAGGAGTATAGAGATACGGAGCAACGATAAGACAAGCCGAGGTCAAGGATCAGAGAAGACAGAGTGAACGAGAGATAAAGCCAAAATTCAGTAACCAACGATCAGACAGCGTAAACGGGCAGAAGACAGAAAACCACAACAGGGCAACAAGGCACAGAGTAGATAAGTTTAAATATGCTTAGGGTTATTCTGATTGGCTAGTTTCCAATTAGAGTTAATTATAACACGTGGCAGGTATTCGAACCTTCCACGTTGATCCCTGACGTCATTGATGTGTGCTGAGTCAGGTGACTGACTCAGGGGCATATTTATGCACGCTGCACGCTCGTGTGCAGCATTAGAAATAATGCCGGCGGGACCTGAGGTAACTGAGGCAGCTGTGAGCAGGCACTAGAAGCCGCCTTGAGCGGTGAGCGGGTAAGTGAAGCCGCCTTGAGAGGCACGCCTGCAGGGGGCCTGAAAATGCACATTCCACAAGCACTATACAAATTAAAGGAACACTGAAGTGTCAAGAATGCAAACAGGTCTTCCTTACACTATAGTTCTAAAACAACTGCTTAGGGGTCCAGCCCACCTTGCCCCTTGTTAAAAAGGTTATTTTAATCCAATTATTTTAAGCACTGGTCTCGTCGTGGCTGGCTCCACCCTGTCCCTTTGGCTGAGATTGTCAAATTTGATGATCCCAGCCAGTCCAATACTTTCCCATAGGAAAGCATGCAGAGGCTTTTGCACATGCGCGTCAAAACACCGCACTGCGCCAATTGGCATTTTCCCTTAGAGATGCATTGAATCAATGCATCTCTGTGGGGAATGTTCAACATCTGCATGCAGAGTGTGGAGACGCTGAATGCCCTCTAGAGGCTGTTGATGTTGCTTTCAGAGGCAGTTTGGAACTCTTTAATTAGCGATGCAACAGATGATCAGTGATTTTTAAATACTCTGTGCTTCAGCTCTGAGTATGTATGCTATTGCTGCAGCTAGACTTTATTTTTTTTTAATTTTTTTTCTATCTTTTCTTTTCCTTTTCTTTCAAAAAAATTCAACAAAATGTTACAGTAACATTCCAGTTCCCCAAACCCCTTCATAATCATAAACATATTACAATATAGTACCATATTCAAATTGTAACTCGTATATTACAGTTCCACATGATAAGTATTCAGTTAATGCAGTATAATAGGGTCTAACTGTACATAAAGTTGCATAAAATTATGATCATCCTTTACTTTAATAATATTGACCCTTTACTCCAACCATTTAGTGGTACCATACCAGCTCATAAGTCTCCTGATACCTTGATCTGACAATAGTACTCAAAATAATCTAATACCTCTTAAAACTGGGGTGTTCAAAAACAGAACAAAAAAAGACAGTAATATATTCATATAAGAGTAAAAACAGTCAATGTATTTGTTTTTATTTCCCTTTCTCCCTTTCCACTTTGTTATTTTTGTTTGTTTTGTTTTTTATCAGGCATGGTCCTCAATTTCGAACTGCTATGTTAACCAATACACATAAAATATATATATTTTTTTATTTTTACATTTTGTGGGCTTTATATATTTGGTTCTCACATATGGGAAGGTTCACTAGGGTACTTGATATTTTTTCTTTTCTTTTTTTAAGGAGCCAAATATTTATCTCTAATCTTCTGGCATCCGCACCAATATTTGTCATAATTCTAATCTTTTCCTTTTATCCGATATGCCATTTTATTTTATACTGAGATGTCATATGGACTCTCTTTAACACATCCTGAATGGTAGGGGGACTTTCCATTTGTATGCACTGCCCATTTTAGCAGCTAACAGAATATGAATTATTACTATAGACTGAGACACCTCCACATCCTCAGGAAGCATATGTAAAAGGTCAATTTGTGGCTCAAAAGGCAAAGTTATTCCCATTATTGAGGGGATCACCCCTTGAATCTGCCTCCAGTAAGAGTACAACAAGGGGCAGGACCAAAATACATGCAACATGGAACCTCTATTTCTGTCACATCTCCAGCATACTGGGGACGAATCTGCATATATGTGAGATAGCCTAGAGGGCACCAAGTACCATCTCATAATCAGCTTACAATAGGCTTCCCAATGGGAAATGCTACTTGATGACTCCTTCGTCATTGATATAGCGTTTAACCATGATGTCATAGGAATAACGGCCCCCATGTCCCTCTCTCACTTCTGCATGTACAGTAATTTCAGTTCAGCAGATAAGGTATTAAAAGCGTTATAGCATACAGAGAGAGGTTTGAGCTTAATTAATAGCATTTAGACTTAATTAATAGCATTTACAGTTGACAGATCTTCTAGGGCAGAAATTTCCCAAGCCGACTTGGCAAAAGTCAATAAACTTTTCAGTACGACCCATTCTAGTGCCACTGTTTGTTTATGGAGATTGGCTATGGATTTTTTTGCACCTGTGTTTGATTGTGTGTGTGTGGGGGGGGGTTAATGAGGAAGCAATGTTGCTTGTGAAACTGCCACCCAAGAATGTATCTCTGCATGTGAAGTTTTCACCAATAATGTGGTGTTAGAGCCAAATGACTGGAATCATTGGATCATTGTAATAGTGTGCTTCTCTCCGTGTTTTTGTGCAATTAGTGCAGGTGGTTGCAGTGGCCGGTGGTGTGATTGGAGGTGTCCTTTTCCTGCTCCTGGTTGGCATTTGTATCTACATCTTGTGGAAAAAGGTCTGTGTTGGTCCACCATACGAAGAGCTTCACAACGTGGCGACGCCCACACACACAGATACCATTACTGCGGATCAGATGATGACATCATCGGTGGGCCACAACAAAGATAACGGGTAAGAAGTGCCTTTACCGAAATGTAATCATTTGTTCACTTTTATGCAAAAATATATGAAAAACTGTAAATTAGAAAACAAAGTACGATGATCACCAGCTTTTCATAGGCAGCGTTTAATGGCCAATGGATGTTTAGGGTGAATGTTGTAACAGAAAAACACCAAATATGAGATTCAAGAGCGAAGATTTATTTCACTAGGTAATAACCTTATACATTAATGGAAAACTGTCATCAAAATGATGTATTTATGCAATGTTTATGTTATAAAACATCATTTAAAGGGACACTATAATAACTAGAACCAATACAAGTTAATGTAGTGGTTCTGGTGTCTATAACCTGTCTTTGCAGTGTTAGCACTGTAAAAACTGCCTTTTCCCAGAAAAGGCAGTGTTTACATTGCTACCTAGTAACACCTCTATGGGCTGTCACTCAGACTGCTACTAGAGGTGCTTCCTGTATGCTGATGTTCAACACTGAATGATCCCCATAGAGATGCACTCATTCAATGCATCTCTGAGGAGATGCTGATTGGCGCAGCGCAAGACTGATGATCTCAGCCATGGAGGCAGAGCCGGGTGGGGCCAGCTATGACGAAACCGGCGTAGTAGAAAACGTCAGTCAAATCTCCTTTCCCATGCGTGCTAAAGGAGGCCAGAGACCCACATAGTTAGTTTACCATTATACTACTAGGAATCCATGTTTGTATTGACACTATAGCGTTCCTGTGTTATTTTTTTTGTTTTTTTTAATTCATGAAGAAATCACTTGCCTATATTTGTCACAACCTTTTCTGACAGCGATCTTAATGCACTTTTAGTCGGATTGTCAGTTATTTGTCTTAGTACTCACTATTTTGCAACTGTCCATTGCTTTTTTTTTAAATTGTCTGACAAAATGTTAGAGGTAGAAATAGCACATGATTTTGAAAGCAATGGATGGCTGCAAAATAGGGAGCATTGGATCAAATAACTGACAATCTAACTGAAGGTGCATAAAAATGGCTGTCAGAAAGAGGTAATGGGAAAGACAGACAAGTAATTTCTTCAACAATTTCAATATACATGAATTAAAAAAAATGAACATATGGTATATTATAAAGATTAAGTGTTCCTTTTATTAAATAAGATAGATTCATGAAATAGACCTATACACACTTCCCCTTTAAATCAAACTTGGCAGAATTTTGACCAATCAGCCATTTGTCCACAATTCTGAGCGAAATGGATAATGGACATATCACTAAACAATACTTTACAAATACCAACTATTTGTCTGCAGGCACCACTAACAATGAGCAAATAGTTAAAAGAAACCCTCAGTGGTGAGAGGGTTAATTATGGCTTGCCAGCAAATACATGCAACCACCACATTAATAAAGTTAATACAAATAAAAAGAAAAAAAAATAGCTTCTGTGGTGGCTCTACAAAAAAAAACTGGAGAGACATTCTGAAGTCCCAACCAGCCCCCCAAATGGGGGAGTGTCATAGTGTCCCCCCCAGTCCCTACCCATGTGCGGCAGGTGGGGACCATTAAACGGGGGGTATTAAACAAAGAGCTACTGTGCACCCCTTAACCCCCCAACCATGGGCTAAGGGTGGGGGTATTAATAACATAGGTTTTGGTGGAAATGTCATTGTCCACTCCCCAATAGTGTGGGTCAGTACCTCCTCAAGATAGCTAGGGGTCCACAAGCCCCCAGCCAGCCCCCTCAATCATAATAATAATAATAACAAACTATGTACCCCTTCGCCTAATAATATTGAGGGAGGGCACAATAAGTCTAATATCTACTTATCGTCAAGTCTTTTGTGCAGAATGAGCTTTTAAGATGGGAATAGCCTTAATAAAGGCCTACCCATGCTTCCAAAAAGCTCAATTTGAATTATCTGATTGGTTGGCTTGTAAGGCAGCCAGTCAGAGCAACAGTCTAGTTTCACCTCTCGCTCAAGACTGGGAATATTCATTTGAATTTTGTCCTTGAAATTGTTTCGGACAAAATAATTCAGATGATTTGAAACGCCACATAGATTATTATTTTATTTTTTTTGACCAATTAATTTAGACGAATCACTTTTTTTTCCTTGTGCAAGTCTAGAATTTAGTCATATAATATACTCCCATGAATCTGCTTGACATGAGTTTAGATTAGTGAAGAGATGTAATAAATAAAATGAAATTAAGTGAAATGTGTGTTTTAATTTTACAAATTCCTTGATGGTCTATGTTTAATAGATCATATTCCACCAAATTAAGGTTACATGTTTTTACCCCTCTATCCCACCAAACCACATACACATGTATTCTACAAAACAATGTCATTAGTCTCATCCCTATGTCAGAAGGCTGTCCACCACCCTGAGGAAAACACTTTATTGTAGGCGTTTCCATGGAGTCTGCTGTCCCACCATTGGGGACTGACTGAAATAGCTTGGCAGACTCAGTTTTGGGTCCTGACTCAGAGATTAAGACCCACTGCCCTAGGCTACATTCTTGTTGACTGACTGTGAATATGTATAGAGCTGTCAATGATTAATAATCACAACATTCCACTTTGACAATGTATCTACATATGCCAGATTATCGTGACTCAACAAATGTCGGTAGACCATAAGGGTTAACAGAAACATATACACTGATGTTTACCTTTTCACATTCAACTTAGCACCTAAATTGGAAAATATAGATTTTTGTTTAAAGATAATTAATTGTACTTTTGTCTCATTTGCTGTCATAACTAGTTATATTGCTGTGCTAACAGCTTATACAAATACACCTGGTTGCCTGTTATGAGATGTTTAAGTAAATATACAGTAGAATTAGCAAGCATTAGATGTAGATGTTCTGAATGTTTCTACAATTAGTTTCAGTGCTATGTTGGTCACTAATTAGTCTGCTGAATGTTATAGGAAGCTGGTTGAAGTGTAGGAAGAATAAGCCTGAGACTTTTTTCTTTGATTTTTACTATATGTATTGGGGCTGATGTGTACTATGGTCATTGCTGCCGCCCAGGAGTGATGGGAGTTGGAGCATCACACATCTATGTTACAATGCTGCTGCCCATCCCATGTGTTCCTTATTAGGGATTAATAGGGGAAGAGGTGTACATATAAAAAAAAATAACCCCTTTCTGTCTCATTAGAGATATCTTTGCCAGAAGCTCAAGGAAGCCAGGTGAAAGGTTAGTGTCGGACCCACCTGAGAGCCTTGACGTGGCAGGTGGGCTAAAGGGCTGAAGTTTTTCATGGCCATTGGAGAACCTAAATAACCTCCATTTATTTATATATGCATAGGGATTTGGGAAGAGTGCAGGTAACTTTCTTTGGTTATTACTCCATTATAGCCTGGATAGGAAACCGTAGTATATTCTAGGTTGGCCTTGTTTTTAAAAGCTGCACTAGGTAATCCCTTCCAACAACCTGGAATGACTTTTAACAGCAAAGTAATGCAAAACATACTTTTTTCGTCCAAACTCAACTCATGTACCCCTTTGCTTCAACTCTGGTTTTCATCCTACAGAGAAATGAACATGTAAAACGTAGGACATTTCTGAATTGGGATAGTTGCACATCTTACTGGAACAGAAGCAAATCATTTTTGAAATTAATATACCCTAGTGGCATTTTCAGGCACACCTTACATTGCTGTTTTAGTGTTCAGGTGTATAGTTTGTACTAATATAGTAATATACCTATCGGATACCAGGTAGGGAGCAGATACTGGCTGACAAGGTCCTGGGAGAGTGACCATTACCATTTGTATGGCAGCTTTTGGGAGGAAGTCATTTAAAGGACCACTATAGTGCCAGGAAAACATACTCGTTTTCCTGGCACTATAGGGTCTCTAGGTCCCCCCCCCCACCATTAGGGCCCCTCTCTGAACTGCTAAGTTTACAGCAGAAAGGGTTAATCCTAGATGGACCTGGCACCCAGACCACTTCATTAAGTTGAAGTGGTCTGGGTGCCTATAGTGGTCCTTTAATGTGTGAATAGAGGCCGTAGAAGGTGCAGTGGGACTGCAGTGTGTGCATAGGGGGATAAAGGCTGTAGAGAATGCATAAGGATTGGGGGCTGTAGCGGGTGCATGAGGGGTAAGGGCTGATAGTGGATGCAGCGGAGATAGGGGCAGGGAGGAATAGTGTCTGTAGTGGGTGCAAGGGAGACATAAAGGGCTGTAGTGGGTGCACTGAGGGATTGGGTGCAACCAGATAGGGGTACAGGATGCAAAGAGAAATATAGGTTGTTTTTGGTGCAGGAATGGATAAGGGTTGTTGGTGCAGGGAAGATAGTGGTACAGGGGTCATAGGGTCTATAGTGGGTGCAGTGGGATATAGGGGCTATAGTGGGTGCAGGGGAGGGATTGGGTGCTAAAGTGGGTGTAGGGGACATAGGGGTGCAGGGTGGACATAAGGGCTGTAGAGGTGCTTGGTGGGTTCAGGTTGGGGATAGGAGTCCCATCTAACTCGTACTGCCTGTGCCTCTGCCCATCCCATGTCGCTACACCTCCCATTTTCCTTTTTTAAATTTTTTTTTATATTCTTTATTTTTGTTGTGCATATAGATACAACAGTGCTTGAATTGCCACAACAGCAGTCTCAAGCGCAAACTTTAAAGTATAATATAACATGAGTATGGCTCGGGTATACTTTGCACATTTTAGTAAGTTAAGGATGTAGATACTTATCAGTGTGGCATGAGTGAGTGTGTATTGGGTGTATGTCCGTAAGGAGACAATTTTAAACATTAGAGTGTGCTGCGTGTTCCGTTGGATGGTGAGGCATTATAGTTGAAAAACTAGGATGTTGTGTGCCATTTTACTTTTTAAAATAGGAACATACCTGGTGTGTGCTGTCTACCCGGCTGCTCCAAAACTGCACTCTGCAAGAGAGGAGAGCTCCTCACACAGAGCACCGCACAGGAAATCATGGAGACCTGGCACAGAGAGAGCAGAATCTCTGCCATGTCTCACTGAGAAGGCAAGGGGAGGATGTCCCTTACAGCGAGAGGTTGCAGATCGCTAATCTCTCCAGCCACAACATGGCTGTTCAGCTGGTCAGTCCGCCCCTGCTCACGTCTTTTCAATCTCCCCCAAGGCTGTTTTGTACCTATCTGGCCTTCTGTGGCATGCAGATCCCCCTGCCCAGTCTCTTTGGAGGAGTTCCTGCCCCCTTCACGTCCACAGCATTTTAGGCATTGCCATGAAAAGACCAGGCAGATGGCTGTACATTACTTCCTGGTGATGCTCCCTGATGGCACCTCCCTCTAGGGAGCACCCCTGTCCTCTAAAAGGATGAACATCCACTCTCCTGTATGTACCCCATGCCCATGTAACATTAACATGTGTTTAGAAAAACATTGTGGATATTGCAACCCTTCCCTCTGTTTAAGCTGCATTGGATTATAGCTTATAATATTTTGCATATTGATTGGGTGTGTTGAATAAAATCAGATATGCAAGGATTTAAAACGTGATAAAAAAAAACTTTTAAATTCCTCAAAGTAAGAATAAAAGGGAATATAAAATGGTCTCGCTATACTTTTTTTTTTTTTTTATTGGCCAACATCTGGCTATGTAATTGAACATAACCACTTCAACCACTGCAGACACAAACCACATGGCTCTGGCATCCTGTACCAATTATCTCCAGACATTGCTAATTGGATAAGTGTATGCAGTGATATTCCCCACAATGCATTTTATGATTCCTTAAAGTTAAGTAATATGGAGAGCTTTAAAATTAGATTTTTCTGCAAAAAAAAACTGTCTCAGGGACGAGGTATTTATTGATTTCTCTTTAAATCTAGTCCACCTATTGTTTTCGAAGGGAGAAAATACCTTATACTATTACATTGCCCAACATGAATAATGGGACTTTTTTTCTGCAAACCTATCGTAACAATGGACTGTCTACTACTTGATTGCAAAGTAGCTTCAATTCTATTTTTCCATAAATAAAGTTTCTATATGTACAATCGAGCATTCGTGAAGCTAGTGTACAAGCTCTCAATGAAAGCTCTGTATAGGTTACTTAGGACATGTCATAGGGAAATGTAACCTTCCTCATTTCCATATGAGAGAGTGCAGGAGACAGCGACAGAAACATTTGAAAATCATTGCAGATATAACAAATGTGGTGATATAAAATTAAGGGCTACTTGTGTTAGTGACAGCTGTTAAACAGTAGCGACAGAATTCGAAACCAGTCGCTACGTTTCAGAGACTGGGAACCTTTAGTGGCTACTTAGCTTAGTGATAGTAGCCTGTCCCTACTGGTAAAATCTTGCAGTCAGTAAACTGCCATACGCTAACAGAAGTGACAGACACTTTAGTGAGTAGTAGCTGGCCTAAAAAATAATATTGAAAATGATGCCTGTGTTGGGCTGTGTGGATTCAGTATATGAAGGTTTAATTACAAAATTTGCAAAGTCCCCCATTGGTGACATCTCACTGCCACGGCCACCTTCCTCTGGCAGGACCTCTTCAACTCTGGCGCTTTGGCACCAAGAACCAACATCACTGCTGTACTCTCATGCATGCGTGAGAGTACAGCATTAAGGTCTATACAGGATCCCGCGAGACTGCGGGATCCTTCATACACAGAGCCAATTCCCTGCAGATTTGAACCCCGTCAGCCCAGCGGGAGTGGGACCCTGATGGTAGGGAGGGGACCTAAAGCCCCTATAGTACCCGGAAAACTAGTTTGTTTTCCTGACACTATAGTGGTCCTTTAAGGCCAGAGTAGCAAAGCTAAAAGTATAGCTGACTTAAAGGATTTTCAAGCTCAGCTATTTTTACCTTAAACTTGAAATTCACTTGCAATTCTCACTTTAGTGAATAAACTAATGATTCCTAACTTGGGAATTAATGTTCCTCAGCAACAAGGACATGATGAGGTCAGTTCAAAACTAGTTTCATATCTAACCTGAGCATCTCTACCTAATAGTGCATCAAGGGTTATTGTAGTTGAGTTTTTTTGGTCAAGTTTCAGTGAAATCCGTGGGTAGAAAACTTGGGGGATGCACAGTGCATCAAACCAAATTGTTAAATTCTCGATTGCCCAATCAATTCCTCTTCTCTTCCTCTGTCAGGATCTGATTTCTTCCTGTCTGCTCTAGTTTTCTTTAAAACATAAGACAAAGTAGGGACTGACAGGTAAGTATCTAAATTTACCTGTCACATTACACTCTGATTGGTTGGCTTGAAATCCAACCATGGATCACGGATCAAAGGTGAGAATTGTGGGAAAATTGCTTTGATCACCGGAAACAAAGCACACTTTGTTCCCTCGCTGGTCAGGCATAGGAGACCTCCATAAGACAAAGTAGTCCCTACTTTGTCTTATGTTTTAAAGACAACTAGAGCAGATCCTGACAGAGGGAGAGAAGAGGAATGGATTGCGGAAAGGTAAGTTCGGCATGACAGTGCCGCTTTAAATAGTCTGACCAGATTTTTTTGCTTGGTGCAATTGGTTTACACTTGACCTTGGAATTTCTGGTGCATACATTTGTACTAAACCTCTGAATTTATTAATAAACATGTCTCTCTGAGAAAAACAGACATACTTTTATTCTTATTAAATAATTGTCAATATTTCAAATAGATCACAAAACACAATTACAAGAAAAACAGAAAAAAGTAATAGAGATGGTTCCCTTCACATTCTAACAGATTATTATCTATTTATCAGGAATAAAGGTGTTCCCTTTATTTTGCCTCCCAAGTTCCATGGACGAGATTGGGTTGATTTACAGAATGGAGAGCGAATTCAGGCGGACAGTGAACCCTATATTGCCCCTGGTATCCTTCCTCGGTCATCATTCTGTTCAATGGGTACAGTTTGGAACATTCTATTTTTCAATATGTAGCATCACATCAATCTGAAAAGTGTTGCTGATCCAATAAATTATAGCACAGGTTACATATTTTATAAAGTTGTTATTCATGATAAGAAAGTTCACAGCTTTGTGCAATCAATTAATTAATCCTCCAAAAAAGTGAGTTGTTTTTTTGTTTTGTTTTTAAATGGCTCCAATGTTATCATGTAATGGACCATCTGTTCAATTCTGGACATTTAACTAAGCTGAATTTTATTTTAAATAAATACCATGACATTAAAGCAAAACCTATTGTGAATCACCAGTTGCACAGAATTGATCTAAAGTACCCCAAGATAACTTTGGAACCCCCAGATTTTTGTAACTCTATTTTCCATTATACCCAACTAGTCGGCCATAGTTTTTATCTTGTGTATTTCACAAACATCTGCAATGTCAGTTACCCGTCACTAATCTGGGGAGTTATAGTTTAAAAGGTGTGATAGCAATAAGGCAAGCAAATAATATGCACTTGGTCAGACCTCAACGAATCCCCTTCATCACAGACAGAACAAAGATCCTGAGAAAAAGAGTCCAAATAGACTTCCATTAAACATGTTTTAGCTCCTAATAACTTTAACAATGAGGTAAGAGTATCTATAGTGTTTCATAAGCTTGCTGCCAAGTTCACTTACATGAGAATCTTGATTTTATAATTATTTTTTTTATTTTTTTAATCTGTTTAAAATTAATAAAAACACATTGTAATTTCTCTATTAAAAAAAAAAAAGAGAGGGAGAGAGACAAAAATACCAATAATTTATTTTCATGACAACGGTAAAAATCACAATAATCTAACTATACATTTATTTTGGTTTTAAGGGGGAGCATATGTTTTGGGCTCCATCAATCCTGATTTGTACAAATATCCAGATGATAATGAAGAGACCGATTTCCCCAAGGGTAACATTGGCCGTATTTGGTTTGCAGTGGAGTATGAACATGAGACGGAGAGACTTGTGGTCTCCCTGATTAAAGTGAGGAACCTCCAGCTCAACTCTGATTCATGCAACCCCTTTGTCAAGATCCATCTCCTTCCAGATGAACGGCGCTATCTACAGTCTAAAGCAAAGCGCAAAACCGTTAACCCACACTTTGATGAAAACTTTGTGTTCCAGGTACGATTATTAACATGCTAACTTCTAAATTTGCTTTATGATTAATAAAGTATTTATTGCTTAGAAATAGAATATCAAGTTAAACTGGTTCAACATTTTTATATTTCAGATGTAAGCAATCCACCCTTCAACTATCAATAATACATTTTCTAATATCAGGGATTTCCTTTACCCTTAATTTCTCTGCTTTGTGTACAACAAGAATAAGCCACTACTTGTTACTAATCTATGTAGAGAATGATAGGTGAGGGAAGAGACCATGTCATGAGGCAATCCTCACTGGATAGATCCCAACATATAGGCTTATGAATACAAATGTGTATATATATATATATGTATATGTAATGACAATGATTAATTGTCCTTGTCGTGACTGGACTTGATGCAAAATGACTATGAAAGATAAAGAATTGTAGTCAGAGGAAAAATAAGGTCCAAGTTCAAATGAACTTTTTGATAATTCTAGTCAAGACAGGTACAACCATGATTTGGATATCTGTAGAACGAGCTGTGTTAATTATGACACAACAGAGCATCAAGGAATTGTTAAAGGGCTTGGATACCACAACAGGGCGCTGCTGATAATAAAACTGTGTGGTGGGTCAAGTGAACATCTCCAAACAGAGATGGTGCTCAGGTGCATACAAGCTGGTCTATTCTGTGATATTTGACACAAGTGTTGGGTAAGACTGAGCATACTTGTGTGTGAGTCACAGCATCCCTGCTGCTGGCTGAGATATAAGTACCCTGGTAATGAGCTATTGTAACTGACATTGTAATGATAATAAACATATCAAAACTACTAGCCAGGCTGTTACTTGCCACTGCACTCCTGCGGGGTTCATGGCACTCTTACCAGGGGTGAATTTCTATTCCACTAGGGTTAAATTTTGACTTGTCAAGTGGCGAGTGGAGATTTTGTACTCTGGCATTGTCAAGGTACTTTGTGTTTATCATAGGGAAGCACAGCGTGGGTGACCCCTGCAGGTAGTTGGTGACCTTCCCCATGGTCCTTCTCCTCTCTCCAGTGGTCCAAACACCACCTGATGTGACCCCGCCCCCTCTTATGATGCTGTTGATTATGTCGCAACCCATCAAAATCTGCAAATTCAAAATTTTGTGGGCGTGGCTATAGCGTTAAAGTGACAGACTATAAATAGTTTTGTTGTGGTTCTAATTTGGTTCTCAATAGCGCATTTTCCTCTCATTGTATTTATGGCTTTAATCTTGGCCATAACTGACCATTTTTCTATCTATACTCCTCGACTCGGCTATTGTACCTCACTTTTCCTGATTTATGGCTTTCCTGACTCTGGCTTGTCCTTGCCTATTCTCTATCTTTTAACAGATTAACCCCGGTCACGCTAAGGTTTTATTCTTGGTTATTCATTTCATACTGCGTTTTGGGTGTCTCAGTATTCCTGACAGGTATAGACCAATCTTCATTGCTAACAATGCAATCACATAGTGCAATACTCTTTGCTGTGTTATGTGTTTACTGCAGGCTCTGACACAGTCCCAGGCCACATCACTCTTCAGGAAGAAAGTATTTCTAGTTAACACTGTCAGATGATTGATACCAACATTACATATCTAAAACAAAAACCGCATTCAAACTTATTTTATATATAAAATAAATATAATAAAGTATAAACACACAAGAGAGGGAGCTTATACAATCAGAATACGTGGTAATTGGAATAAATAGGACAGAAATGATTAACCCTTTTCTGGGGCGGCTTATCTATTTTCAGTTCTGGATTATTTTGATAGATGGTAAACCAAAACAGAGAAGATTCAGGATATGGCTGTGTAAATCTACAGAAAAAACATAAAACAAAACATAGTGTAATATTGTTATAAAACGCAGTATTCTGTGCGCAGCAATCTTTTTCACTCACAAGATATAGATGGTATAAGCGCTCTTAGGGTGCCTCCCCCGATGTAATGGGGGGCTAGCTGGTACTTATCACCTCTGGATTATTTTGATAGATGTCTGAGAGGGACAGAAAATAATAGTGGGTTATATGAGTGTGACAGCCAGTTGAGCTGGATAGCGGTGGGTGAGAGAAATATGGCCAGAGATGGACAGGAGAGTGTCACAATAAATCTGGCATTTTGTTCCCTTGCTCCACATTTCGACACGACACATCAAGTCTGACGCCGTATGCTTCTCTCACACAGCCTGTATGGGTTGATACTATGCACCAGTTTTACCGTGTCCCCTGTGAACCCTTGCTCATGTATAGTTTGCGCACACAGCAAGAACACAGGCCAATGGTTGCTAGGGAAACACTAGTAGGGTTATTCATTAATGTGAGAATTCAAAGTTAAGACCAAAATTTTCAGCTATGTTTCCATTTTGCCTACGTTGGCCTCATATTTGATATTCACTTTGAATTCTCCCTATAGTAAATAGCCTTGCAATATTCTCCCATAACCTTTTAGTAATTGTCCTTTCCTAATTCCTGCTGCCCAAAAATTGACAGTGGATTTTTTGATCCTTGGTTCTCAATCCAGTTAGTTTATCATTTATCCCGATTTGTTGTTCTCCTGAACTGGGTTCAATTTCGGATTTTCTATATTTCTGTGTTCCTTCACTTTTGCTTGTTATTCCACCTTTGCTAACCTGTTTGTTGATATCTTTTTTTTTTTTTATGGTAATCCCAGCCACATGCAAGGACTGGTAATATGCTAAAATCATGCTTATTTACTGTTAGTACCAAGAAAGTTGTGAAAGCCTAAAATGGTTTTAAACTATATTTTCATTGTGTTCAATTAGCTGTTTGCATTGTGTAACATTTAATTTAAAGCTATTTACAATGTCCAAATCTTGTTGAAGAGAGATTTGGGGAGGTTACTAGTGGACTCTAGACTCCATGACAGTTGTCCGCAATCAAAAGTCAATATGTTACAAATGTAAAGGCATAATTTCTTATAACTGTATAAAACATTACTTACACTTTACTTTAATATGGATCCCTATTTTGGTCCTAATTTGTAAAAATAAAAATAGAATGGACTATACTAGAGTGAATGACAATGAATTTATTAAAGGAAGACGCCAAGCACCATAACCACTTCACTATCACGAAAGCCAATGGAAGTTCCTGCTTAGGAATTTTCAGCACTCCAGCATTAGTGGTCAAGCTGGGACAGCTAGTGGACCCCAGGTTATGGTAAATGGTTTAACTCAGTCCTGCACAACCTGCAGCCCCCTAGATTTGAACTACAATGCCCATGATTATTTGAATGAAGCAGCCAGGGAATCATGGGAGTTGTAGTTCAAAACATCTGGGGTCCCACAAATTTTTCAAGCCTGGATTAACTACTTACAACGGGGGCGGGAGCCAGGGAAATTCTGGAACCATAACCACTACAGCAAGCATAGTAGTTATTGTGTGTGGAGTGTACATTTAATAAAAAAGAGTGAAGGATTTTCGTTATGAAATTCTATAAAAATTGTGGTTGTTTACTCTTTAAAAGTACATTACTGTGTACAAATGTATATATTAAAACTGCCTCGACCTGTTTAATTTTCATGTATTGCTAGGTGTGTTAAGGAATACTAAATGCATTCATCTAGGTATAGCTATTAGTTTCATAAAATATCAGTATATAGCCAGGGGCTGAAAAGGGATGAAGTGACATCTATTGTGATTCAAAAAACACACTAATATGACACTTTGTAGAAGTTTGAAGAAGAAACAAAAGGAGCATTGAACTAGAACGTGGAGGAAAGGCTTCTAGCTTTTAGAAAATAGCAGGAAATACATTTTATAGAATATTGTAAGCTTCATGGAATAGCCTTCCAGTAGAGGTGGTAGTGACCAAACCAGTTGATGATCTTCGGTGAAATTACATATTGTGTTTATGGAGATTCCAAATCAGGAATAAAGTGTTTTTTGTTGAAAATAGACAGACGTGATAGGCCCTTGAAACCCCACATGCCCTAAACACACCTTTTCCCTAACTCTAAATCTAACCCCTCTCGAAACACAAACAAACTCTTTCCTTATTCCCAAATGAAAGCACTCAAAGCCTAAAGCTGAAAAATCTCTTTATCTTAAAAACTAAACACCCCATTTATCCCAAAACTAAATTTAACCCCACTCTAACCCTAAACCCAGTAATCCTAAACAACCCTTAAACCACAACTAAAACCCTTCTCAAGCTTTTAATCCTTACCACTAAATGCCCTATGTAATCTAAATCTGAAATGTAATCCTTCTAACTTTTTACACTAACCACTTCTAACATTATCTTTGACCCTGCATGTATTTACACAGCTGCAAAAACTCACTATACTCACAGATTCAAACACAATACATTACAAGTAGAAATATGCAAATACTTATGTATGCAATTGGCAAATATAAATTCCAAACAATACCAGTACTCTGGGATTTCCAAAAATGTCTTCTTTATTCAAGCAAACCACGTCAACGTTTCAGCTCCTCAACAGAGCTTTCATCAGGACATACAAAGCATACAACACAGTAAGGGGCTCTATAGCATAAGGGTACTCACCAAATCAGCTGTTCCCTGTTCTGTCAATTGATCGGCGTGCGTTGGACGCCACTGCACGTGCATGAAATCCCAGGGTTCACACCCATGTTTACGTTCTGGAGCTTGATAAAGACCTTATAGGTCGAAATGTTGCGGTGTGACATTGGGTTTGAATAAATTGCCTCCTTAAACCTTGGAGTGCCTAAACCTCTCTTTTTATTTTTTTGCATATGATATCTGGGACTTGGTGCTGGGTTAAGGTTTAGTTGCACCATGGCTTAGAGTGATTGGATTGAGTGCAGTTCCTAATTTATTTTTGGTACGGTCTGGATCAGGACCAATCGAAGCTTTGCGGCTACGTCATGTTGCCAGGGAAACAATTGACACATAGCGGCCATTGGTTCCTCCTGCATGTACAGATGCTGTCGGGAAATTCACTTCTCTAAGCCAAGACAGACCTGGGCTTGACGTGGGCTTTGGTGTGTACATATATATATATATATATATATATATATATATATAATAAATCAGTAGCTTGGCACTCTCCTTCATGGACTTCCTTGTATCCGCCTGGGTGCAGATGGTGTGCGTATATATACTGTTTTTGTGCCTGTAATGTTCACTAAATGTATTAAAGGAGAGCACAGTGAGTGCTTTTCCATGAATCAATGCTTTTCTAATGAGATGTTGAAGACGCTGGACATCCTCATGCCAGACATGAAGACATCCAGCGTTGTTTCGCTGTAAAAAGCACCGCTAGAGCCTGTCTGGAAGACATACACTAGAGGTTGTCTTAACCCTGCATGTAAACATTACAGTTTCCCTGAAACTACACTGTTTTACATTGACCGGTTAGGACGACAGGGGCACTGCATGCAGATCACTTCAATAAGATGAAGTGGTCTGGGTGCCTATAGAGTCCCTTTAAACTTACGTTAGCTGCAGGGAGCACCTTAGAATTCTGTGCCCACAAGACACCTGATATGTAAATACATATATGAGCAAATCACATAATAGAGAACCAGTAATCCTGAAATACTTTATTTTACCAAACAAGTATTGGGCTACACAGACCTTTTCAGTGTAAAAGTCCAATTCCACTATTGAAATGCAGGGAAGAAATTTGTACAGTATGGCAGACTGAATAAAATGTAACAGAGATAAGCATATGCAGTTAACGCAAAACAGATCACAAGGGAATTACAAGGTTATGTATTCAAAAGAATCATTTACATACCGAATATTTCAATATTAGCATTGCTCCAGATATGCAGTACTGTTTGTAGAGGCAGAGGTTTTAGTCTAGTGGAGACTGTATGATTTCTGAAAGGACATCAAACAGTAGTAGGGGTCTACAAGAGAAGCCTGATTGTCCCACTTACTTTTTGAAATATGGATGAGTAATAAATGGAGGGGGGAGGGGGCTAACGAGTTCCTCACTAACGAGTATATAATGATCCGAGACAATTATGGTACTTGGGGTGTCCTTTTAACATATCATAAAGATTAGTATTTGTTATCCATTGCCTGACATATCAGGATCTTTATTTATACTCAAGAAGGATTTGTGTGCAGATGATAATCTCACATCAACTTTTGCAACAAATACTTGAACTAGTCATTAAAAATGTAATTTCCTTAGAAAGCGACTTAAACCTGGTGTGTTTCTCATCAGAAAGCCAATTTTAAGATAAATTCCAATATGAAGTCTTACTGAGAGATCTTGGGCTAGCAACATACCATATATGTTCAGGAATTTTATGACTGATTGAGATTGTTCAGTAATTTGTGCAGTTCTCAGACAGCAGTTTTTGGCATTACAGATTAAAAAAAAAAAATTTAAAAAAAAATTATATATTTATATTTGAGACTACTACAATTTATGTAGTGCCAATATAGAAATACAATAGGTAACAAAGATAAACATTTAATTTTAACAAATCATGATTGACATTGTGGAGTAGTAGGTGAAGAGGGCCCCTCCCAAACGAGGAATAAGTGCACAAAGGGAGTTTGTTATCTGTATTTACCTGAAGGACGGGGGATGGGGCGAGTGGGGTGTTTGTCATCTCCAACCTACTGTGCTCCCTCTTTTCAGAGGAAGGTTATAAAGGATGAGGCATTAAGGGAAGCACTGATAGACTTTTCTACAGAAGTATGGTTTTGTTTTGTTTTTTAAGGATTTTTTTTTTTGAAGGACTGCAGAAATTGGGACAGTTTAATATGGCGCAGGAGGACATTCCATAAGGGGGAGATGTCCTGCAGGCATGAAGGCAGGGTGCGGGCATGAGAAGGGAACAATAGCAGGTTGAGTGAAGAGGCCTAGCTGGAGCATATCTGCTAGTGCAGCGGTTCCCAAACTGTGTGCAACACTGAGAATATCATGCTGTGCCTCACTCTCCCCTGCCGTCTCTGCAGGACCGCAGGATCAGAGATCTCCCTCACCGGCCCGCTAGCACTGTAATGCTGCAGCCGGCAGAGGAAGGAGAGAGTATCCGGGGGAGCTCTAACCGGTAGCTCCGCCGGGTTCTCCTCTTGTGAGCGCGGAGTGTTGCCGCGGTTACCTCAGAAGCTGCTAGAGTTCACTCTCACCACTGGGATCCACCAGGGCTTCTCCACCGGACCACCAGGGATTGCCTTGTACTGTCCCACCTCCCAGACAAAGGTAAGAAGGGTGGGGGGGATATGAAAATTACTATATTTTTTTTAATTAAAAAAAGTTTATATTTATCAATATCCCCTCCTACCCCCACAGACCCACAATAACTCCCCCCCCTCACACACACACACACACACACACATACACACACTGCCCCTATACACACACACACGGTACCCATCACACATACACACACACACTTCCCTCCATGAACACACACTGTACCCCTCACACACACACACACTGCCCCCTCACTCACACATTGTACCCATCACACATACACACACACACACACACACACACATTGTACTCCTATACGCACATTGCCCCCCATATGCACATAAATAAGTTATAAAATAGTAATTTAAATTAGTAGTAAAATAGTAATATTATGCTTTGATTTTTTTTTTTATATATAATTGGCTGATATACTATAAAAAAAATCTAGTATGTATAGCATTTTAGTTGTACTCTAGTTTCCTTTATGCAGTACACACAATCAGAGTGGCAGAGAGGTTTATTTACAAACGTGACAATTCAAAGTGTTTGGCTTTGTTGACCTTAAATTTTAAATTCACTTTGAATTCTCACGTTAGTAGGTAAGCATGAAAAAAGTGGATTTAATGTTTTGAGCTGTACAGGCAAATGGCTATTAAGTAACAGGCTATATATATTTATTTAATTTTTTTTCTTCACAATCCGCAGTGAAGTGAAATGTTGTTTTGGAATGGATTTAATTAATTTGTACTAGCACAAAGACTCATAGTAGCCCAATAATAAGAAGAGACTTCTGTGCACAGCTTCTTCCATTGGTACCCTCTTTTCATTTGTCTGTGATCAAAGGGAAATGGAAGTTCCTGAACAGAAAAGGTTGGCACAAAGTATAGCAGCATGATTAAGATTGGGGGAACCTCTGATGTACACAAAGGGTGTTTTTTGAGTCCTCTCCAGAGACCACAAGCACCACTACCAATGCCGCTACTACCAATAGCAATGGCTCTACAGTTCCCACTACCTCTGGTTCTGCCGTGATTCCTCCTATGTTTTATTGTAATAGCAAAGTTGCTGCTGTCATTGAACATGCTACCTCCTAGTCCTCACAGGCACCCTAAAAAGGAACTAAGGGAGGGGAGGTAGAACTGCAGAGTCTTTCAAAGTAGTTTTTAGTTTGTGTCTGCCAGAAACTGCTCCGGTAATCAATGCAAGTGCTTCATAAGTCTTGCCATTGTCTGCTCTTGCAGAAGGTGATACCAGTCTCACCCCCAGCACTGCAGGAATTGCGTTTAGTCTGGTTTATAAAGAGCTTCACTGTGAACCAGAGGAGGAGCAGATAGTAGAATAGAGTCAGTAGATGCCCTAGAGCAGTCCACTTTGTTCTCCACCAGCTAGTGTACACTCTTCCCCTGCCTCTCTATCTTTTCCTCTACCACCTGCTACAACTGGTAATGTACCGCCTTATACTGTGGAGACTGGTAGAACGTCCAAATCCAGATCTACTGCCAGGTTTACTACTCCAGCACTGGCACAGTTGCCATCACCAGGGCAACTGTCCAAATCACTAGCACCACCACTATTACTAGCAGCAGCAATCCAAGTATTCTAGTTAGTACCAGTGCAGAGTCTTGGTCATGTCAACTCGTGGGAGTGCTGCTAATGCTAATCCACTTGTAGGGGAACATTGTAGCAAAGTTTGGACCACTTTAAAAGCTTTGGAGGTGGGTGGCTTTAGAAAGACCCCAGTGAGGGCTGAAATTATGCATTTTTTTTGTTTGTTTCAAACAATAAAATGTAGTGCTGACTATCTGGATAGGAGATGTACTGGACCAGTGCCATCTTAACAACATTATGGGCCCCCCGGGCAAAGCAGTGCACTGGAGCCCAGCCTACACAACCACTCACAGGAATAAAAATGTATATAGTCGATCAAATTAAGCTTGTATTTATTGGTACCTCTAACAAATACATTCATACAATACAAAGACACGGACTGCTGAATACACACACACGGACTGCTGAATACACACACACGGACTGCTGAATACACACACACGGACTGCTGAATACACACACACGGACTGCTGAATACACACACACGGACTGCTGAATATACACACACGGACTGCTGAATACATACAGGCTGCTGAATACACACACGGACTGCAGAATACACACAGGCTGATGTATACACACACACACAGACTGCTAAAAGCATAAACAGACTGCTTAATACCCACACACAGACTGCTGAATACATGCAGACGGCTGAATGCATACACATAGAGTGCTGAATACATGCATGCAGACTGTTGAATACATGTACACAGACCGCTGAATACATACACAGACTGCTGAACACACACAAAGACTGCTAAACACACACAGACAGACAGCAGTGAGGGTGCTGTGTGTGTGTGTGTGAGAAGGGTACTGTGTGTGTGAGAAGGGTGCTGTGTGTGTGTGTGTGAGAAGGGTGCTGTGTGTGTGTGTGTGAGAGGAGTGCTGTGTGTGTGTGTGTGAGGGGTGTTGTGTGTGTGTGTGTGTGTGTGTGTGTGAAGGATGGTGTGTGTGGGGGGGGGAAGGGGCATAGGAAAAATAGATTTTTTGTTTGTTTGTTTTTATTTAAAATTAGAAGAAGAAAACCAACCTTCATGTCCCCCCTTTAATGCCCCCACCCTTCTTACCATAGTGGGAGGGGGGGGGGACACTGCCAAACCCTGGTGGTCCGGTGGTGAGTAATGATCTAAAGCCTACAGCTCCTCTGGCTGCAGGCTATCGTCACTCCTCCTGCGAGCAGAATGCTGTGTCAGAGTGTTGCCACTGCAACGTGCGGCAACGCTTAGACCAGCATGCTCGCGGGAGTATATGCCTCCCAGGTCCTCTTTACCTCCCACTCTCCCTCTCTCTAACAAAGGACCTTTTGGCCGGTGAGGGAGATCTCAAAAAAAGTAAACATGGCTGACTCTCTGTGGGCTGGCAGGGGATCGGTCCGGTACATGGGCAACGCAGTGGGGCCCCTATGTTTGTGAGGCCCCCGGGCAAGTGCCCAGCATGCCCATGTAGAGAGATGTCCCTGTGCTGGACCTTCTTTTGATACCTGCAAGTTTGTGTTGGTTTGTGTTGGTTTGTAAAAAAAACAGGGTCACAGTTGCACACTCAACTGCTGAGATAATCTCTATGAATTATTAGTGTGTGCTGGCTATTTATCTTTATTCTTTAAACTGCTGCAGCATCATAAACAGCAGGCCAAAGGGAAGAGGCCAATATGTTGTTTCAAAGCAAAATTTGTGACTGTGACGGAACGCTTGCACTCCGACCGAGTACCTCGCCAATCGATGCTCCTAGTGCTTGCTGAGGACTCCAAGCACTCCAACCGACACAATCAGCACTGCAGACCCCACTTCCAGTGATGCAACTGCGCCGGGGGCTCACCAACCTTCACCCACCCTGCACCCAAAGCCAGGATCCAGCTTCCAGTGGGCAGACCTCTCTTCCTCCAGAGAGCGTAGCAGGAACAAGAACAGCTCTTACAAAAGCTTACCCTGGGGAGTATAGTGTGATTATAGCAATCCAGAGTGTAGTTATCCCATCCACCAAGCATGAGCCAAGGCTTCAAGAAAGGGTCAAGCAGGTCTGTTTAATGAGCACCAAAGGACTTTCTTTTATACAAGATTTTCCACGAGGTCTTGTGGAACAGCCAATCAAACACATTACAATACAGTCAGACACTCCCAGCCAAGGCACAGAACTCCCAACCCCCTCCCCCCCAGCCTGTGATACAATTACTAAACACAATGGGCTAACTTAATTATCACAGGCAGAGAAATTTACAGTTTTACACAATATTCATAACTTCCAAACCATACATGCAATTCACATAAAAGTCAGATATTCTGAACCAGCATAAACAGTATACAAACATATGTCAAAATCATACAATTTGGTCCAGTGGTTAAAAAGTTAGATGGAAGTCTTATTTGACCGACTGCAAGCATGGCTTTCCTGCCCAAAACAGTTTCACAGATTTAGGCTGTGCAGCCGGTCTATCTTCTCCTCTATCCTGGAGATAATTGGCTTAAGTGGGTGTGGTAAGCCAATTATCTCCAGGTACAGAAAATATCTCCATTTACAACAACAGTAAAAATACCTAAAAATACATAATTCCTATTAAACTGAACAGAACGCCCACATTCAACCTATCCCCAGGTAGCTTGGATCTGAGCGCTCAATATATCCAAACAGCGCTCAGATGCCACGAACAGAATAAAATCGCCATGTGGTTAAAGTTTAGCAAGAGCTGATGAGAGATTGAGGAGGGACAAAGCAGCCAGTTTAAACTGGCCTGTCAGTGTCCCTGGGACAACGCCCTGCTGGAGACACAATAGACAGGAAAACTTGGGAGGGGAAGAGGCACATTTTCTCATGGAATTAAAGGGGTAGAAAAAGTGTGTTACAATCCAATATGCCCAAATAATGTTTTTAAAGGGCCATACACCCCAGGGCCATAGTCATAAGGCAGGAGGCTTGCAATCAGGCTCCTCCAAAAGCCTGGGGCAAAGGGCAGTTTGTTGCATAAAAAGCCAGTGACAAAGGGCAGTTTATCACAGTGACCTCTTTGAAAGCGATTGAGATGGGCACTTTGCAAACTGTGTAGAAAGGAAGTAGGCAGGCCGGAGACTGTTAAGTCATTTTACCAATTCTGGGATTCACCAGCAACTCAGCAGCCGTCACAAACCTGTTTTAATGAGGGTAGAGGCAGAAAGTAGTATGTTAGGCAGCAGAGCTACCACTGTCTCTGTAGATTTATTTACAGCTAGCTCCAGCACTAGTACCAATGTTAGACAGGACAGGGGATGAGTTGATGAACTGTATCTCAGCAACCTAATGAGAATATCTCAGGAAGCTAAAAGTGTTGGACAGTGTTAATTAAGTAGGAGGTGCAACTGCTACAAGTAGTAACCCTAGAAGTAGGGGAAACATGCACTTTCCATAGGCTAGCTTATTTACCTGCTCTTAATTAACCTGCCCCCAGTATCCCTGTTACACATCCTAGTGCAACACTAGGGTGTGAAGCAGTGGCGTACACAAGCTCCATGGGGCCCCGGTGCGAAAATTGATCCATGGCCCCCCCTGCGCACTTACTCTGCGCGGGCAGGTGCCGCTACACATGGCGGCGGGCACCTGGTTGCAGGGCTGCGTCCCCTGCGACCGCGGTGTGCCGCCAGTGCATGCAGATACACTTAAAGGACCACTATAGGCACTCAGATCACTTCAGTTTAATGAAGTGGTCTGGGTGCCAGGTCCTTCTAGTGTTAACCCTGCAGCTGAAAACATAGCAGTTTGAGAGACACTGCTCTGTTACACTGAGGGTTAATCCAGCCTCTAGTAGCTGTCTCACTGACAGCCGCTAGAGGCGCTTCCGCGCTTCCCCTGGACGTCCATAGGAAAGCATTGAGTAATGCTTTCCTATGGGCGGTTTGAATGCGTGCATGCACATTCAGAGCTGAGAGGCAAAAAAGGTAAGTGCTGAAGGGGTTTTAACTACACACACACACTCTCACGAACAGACGCATACACACTAACTAACACACACACATTTACTGACAGACACACACTCAGTGACACACAGATACACACTCACTTACAAAACATACACTCTAACTGACAAACACACACTCACTAACAGACACACATTAACAGACACACACTAACACACTCAATAACAGACACACAAACACACTCAGTGACACACACAGTAACGCTCACTAACACACTTACTGACGCTCACTAGCAGAGACACAAACTAACACACAGTAACATACTCACTGACGCACACAAACTAACACACTCATTAACAGACACACACACACAGTAACACACACACAGTAACACACACACACACTAACACACATACACACATTTTTAATTTTTTTATTTAATCCCTTAGCCTCCCTACCTTTGGGAGTGCTGTGGGGATTCCTGCTGTCCGTGGGGTCCTGCTGGGCTTCCGGCCAGGCTGAAGGGCGTGCTCTCTGCCCAGCTCCCTCGCGCTGCTTACTGATGCCGGAGCCGGAATATGACGTTAACCTTGTTCGTCCATTAGTAAATCCCCACTTCCTGATCGCTGGCAATCTCCCGCCGTTGATCGCGATCATGGGGTCTGCCAGACCCCCTCTGCCCAATATGGCCCTCCCAGGCTATGTGATCGTGAGGTCCTCGCGATTATATGGCCGGAATAGCCGGCTTGAGAAAATTCCAAGTTGGAAAACTGGAATGCACACCCTCCAAATAAGGAATTTTAGCCTCCAGAGAACCCGACACACCTATACATGGGTGGCATCACTGTACTCGGGAGATGTTGCTGAACACATATTGGGGTGTTCTTTGGCAGTAACCCTTAAAGTTCTCAGTACATGTATTCTTAAATTGCTATGTGTGTCAAAAAAATTACCAATTATTATTTTTTGAAATTTGGCATAGATTGGTGGTATTGGATGAAAAGAGCATGAAAAGAGTCATAATACCCCAAGTTTAATACCTTAGGTTGTCTTCGTTTAACAAATATATACATGTGAAGGGTTATTCAGGGATTCCTGACAGATATCAGTGTTACAATGTAACTTGCGTTAATTTTGGAAAGAAAATGGTTTGGAAATAGCAAAGTGCTACTTGTACTTATTGCCCTATAACTTGCAAAAAAAAAGCTAAGAACATGTTAACATTGGGTATTTCTAAAATGAGGGCAAAGTTAGAAACTATTTAGCACGGGTATTTTTTCGCAGTTGGAGATGCGCAACAGATTTTGGGTGTCAAAGTTCGAAAAAACTAGTTTTTTTTTTTAAATTTGGAAAACAAGGGGCTGGCTGCACTCACCTGAACATGCTTAAATGGGGTGCTGCTGGGGGCCAATAAGTACAGTAAAAATGAAAATTCAGTCCACTCCCTTATCTACTAAACAGCTACTTTGGTGCTGACAGATTTTGCTAGTTTTATTAAAAACACCTAATCTAGGCAAAAAAATAATGGGGGTTTAGTTACATTATATGATCATACATTGCATAAGCCTGCCACAATTTTTAAATTTTTTCATCATATTTTAGAATTTTTTTATAGTAAATTATATGGTGAAAATAATAGTATCTTTAGAAAGACTATTTAATGGCGAGAAAAATGGTATATAATATGTGTGGGTACAGTAAATGAGTAAGAGGAAAATTACAGCTAAACACAAACACCGCAGAAATGTAAAAACAGCCCTGGTCCCAAACGGTAAGAAAACTGAAAAGCGATCTGGTCACTAAGGAGTTAATTAAGCAGTTTTTGTGTACAGATCCAGCCTCTGAAGTACTGCTCAATTCTCTGACATTTAGGAGTTAAAACACTCTTTATTTCTGTCCATGCAGCCCTAGCCACACTTACCCTGGCTGTGACTGACACAGCCTGCAATGAACAAAGTGGTTTAATCAGATGTAACTTACTTTAAAAGTGTATCTTACTTTAAAATTGTTTATCTCCTGCTCTGTAAAGTGAACTTTAATTACATACAAGAGGCTCCTGTATGGTTTAACAAGCTATTGAGAGTGCCAGAGATAAGAAATTTGCAATAAAGGAAGTGTAAACATTAGATTACTCATTACAGGAAGTGTTTAGGAAGTCACAAGTAGGGCAGTGTGACTAGGGTTGCATGAACAAAGTCATGTAACTTTTAAATAACAGTGAGACTGCAGGGGCATGATCTATACACCAAAACTGCTTCACTAAGCTAAAGTTGTTTTGGTGAATATAGTGTACCTTTAATATATTTTGGTCCACTGTATCAAAACATTTTGAAACATTTAAGAAAATAGGTCTAAGTTTAGTTTTTGCAATGCAATTCTAAACATCATTAAAGACAGTTGTCATGGGATGTTTAGAACAAAATTCACATGAAATGGGCAAAATGTTATATCTGTATAGTTGTTCATGAACATATCTTTCTAGATCTTTAGAATGGTATTTGCTGTGTTCCATTCTTGGTGTATAACACTTGAAGATGGGCACAGGAAGAACTACCAGAGTCGCAACATTTGTGATTGTGACCAAGTGCCTGGAGCACCTTCTGTCATCGGGTTCAAGCCATGAGGAGGCCCCCCTGTAAAACAGCTGTGCCGTTCCTGCCTCCGTGGCTGAGATAATCCATCTTGATGATCTCAGCCAAGCCAATGCATTCCATGCTTTCCCTTAGGAAAGCATTAGGAGGCAATTGTGCATGCGTTAATCAGCATCTCCTCATAGAGATGCAATAAATCAATGCATCTCAATGGTGAACATTCAGCACCTCTGTGCAGAATGTGGAGATGCTGAGTATAGGTATTCCTGGTCAGCAATGTAAACACCTCCTTTATTCTGAAAATGCTTCTAATGAAGCTGAACCACCAGGGACTGTTAGGTTATTCCCTCATCTATGCAAAAAGGCAAGCATGAGGAGTGTAATTTTGCAATTTTTTTTCATTTTGATTAAATAAGTAGGAGAAATATGGGAAGTAGCTTCTCCCACAGTCAAACCTACGCACATCACACTCTGCAAGTCTTACACAGATCCCACTCATCCAAATCCCACACCTACATATCACACTCAGCCAGCCACACACATCACACTTTGCTAACCTCCCCCACACATACACTGACAATTCTTGCACCAGGGCCCTGAAGTTTCTAATGGTGGCCCTGATTAGTGGGAATATATATTTAACATTTATATTTAGCATGAAGAATGAATGTTGGCGTCTGATCATCGCCAACTTCCTCATCATCACGTTTCTATTTTATAGTCAGGGAAGTGGAACATCTAGCAAAGCGGCTTTTAAAAGTTTGTTTGCTTTAGCTCCAGGGTCTTTTAACATACCTATATATTTTTTTTAGGAGTGATCAAGAATGGTTTTAGGAAAAACAGACGGTTTGTAGATGTTTTCAATTCTATTACAGACATTTGTCAGATTTGATTATTTCCTCTTTAAGTTATTTGTAAAATATTCAGCAGTGCAGAAGTTCTCAGATGTTTGAAATATCACACAATTATTTGTAAATGATGTGCTTAAAGAGACTTTAAATATGTTGCTATGTTTAACTTCATATAATGCTTTCAGTGATAAGTCACAATGAGATCCATTGCCAGCTGTGATGTACGGAGGATCACCCTTTCAGAAAGATTAAAGATAGATACAGTTGACTGTATTCCTAGCTCCTGCATTGTATCTGGACAGGACAAGAGGATCGATTCGAGCAAAATAAGGTGTTTTGAATAATAGATTGGTATATGAACAGCGAATGCCGTATCTGATCAAGGCAACTTACTTAATCAATATATATTTGTAAAGCATTTTTAAACCTCAAGATTGCAGACTGAATTTTTATCTTGGTAAACTCAATCTTGCAATTTACTGATGATGGTAAAGTGAGCACCAATTGACTTTGGAAATATCTATTCTGCAGGACAAACTTATAAAAAGGAGAAAATCTCCAGGTATTCTTCCGAGTAAATGTTTTATTGTTGCCGATCCTACAATAACTCTCACTTGAATTTCGATGAAAGTTTAAGGCCGGCCTGAAAAAGTTATTTGCAAATAAGAAGTATTGAAATGTTCATTTTCACTTGGATCCCACAGACCTATGGAATAAATATACACAGCTAGAAGTGGTTATGGTTAATGAGTTAGATATGGATATAAAGGCAAATAAAATGAAAGCGATATAGTGTTAACATGCGTGTTAGACTTTGGTCTCTGGATGGTATTGCAGCAGTTAAATTATCTTGTAAAACTCTGTTGCAAAAGTTTTTAGAAAACTTAGTGTACTTCTCATGCAACCCTATATTGACAGGTTAAAGCTAGCAGCAGATGACAAATGTCAGGAAGTGTCCGTGTAAATCCAATACAAGCTTCCTTAAAAGCATAACTCCATAAAGGGCCTCTTTTATAAGCCCAAAGGAACACTACAGCATTAGGAATCCAAACTGCCCTGTTAACAGTTTAGGTGCTTGACCCCCCCACCTGTAAGGAGTGAAACTGCAAGAATCACATTTTCTATATGTATATTATAATTCTATCGAAGAACACTTAATCTCACCATATTTTGATAAACAGTCATAAGTGTGGTATGTTAAACACAAGGTGAGCATGAATGTGATTTGCATTTTTAAAAATAGTAACATTTGTTTGGCGCATGGGATCCAAAGCTTGCCAAACAGCAAATTCATGATTAACATCTTCCCTTCTCTTGCAATATTTCAATAAAGGTCTGCCATATTAATAGATAAGCACAAATAAAATATATGTTACATGTTTTAGATGGCATAAAATGCAAATATTCTCTGTTTATAGGTATTTGGAAGGGAACCGATGGCATTTTTGGAAATACAGATTCTCAAAAGTGCCACCACAATGCACAAAAATATCTGTATAGTGTGCATAATGCCCACATAGCATGAATACAAGTTACACCAAGCATATGCACTACGCATTGTGCTAGGTATATTTCGAGTTCATTATTTTATTAGCCTTCCTGGCTGCTAGGATGTATCCTCTAAATCTGACCCGAAAATGATTCTGTAGAATGTGAGAGATAGAAGGTACTACTATTTACAGTGCCTCTGCAGAGATGCTGAGGGTCCAAATGTTGCCAAATGTGTTTTTCCAAGTTGAGCACTGGAGAAAAGGGGTAGGTGCTTATTGGGCTAAACTTAATTTTGCATTGTTTTGCAATGAGGATGCAAGCTCATGTAATGATGTTTAAAGGAAAGGGGGTAAAAATATATAAGTGGTTCCCAATAATATTACTCTGGATTGTGGCTATAGCTTAATATGTCCCACAAATCTAGATACCTGTGACATAACCCTATTTTAATCGTCACATTAATTAAACCATTGCATTTCAAAGATCTGTTGCTCTCAATAACTACTCAGAAGACTGACATCATGAAGGAGCAGGAGTTTCATAGATTAGTTAACAGCTCTCAGGAACAAAAACTAGAATTAATGCCAAACAGGAAAAATGGAAGGCTTAGCATTTAGCAAACAATTGCAAATGAGCCAACAGGGTCAAATCAAGATATTTTTTTAAATTTAGATCACCTCTGTCCTCTAGACATCCTCTTTGGTGCAGGCAAACAGTAATTATGGTGCCTGCGTAGTAATATTCTACATTAGAAACTTGCATTTTTCATGCCGATTTCTTTAAAAAAAGTGCTTTAAGTCAACTGAATCCATAAGCAACCAAAGTGTGTGTCCATGTGTGTGGCCCGGGCAGATGTTTTCACAAAGGTAGATCTTCAGTAGTTGCAGAACTACAACTTTAGGCTGGCTGAGCATTATGGGTGTTGCAGTTTTGCAGAAGCTGGTGATCTACCTTTTGTGGACTCCTAGTCTATAAGTTGCCTTGCTAACAATCTTTGCTAACTTCAAAAGAATATCAAATAAACTATGTTCAGCAAACATGTCCCAAAAGAACTTTAATTAATTATAATAGGTTATCTGTAGATAAAGTAGACAAACACTTGAGTGTTATTCGGCACAGTCTGCATATCTAAGGAACAGTCATGTTAATACAATTTCATTTACAAGGAAATGACAGACAACCCAAATATGTTCTCCCTTCATGACCTCAGCTCCTAAAAGTGAAGAATACTTGGCGCTTAACAGGTTCAGCAAGATATTTCTATCAATACACAAAACACAAAAAAAAAGCTGTCATCTATGGGTTTTTTACGCTAATGATAATATTCATAGAACTTCTTTGGAAGACGAAAAACATGTTATCTAAACCAGCATTCTTGCATCATCTGGATAGACGTGTGAGAAAGTATCCAGATGTATTATATCAGGGTTAATTCCAGTGAAAGTTTGACTCTAGATAAGGCGGAATGAAGTGGAAGGAATCATTTTTGATTAATGAAATGTAAAACTAATGATTACTTTGCAGTAATAAGAGTGCCTCTAGTGGCTGTCATTCAGAAAGCCACTAGAGGCACTTTCTGCTTGCTAGGCGACAACTGACGCTGGACATCCTCACGCTCTGCATGACGACATCCAACGTCTGTTGACTCCCCACAGGAAAGCATTGACGCATTATTGTTGTGGTGTTGCGAGGGGGGGGGGGCAGAGGGACACGATAGCATTAGGAATACACTTTTGTGTGCCATACCTGTGAGGTGGATGGATTATCTCGGAAAAGGAGAAGTGCTCACTAACACAGATTTAGACAGATTTGTGAACAATATTTGAGAGAAATTGAGAGGCCTTTTGTATACATAGAAAAAGTCTTAGATCTTTGAATTCAGCTCATGAAAAATGGGGGCAAAAACTAAAGTGTTGCGTTTATAATTTTGTTCAGTGTAGCTGTCTCATTTCCTTTTTGCGCTTTTTGGGCCATATCCACTAAAATGTATGTACTGCATGTATGAGAAATGTATGTAACATACACAGTATAGCAAATTAGGGAGCTGTCTTCTAGACAGCTGAAGAATTAAAAAAATTAAAAAAGCCTTTTATTCATTTTGGTCTTTAAAGAACCATTTAGGTGGGTTGGCCTCCCTTAGCCCCTCAATAAAAGTTTAAATTCACCTTTTTTCCAGCGCTGCATGGGACCGCCGGTGCTGGCTCCGCCCCCTTTGTGACATCATCAAACGTGCCGATTGTTAGCCAATCCTGTAGCTGTAGTTGTTCTGGTGACTATAGTGTCCCTTTAACTCCTTAAGGACACATGACATGTGCGACATGTCATGATTCCCTTTTATTCCAGAAGTTTGGTCCTTAAGGGGTTAAGCTGGTTTAGTAGATAGTTCCCTAATTTAGTACCTTGCCTTACGAGGGATTGCCATTTTAAGGTTACCGAATAAAGGAGCTATCTACTAAACACAACAGCTCCCTAATTTGGCACCCTTATATGGGATTGCTATATATAAAGGGGCACTATAGTCACCAGAACAACCAGGGCTTAATGTAGTTTTTCTGGTGAGTATAGTCAGTCCCTGCAGGCTTTTTAATGTAAACACTGTGTTTTTAATGAAGTCAGTGTTTATTTTATAGCCTAAGAACACTTCTAGTGGTCCTTAACTATGACAACCCCAAGTAGGGATACCAAATTAAGTTATCTATAAACAGTTGATCAAAATTAAGAGAGAGGCCCTTTTTATTTATTTTAATCTTTTTGCTGTGTTTAGCAGATAGTTTCCTTATTTGGTATCCTTACCTAGGATTACTACTGTCAAGGAAGCCAAATAAGGGAGCTAATACCCTAATTTGGTATCCTGGAATAATGAGAATAATGGTGTCCGAATTTCGTTTTCATTCCTAATTTATTCTAAATTTTGTTTAGTTCTGAATTTCAGACATACCAAAATTAGAAAATAAACTAATTGAAACAAAACAAACTGAAACAAATTTTTTCACCCATGCACCTCTCTATCCAGAGTAGCGCCTGTATATACCTTGATAGGTTTCCCTTATTGTCTACATGCCTTGGAGAAGAGAGGAGTGGTTATTTAAGAATTCACTTTAAACAACTGATGGTCTTTCACTGTATCCTGATACATTTGTCCAGTAATAAATATATAGGAACATTTTGTTATTTTAGAAAAATGATCTCACTTGTCCTAGCCATGAGTTTGTTTCCAATAAGTCACCCTTGAGATAATGATTAGACCAAGGACATTCTATTCTATTTATATTTGCTATAGGCAGTATAGAAAATCACAAAGAACAATGGGCTGTGCATTTACGTACCAGAACCCATCCCTCAAATTAGCATCCTTACTACTGCAATTGCTTCCAGATACTAGAGACTTATTAACATACCACTCATGTTATCAGAAGTAACACATAGTGTACATGTGATCTTTTAGGCCAAAACAGACTAACTAAAAACATGACTGACTGAATTTATATTGGCATTAATTCAAGTGAAATTCACTTGAATTTGAAACAATTTACACGTTACTGAATAACTATATTTTACAAAAATAATTTCTTACCTACTTGCTTGCTAACTACTACTGATGAAATAATATATCTGGTATGTTAAGCAATGTATTGGAATGTCTTCATAATCATCTACCTTGTAGTAAATGAGCAGTGTTTCTTGTGTGCACTTTGTGATGTCATCAAGCTGTAATGACATCAGAGTTCTGGAACGGTAATATGTATCTCAGTGTCACAGTTCAGCATGACCTGTATTCAGGCAGCATCATTACAAACATTACAAGTGATGATCAGAAAACTATATATCCATACATTGGTAAGACATAACAAATATGTTTTTGGAGAATCCTGTTAAACTGTAATGAAAAATGATAACATCTCAGTTGTAGAGGTATTGCTTCACTGAAAAAGTCAGAACGAGGCTCCATGTAACCTGTTAATTTTAACCAATGATATGTTTATGACATGTTTTACTGCTTTGTAAATATTCCCCATGGTACTAAATATTGAAAATCTTTTTAGTTGCAGATGGGGGGTACATGCTCTACGGTAGTGGTCATTCTGACTTGTTTGTCTTATTTATTTTCAAGGTTTCTAGTAAAACAGTGCATCACAGAACACTGAGGTTTTCCATTTATCATGTGGATAAAATAAAGAAACACCATCTACTGGGGCAGGTGCTGTTCCCTTTGAAAAATGAAAATTTGACAGATGATGGGAAGCTTGTTATTTGGAGGGATCTAGAAGTTGAAAATATGGAGGTAAGGCTGTAATTAGTATTGTTAAATTCTAAATCAAATGATATCTGAAAGGGTCTCGCAGCATTGCACCTCCTATACCCTTTCTGTATAATCTTGTATTGATCTCACTTTAATATAGAGGGGCAATGTGTATATATAAACACATGCACACACGTTCACTTTATAGTGTGTTTGTCATGGTACCTGAATCACAGACCTCCTTCTCCTCCAGCATTTTCGGCACTTTAGAGGCCGGCCATGATAGTCTGGTTAATTATCTTCATGAATTATGACTTTCATCCTACTATTCTTCCGTCGGTGTCCTCTTCACAGGGTATACTGATGGTTGATATCCAGGTCGCCAATCTGAGGAAGTTGTGAGATCAGATTCACCATATTCTTGTTCACACTTCGGCTTTACCTAAATGTCAAGTGGATAAGCGCAGAAAACCTGCTCCTGTTTTTCACCCAGGGGATAAGGTATGGTTGAGTACCAGACACATACGTTTAAGGGTTCCTTCCATGAAATTCGCACCTCGTTACATAGGGTCTTACAAGGTCTTATGGAAGATCAACCCAGTTGCCTATCAACTTGCGCTCCCTCCTGGGTTGCGCATTCCTGATTCTTTTCATGTTTCACTATTGAAACCTCTCGTTTGTAATAGATACACCTCGGCTTCGACTCCTCCCTCTTCTGTTCAAATTGAGGGTCAGGAGGAATATGAGATTAATTTCATTCTTGACTCCCGTTTCTCTCGTGGGAGGTTACAGTATCTTGTTGACTGGAAGGGATATGGTCCTGAAGAAAGGTCCTGGGTGCCTCATGCGGATATCCACGCTCCTCGCCTTCTCCGGACATTCCATGCCCGCTTTCCGTCTCGTCCTGGCTCCTTTCGCCTGGTGGGCGTTCCTAAGACAGTGGGTACTGTCATGGTACCTGAATCACAGACCTCCTTCTCCTCCAGCATTTTCGGCACTTTAGAGGCCGGCCGCGATAGCCCCGCCCCCTTTTATGACGCGGCGCAATCCCGCTGACGTCGTGACATCAATGAGATCACGAACTGCCGAAAAAAATCAAACCAGGATGTTTTGGGGGCGTGGACATCAATTAAAGAGCCAGGCTATAAAAAGTACTCACTTACAGTGAGTCATTGCCCTGTCGTGGTTTCAGCTTGTCTGTTCCCTCAGTGCATCTCTCGTGATTGGTTTTCTGGTTAATTATCTTGGCTTGTATCCTGACCTTGCTGTTCTCTCCTATCCTTGTACCCGGCTTGACCTTCGCTTACCTGTCTTCTCGTTCCCTCGACCTCTGCTTGTCTGTGACCATTCTTAGTTTATGTGACGTTAGTCCGGCCACTCTAAGGTCCGGTATACGTCTTTATAGTTTCAGTACACTGCGTGTTGGATTCCTGTCTTGATCCTGACAGTGTTTATACAATATTTTTGTTATTCAACGAATTACCTTTTCAAGTCCTCACTTGAAAACAATGTAAAGGGATACATATGACATTTATATAGCACCAACTTATTCCGTAGCGCTTTAGAATATTGTATATATTACTCACTGACAGACAGACACTCACTCACTCACTGACAGACACTCACTCACTGACACACACAGAAACTCACTGACAGACATACACTCACTCGATAACAGACTCACACACACAGACACTTACTGACATACATTCACTCACTGACAGACACACACTCAATGACAGCCATACACTCACTCACTGACACACACACACAGAAACTCATTGACAGACATACACTCACTCAATGACACACACACACAGACACTTACTGACAGACATTCACTCACTGACAGACATACACTCACTCAATGACAGAAACACACACACACACAGACACTCACTGACAGACATACACTCACCGACAGACCCACACACAGACACTTACTGACCGACATACTCACTCACTGACACACACACACAGAAACTCACTGACAGACATACACTCACTCAATGACAGACACTTACTGACCGACATACACTCACTCACTGACAGACTTACACTCACTCACTGACAGACACACAAACACACACTCACTGACACACACACACAGAAACTCACTGACAGACATACACTCACTCAATGACAGACACTTACTGACCGACATACACTCACTCACTGACAGACTTACACTCACTCACTGACAGACACACAAACACACACTCACTGACACACACACACACAGACACTCACTGAAATACACTCACTCACTCACTGACATACATACACTCATTGACACACACACTAATAGTCAAACATTCACACACTCACTGACACAAACACAAACACACACAGGCAGACACTTACTGACATACACACACACTCACAGTCGAACACACACCTCCCTGGGATCCAGTGTGGGGCAGTTCCTCACTCCTCCAGCGCGTTGTTTAGTATGCAGTTGCTGGAATTACGTCATAGTCTGACTCCCAGCATCACAGAGGGCGCGCGAGGGACTAGTGGGAAGCTGCAAGAACAGCCTCCCTCAATGCCTGCCTTCTCTGCCCCCCTCTTCTCATGACACCAGCATTCGTTGGCAGAGCAGGCACCTACCATCAAGGTAAGCAGGTGCCTGCTCTGCCTTAACTAGCGCACAGCTTCGGGGGCGCCCTGAGATGGCCAGATGGCCTCCTCCTGGCCCACCTGTGAAAGGGCTCCTCTCAGTGCCCCCAACTTCTGGCGCCTTGAGGATCGGCCCAGCGCTGGGGGCAGCTCAAGAGTTGCTCACCCAGCTCTGCGGCCCCAGACAGGGGGAGCCCACCAAGAAACATACAGGTGGGTGCCCCCAGCAGCAGCCACCTAAATTGCAATTAGTGTCTGTGTATAAATAGTTAATGAGTTTGTTAGCTCTCACGTGAATGCACTGAGAAATGGTTGAGTTGCCAAAAAGAGGCCTTTACTGCACCAATGCCACAAAAAAGCCCACTTACAATACGCCTGATAACACCTTGGCATGCCTCACAGCTACTGGCACACTGTAATTTGGAGTGACGAGACCAAAATAGAGCCTTATGGCCACAACCATAAGCACTATGTTTGGAGAGAAGTCAACAAGGCCTATCCCCGCTGTGAAGCGTGGTGGTGGCTCACTGATGTTTTGGGGGGGTGTGAGCTCTAAAGGCACAGGGAATCTTGTGAAAATTGATGGCAAGATGAATGCAGCATGTTATCAGAAAATACTGGCGGAGAGTTTGCATTCTTCTTCACGAAGGCTGCGCATGGGACACTCTTAGACTTTCCAGCATGACAATGACCCTAAGCACAAGGCCAAGTTGATCCTCCAATGGTTAAAGCAGAAAAAGGAGAAGGTTCTGGAGTGGATACCTTAATATAGAGCCATTCTCGGGAGATCTCAAACGTGCGGTTCATGCAAGATGACCAAAGACTTTGCATGAGGCATTTTGCCAAGACGAATGGGCAGCTATAATGCTTGCAAGAATTAGGGGCCTCATAGACAACTATTACTAAAGACTGCACCTGTCATTGATGCTGATGGAGGCAATACACAGTATTAAGAACTAAGGGTATGCAGACTTTTGAATAGGGGTCATTTCATTTTTTTTCTTTGTTGCCATGTTTTGTTTTATGATTGTGCCATTCTTTTATAACCTACATTTGAATATGAATCCCATAAAAAATAAAAGAAATGTGTTTTGCCTGCTCACTCGTGTTTTCTTTAAAAATGGTACATTTATGACCAATTCTCCTGTGGCGGAACCAATCTCGCCACTGTGCATTGGAGGAGCCTGGTTGCCTGCCTGCTGCCTTTTGACTATGGACCGGCATTTAAATACTTTATTTATTTTCCTATGCAGAATGGTATATTCGTGTATTTCTGCCCTGGCGTTCAGTAGATTCTCGGATTTACTGAATGAACTCATTTAACCCAGATAGCTATGCCATGGAGCCTATTCGTGTAATAAAAGAATTTGGCTCCATGGCAATTGAACTGTATGTGTGTGGTCTAAGCGCCATTCAGTAATAATGTGCGCTCAGACCTAAGCTATCTGGGGATATGTTGCATGTCTGTATTTTATGTAATAAATGTAACCTTGTGTATTTTATTGTATTTTACTGTATTTTGCTAACATGTGGCTAATGGAATTTTGCCTCTGTCCTTGGAGATAATTGGATTACTTCTCAATTATCTCCAGGATAGAAAACTCTGTGGAACTGGTTCTGGGCAGAAAAGCCATGCTTCATTTGGTCACAAAGGACTTTGATCTATCTTTTGAACCAATGGACCAATTTGGATGATTTTGACATATGTTTGTATTTGGAGTATGTTGATTCTGAAAATGTGAATGTGATGCATACTTTTAAACTTATGAATAATGTGGAAAAACTGTATTTCTCTGCCTGTGATAATTACATTACCCATTGTGTAAGGTAATTGTATCACAGGCAGAGGGGAGGATTTTGTGTGGCAGTGTCTGAGTGTATTGTACATGTTTATTGGTTGTTTTCCAAAACCCTGTGGGTGGTACTAATGTGTAAGAATGTGTATATAAGAACAATAAACCCACAGCTCTGTCTGTTCATGTTTTGACCCTCAATCAATAGAATCAATAGAAATTACTTTCATGAGGCGGGGGTACTTAGGAATTTATTTGATACCTGCAGGAGTACTTCTCCATAACATTTTGAGAAACACTGCTCTAGAGTAAAGTGATAAATAACGAGTAATCGCTTTGGAAACCAATAGAATGTCTCAACGCGTAGCCCTTTTCTCCCAAAATATTACCTGATTTTCCTTTCCCCACTTACATAAAAAAAAAACCTAATGATTAAAGTTGTGGATTTACGGTTACAGATGTACAGTTACAGTGTGCAGCATCTTCAAACAAGTATCCCTGCATATTATGGCTTTGGTTTAATATTTTTGTATACGCTTTCCAAGTTATCACAATCTGTTAGAAAAAGTATTTGAACAGAGTATCTATAAAAATTCCAATAGACTTTAAAAACGATTTCTGTAGATAAATAATTTGAAATGTTTTTCTAACAGATTGTGATCTGTGACTGTGATCTTCTGAAAAGCTTAGCCAAATTTTTTAACGTGAGGCCAATGTTCCCTCTACCCAAAGCCGCTCTAACCCACAAGATTAAATAAATTGCACAGATTTTTCTTTTAAGCAAGCACAAAACATTTCTAAAATATTACGTTGTTATTATTGCAAAATAATTTTCAACTGTTGTAACAGTTGATGCATTGTTAAAGCAAGTTGAAAACTTTGTTTTTATGGGAACTTTGAAAGGGATAGGCTGAGTGCTTGACATTTTTTTTTTTGAGAAAGCTATACAAAACAAATTTATTGCAAAAGCTTACAGTAAATTTAAATTAAACCTATCATCTTCAAAAGCTTGTATTGTGTTCTTTATTTAGACTGGATGAATAAACATAATATGAATTCATAAAAAGTGGGAAAAATTTTCTTATCATAGAATGTCAAGTTTTAAGATTGACAGCGGGTGTTCTTAAAGGCACAGTAAATAATGCAACTAATGTATTCATAATAAAAATGTTAAGCCTTGTGCTGCATAATTTGTATTTATCCCACATAAAAAAAGTCGTACATCCTGATCATGGTTCATTTGATCACACATTGCTCTCTTCAGTGATGCAACATCTGAAGCTACACCCCACCCTGAAATATTTTTAAAATACTAGTCCCCAAGCACGTTTGACGACTCCTGTGCATAGTTCTAAACTGCTTAATCCTTCATATTTGACTTCCCAGTTTGCCTATGTGCTATAATGTTTAAAACAGAATCATGTTCAAATATAACGTATTCTTATTGTGACATATATTGCAGCATGATAAGTTACCGGGCCTCCCAAATTTCCCAATTTCAGTGGTACAGTCCATATTTAAGGGTCTTATTCTGCTGTTCTGACTGTCCCCTGAAAGCATAGTGTGAGCAAATTATTATACACGCTTGTTCTATGCTCAGGGCACTTGTACCATGCGTAAAGTACTTTTACAGTGCTGTATGCATGTTCTACCCTTAGTGGGCTGGCATTCTTGATTGACAGTAAGGCTGACATGCATTCAAGCCAGGTTATCTGCTGAGCTGACTGGTCCCTTTATGATTGAGTCTGCCCATATTATTCCACCCACTGGCATACCGCTTTATGAGATGTAAGTGTTGGGGGTTATGGTATATGCTCACTTGGATTTTTTTTACATTTCCCTAAATAATTATTAACAATAAGAAAACATAACCTATATAGGACAAATATAACAGAGAAACGGCAAACAAAAATCTTAAAGGATATTCTATAATGAGTTTTTATTTTATTTTTTTTATTTTTATATTTACAATTTAAGATGTTGTCTATTCATCAATTATGGAATATATTCAAATATAATGAAATCTTGATATCAGATAATAAGGAAGATAATAGTTCAATTAAAACTGCAGATTTCATATTTCTCAAACTCGTCATCTCTAGGAACTTTTAACAAGTCTACCGCTTGGTCAAGTGTAAATCACAAATAATAATAAGTAAAATCATTTCTTTCACATGGTTACACCAATTCTCTTAAAAATCTTAATTTCCAATAGGTGTAGATGGAGTTATTATTACTTTATTTTTTTTCTATGTTTTGTGTTGCGATTTTGTGAGATCAGGTAAGTATTGTTTAGAAATGTGTTGGTCATAACTCTGCAACTCAAAGGGATAAACATTTGAAATATACATTTCTGATATTACATATTAGTCCAATAGATTAGGAGGTGGAGAGTCACTGGTACCTGGTTATGTTGTGGCTAGTTCAACTCTGTCTTGTTCCCTCTAGGTTGCACAGTACCTGTAAGGTAGGTAAGAGAGGAATAGCTGGGAGAGGAATAAGTGCTAGTTATTTACTGCATAATAGACTGGGGAAAAAAGGAATATAATAGAATATAAAAAAAAAAATCATGCCAAATGTTTTGGCTATTGATTGTTTTTTTTTTTTTTTTTAAATAATGGAGCTTTTAACAATACAAGTGTACCCTATAAAACCAAAAAATAGTTTGTTTTGGCTTTTATGACTTAAAAAAAGTGATACGCCTGTTTTGAATTTTTAATGGATGACATTCAGTGATAAATGCATGGTTTGTCTTTTTTTTTGTATCATGGCAGGAATTTTAATTTCTATCAATTTACACACTAGTGAACTGAACATTTTTTACCAAAATAATCCAATTGAAAACATAGTGTAGAGTCCAATTTGGATTGTTGCCTAAAAATTGAGTCATGTTCTCAACCAGAAGGTTATGTTTGAAAGTGTAAACTCGGTGGAAGTTAATTCTTTTTAAATATCGTATTATTTATATTGCTTGTAGATTAATGGGTTTTTTTTTCCTCTTTTTTTTTTTCCAGCCTCCATCAGAGTATGGAGACATCCAGTTCTCTCTTAGCTACAATGACTACCTGGGGCGCATGACGGTAGTTGTTCTCCGTGCCAAAGGTTTACCATTTCAAGTGGAGCCTGGTAAGAGCAGTAAGTAACGTCCAACTTATCATTCAACACCAAATTAACATCTTTCTGCACATTTCCTGCTTAGAATGTCTTTACTGATATCTCTGTTTTATATAGCAACCGAGTTAGAGATGGCCTGGGAGATTTGCGATTGGAGGTTAGACGTTGTTAAGTATTAGGGTTAATACAGACCTATGACTGGTTTAACATTAAGGAATCTTAGAGAGAAAGTATACGTGCATTCTTGAACCTGTGGTCTGTAATTCATAAAAGCCATTATATGTCTACTGTGCTCGATGAAGGATCAGGGAAGATTTTAACAGGTTTATTTACCAAAGTGAGAATTCTAAGTAAATGCAAAGTGAATATCAATTTTTTTAGGCTGAAAGTAGCGGCAGAGGGGAATGTGAGTTTACTTTACCTGAATCTATCTATTACGGGCGACGCCATCCTCTTCCAGACGGTTCTCTTCTGCTCTTGACACTTCAGCACCAGGAGCCAATGTCACTACTGTGGGATCCTTCATAGACAGAGCCAATTTCCTGCAGCGGTCACTGGTTACGGCTGGGGAATTGACTCTTCTTGATGACGGTAGCTCCGCTCAGTGTCTAGAAGTGCCGGGTGTAGGAAAAATTACTAAGACAAATTAGTCACACCTTTGTCTCACTATATCTTTTGACTGAGTTAGGCTGGGTTTAAAGCAGATCTGCTATGTTTATTCTTTCTTGTGGTTTTCCTTTCCTTATGCCCCTGTATCTTAATGATTATACTCCCCTACTTGTCTTTATTTACATTCTTTTCTTCCTTGTGCTGGATCTCAATACCTGGATGCAGACATTTTGTTCTTCTCTGTCCATGATGTCTGCAGTTTCCCTTCTGCGGGATTGATTCTACTGTATTGTCATTTGATTTGATTGGTCACTGAAACAGAACCTTGTTTTATGCTCCCCCCCAATGTCAAGTTTTGTCAACTTAACTGCTACACATGAAGGGAAATAGTCCATAATTTCCTTATGTATTTTATAAAAACTAGAGCACTCAGGAAAAATAAATAAATCAGATTCAGAAACATGGAGCTATATAGAAGAGATTAAATAGTTTATTCTTTATCTAATGCCGCTAATGCTCTGAGAATGCCGCTCTAAATTCACAACGAGTGCAGTTGCCTTTTGATATAAGGTAGATTCATTTTGTAATGAGGATGTTTTCAAGGACTTCCCACTGGTGGGACACTTGATATTTTTTGTCAGATTTTTCCATGTATGCTGATCTGTAAAGGAGAAAACTGCTTGACTGACCACATTTTGAGGTAAGTAATGGAAAGGAAGGAACAGGAGGAGGACATGGGCAGTGGAGAGCATGCTCCAGTAAGCATACTGGTTATGTAGTGTGGACGTTTACCAGTGAGATGGTCATGAACCAAAATATATATGAATTTGAAAGTTGGTAAATTTAGCTGTTTCAAAACATCATAATGATGGTTACTACCTCTATAATGAAGGACAAGCTACTTATAAATTACATATAAAGTTGTTAACGCACACATAAAGTGTTCAGTTATTGAAACATTAAAAGAACTCTATATGAACCCAGACCACGTCCTCTCATTAAAGTGGTCTGGGTACACTGCCTCTGTCTGTTTAACCTTGCAATGTATAAAATGAGAAACTGCAATTATTACACTGCAGGGTTAACTCCACCTCTAATGGATATCTTCCAGACTGCCACTAGAGGCTCTTCCAGGTCCCTAGGAGAGTTTTACTTCACTATCTGACATTGGACGTCCTCACACTTTGCATGTGGACGTCTAACATATTCTATGTTCCAGTAATGAAAGCATTGATTCAGTGATAGACATGTGCAATTCGTTTCGGTCCGAATATGAATTCGGACGAAATTCAGGCAATTCGGACATTCGGGTACTTCCGAATGTCTGAAGTGCCGAATTGCCGAGGTCCCGAAGTTCCGAAATTACCGAAGTGCTGAAGTGTCGAAGTTCCAAAGCACAGTATTGCCTAAGTACTAATATACTTACCCAGGGAAAGAAGAAGAATGTTACATTGTATTCAATTTTAAATAAAAAGTATACAAACATAGCCAGGATTCAGCTATAAGCATTTGTAACAATGTAAGTTACTTAGCCAGTCAATGTAATGACAGGAATGAATAAGTAGATAACTCCCTAATTCCCACGGTATTAGGGAGCTATCTACTAAAAGGCTGAAAGACCGAAATTGGTCTTTCAGCCAAATTTACTAATACTAAGTAAAGATTACTTAGTATTAGTAAATTCCCTACTCGCTATAACGCGAGTAGGGGCATGTCTATTAAACCTAAAATGTCCCCCCCCTCGCGCAAGTGGGGGCTTTTAAACCTAATGTCCTCCCCCCTGGCCCCCACCCCTGAGCAGTGGGTGGGGGCCCTAAATTATAATAAGAGGGGGCCTAATGTCCTCCCCCCTGGCCCCCACCCCTAAGCGGTGGGTGGGGGCCCTACAGTAAAATAAGGGGGGGACCTAATGTCCTCCCCCCTGGCCCACACCCCTGAGCGGTGGGTGGGGGCCCTAAATACTAATAAGGGGGGGACACCAAATGTGCGGTGGGTGGGGCCCCTAAATACTAATAAATGGGGGACACCTAATGTCCTCCCCCATGACCCCACGTCTGAGATGCAGGTGGGGGCCCTAAATTGGAATAAGTGGGGGGACCTAATGTCCTCCCCCCACCCCTGAGTGGTGGGTGGAGGCCCTAAATACAAATAAGAGGGGGGGACCTAATGTCCTCCCCCCTGGCCCCCACCCCTGAGCGGTGGGTGGAGGCCCTAAATACAAATAAGAGGGGGGGACCTGAGCGGTGGGTGGGGGCCCTAAATACTAATAAGGGGGGGAACCTAAGGTCCTCACCTCTGGCCCCCACACCTGAGCGGCAGGTGGGGGCCCTAAATACTAATAAGGGGGGAACCTAATGTCTTCCCCCCTGGCCCCCACCCCTGAGCGGCGGGTGGGGGCCCTAAATACCAATGGGTATTTAGGTGGGGGGTGGGGCCCTAAATACCAATGGGTATTCCCCCACGGCCCCCACCCCTGAGCGGCGGGTGGGGGCCCTACATTAAAAAATAACCCCCCTCCCCAGGTGACTAGGGGTCCCCAAACCCCTAGTCACCCCTTCCCCCCCCAAAAAAAATTAACCCCCTACCTACCCCCCTCACCCTAAAAATAATGAGGAGGGGCACCTTTAACTAAGTACCTGTAAAAAAAAATAAAACTTACCATTCAATGTTTTCTTTCTTCTAAAATCTTCTTTTTTCAGCCCCAAAAAAAGCCAAATAAAAATCCATAATAACCGACGCAATTCAAAAATGAAAAAAAAAAAACAGCGCAAAAAAAAAAAATCCATCTTCACCCGGCGAGGGCTCAGCACAGACTGAGCTCTGCAGGGCGGGGGAAGGCTTATAAAGGTGGGTTTAAGCTATCCAATCAGAGTGCTCTGACAGGTAAGTCTCTACATTTACCTGTCACAGCACTCTGATTGGTTGGTTTGAAATCCACCAATCAGAGTGCTCTGTGTCATTTTACACAGCGTGGGAAAGTTCTTTGGAATTTTCTCACGCTGTGTAATTAGACTCATAACTCTCTGATTTGTGGATTAATCCACCAATCAGAGAGTTATGAGTGAAATTACTCACACAGTGCACCCCCCACACACGTACTCTTCACACTGCATCCTTCGCACACACAGTGCATACCCTGCACCCCTCACACACAGTGCACCCTTTGCACACACAGTGCACTCCTACATACATTGCATTCTAGACACACACACTACATCCCTTACACACCCACACACACACTACATTCCTTATACACAAACCCTAGATCCCGTACATAACTATGGATCCTCTACACACATACACACTAGAATCCCTATACACACTCAATCTCCTACACACACTCTGGGTTCTCCACACACACACTAGATCTTCTACGCACACAATAGATCCCCTATAGGCACACAATGCACCACCTACACACACTACATTAATGACATACACACTCTGGATTCCCTATGAACACACTAGATCCCCTGTAAGCAAACACACACTAGTTTCCCTAAACACACACACTCTACAACCCCTACACACACTACATCATCTATACATACACTACAGCCCCTATGCACACACTCACTACATTACCTATACTCACACTCTCTACAGCCCCTAGCCATAAATATTACACCACAAACACAACACAACTGAAACCGACATTTACACAAAACTCCTCACCACCATGAACTCACTCTACACACACTCAATCCGACAAGCAAGCTCTAAACACACGTACAATACGCTTTCCTTACACGTTTGTTCTTTGGTATTCCACTTACGGAGACACCGGAGACACGTCACAAGCAAACACATAGAATGTGACAGCAGATAAGAACCATTCGGCCCATCTAGTCTGCCCAATTTTCTAAATACTTTCATTAGTCCCTGGCCTTATCTTATAGTTAGGATAGCCTTATGCCTATCCCATGCATGCTTAAACTCCTTTACTGTGTTAACCTCTACCACTTCAGCTGGAAGGCTATTCCATGCATCCACTACCCTCTCAGTAAAGTAATACTTCCTGATATTATTTTTAAACCTTTGCCCCTCTAATTTAAGACTATGTCCTCTTGTTGTGGTAGTTTTTTTTCTTTTAAATATAGTCTCCTCCTTTACTGTGTTGATTCCCTTTATGTATTTAAATGTTTCTATCAAATCCCCCATCTTGTCTTTCCTCCAAGTTATACATGTCTTTCCTCCAAGCTACACAGCGCAAGCATGTTAATAAATTTGCTTGTGCTGCATAGAACAAATACAGGGCCTTTTTTCATGCAAGGGCTCTTCAGCAGAGCTCTGCGCATTGAACCAACATGCTCACTTTGAGAGGGGGTGTGCTTGTCATTGGTGATGAGAAAACACCCCCCCCTCTCTGTCCCGCCCCCTTCTCAGTGGGCCGCTGTGATTCAAAAATGCCCTGGCCAAATTTTTTTCCCCCAGTCCGGCCCTGCTTGGGGATACCGAGTCCCGAATCCCTTCCCCGCTGAAACTTTGGAGCCCAAGGTTCATCTACCAGACAGAGCACTGAGAGTACAAAGGCCACACATGAAGATATAGGTGACTATTTGGTGGAGATAGATTTGAATATCATTGTTGAAGTTTATTTACTGTTTCTTTCTTTATATTTATTTTGTTGATACTTTCCATTTCTCTTAACCATTTAATGGTCATGTTGCCTACTTTGTGTGCAAATACAAATAAAACACAAATTAAAAAAAAAAAAAAGTGTGGCTAGATGTGTATGCATTATTATTTTGATGTTAAAAAAAGAAAAATGGTTCACCTTGAAAGTGTACTGTGACACATGTTAAATCAATTGCATTTCAAAGAGTGGAGAATAGTACGTAGGCTATTTTACTGATGGATTACCAAATAAAATTGTATAATGTACTCTTACAGTGCAGATGTGTCATTCGATTGTTGTAAACGGTTTCTTTAGGCAGCCATAATGAGGATGACCTAATTTTGATCTGCTTGACGAATATCTGATTTAACTAGCCCTTTTCATACGCTTTACAAAGCAAATGTTGTACATCCCTATAGCCCTAACAGTCAGATTTCTACCTGGTCAAAGCTATGAGTCATTAGGTTGATACTGAATGAAAAAGTGATATTGACGTACTTTGCAAGCCATGCTTGATGGACACCTTGAAAAGGTCATCAGATCTCTTTGTGTTTGAAGTTCACCCAAACCAATTAAAATATTGTTTCCAGCAAGCAGTTTCACCCTCTGACATTCAGCTCATTACCGATCTTTTTTAACATTAATTAAATTATGTAGATAGAAATGGTCACTTCTGAACTTCTAATGGTGAAGCAGAAGTTAATAGTATAAGCTTGCTATTAGGTGTTTCAAATAGAAAGGTCAGCATAGCTAACAAAATGACACATAATAATTCATTAAAAAGAACTAGGCTCTCACTACTATGACATAATTAAAATTGAAATCCCACATTTTATTCCATTATTAATATTCTGTATCACATTATGAACTGCCGGGAAAGGAGTTGTATATTTCTTAAGGATATAAAAAGTGCTATTTTTCATAAATACTGCCTCTATTCCCCAATACTAAAGGGGGATATAATAAACTAAAGGGGGTTTAACACACAGGGATAACACATTCAAGAGGGGATATGTAACACTAAAGGGGGTAAGAAATTCAAAAGAAGGGTTACGGGCACACAGGTGAAGATACATTTAGGGTGAGGGGGTGGGGCAAAATGCTTATTCGCCAATCGGTATCTCCTCATAGAGATGCATTAATCAAGAGGGTGGAAACACTGAATGGCAGCACTGCCCCAGGAAGCACCTCTAGCACAGAAACATAGAAACATAGAATGTGACGGCAGATAAGAACCATTCGGCCCATCTATTCTGCCCAATTTTCTAAATACTTTTATTAGTCCCTAGCCTTATCTTATAGTTAGGATAGCCTTATGCCTATCCCACCCACGCTTAAACTCCTTTACTGTGTTAACCTCTACCACTTCAGCTGGAAGGCTATTCCATGCATCCACTACCCTCTCAGTAAAGTAATACTTCCTGATATTATTTTCAAACCTTTGCCCTTCTGATATTATTTTTAAACCTTTGCCCTTAAGACTATGTCCTCTTGTTGTGGTAGTTTTTCTTCTTTAAAATATGGTCTCCTCCTTTACTGTGTTGATTCCCTTTATGTATTTCAATGTTTCTATCATATCCCCCCTTTCTCGTCTTTACTGCAAGCTATACATGTTAATACCCTTTAACCTTTCCTGGTAAGTTTTATCCTGCAATCCATGAACTAGTTTAGTAGCCCTTCTCTGAACGCTCTCTAAAGTATCAATATCCTTCTGAAGATACGGTCTCCAGTACTGCGTACAATACTCCAAGTGAGGTCTCACCAGTGTTCTCTACAATGGCATGAGCACTTCCCTCTTTCTACTGCTAATACCTCTCTATACAACCAAGCATTCTGCTAGCATTTCCTGCTGCTCTTTTACATTGTCTGCCTACCTTTAAGTCATCAGAAATAATCACCCCTAAATCCCTTTCCTCATATGTTGAGGTTAGGACTCTATCAAATATTCTGTACTCTGGTTTTTACATCCAAGATGCATTATCTTGCACTTATCCACATTAAATGTCAGTTGCCACAACTCTGACCATTTTTCTAGTTTACCTAAATCATTTGCTATTTGGCTTATCCCTCCTGGAACATCAACCCTGTTACATATCTTAGTATCATCAGCAAAAAGACATACCTTACCATCAAGACCTTCTGCAATATCACTAATAAAAATATTAAAGAAAATGGGTCCAAGTACAGATCCCTGTGGTACCCCACTGGGGACAAGCCCATGTTTCGAATATACTCCATTGACTACAACCCTCTGTTGCCTGTCACTCAGCCACTGCCTTACCCATTCAACAATATTGGAATTCAAACTTAAAGATTGCAATTTATTGATAAGCCTTCTATGTGCAAAAGCCTTACTGAAATCTAGGTAAGCAATGTCTACTGCACCACCCTGATCTATTATTTTAGCTACCCAATCAAAAAAATAAATAAGATTAGTTTGGCATGATCTCCCTGAAGTAAACCCATGTTGTCTCTGATTTTGAAATCCATCTGTTTTTAGATGTTCAACAATCCTATCCTTTAACATGGTTTCCATCACTTTCCCCATTACTGAAGTAAGGCTTACTGGCCTATAGTTGCCCGACTCCTCCCTATTACCTTTCTTGTAAATGGGCACAACATTCGCTAACTTCCAATCATCTGGGACTACTCCTGATAACAATTGGTTAAATAAATCCATTAATGGTTTTGCTATTACACCACTAAGCTCTTTTAATAGCTTTAGGTGTATTCCATCAGGTCCCATTGACTTACTTGTCTTTACTTTTGACAGTTGAAATAGAACCTCTTCCTCTGTAAACTCACGTGTAATAAATAACTCATTTATCCTTTTTCCTAAAAGCAGCCATCTAAGGAGTGGCCAGTGAAGTTATCACTAGGCTGTAATGAAAATTTGCTCTGAAAAAACAGTGTGTACAGCAAAAAGCCTGAAGGTAATGATTCTATTCACCACAACAAATACAATACGCTGTAGTTGTTCTGGTGTGGTAGATGGCAGTGTTTGCCATCTAGCTTTAAAGCTCAACACTGCCATCTACTTGTTTCTTGGTCATACAATCCAGCAGGATACGGTTATGTTACTGTAAATAATACAGAGTATCTCTTAGTTCATTTACCATTTATTAACAAGGAAAACAAATGTTTAGACAACAAAAAAACAAGTATGTCGATTAGAGGAAATTAATAAACACAGGAGATCTCAGTACTGCCATCTACTTATCTTATGGCCGTAGAGCTAAAGTGAATATAATTCAATAAATGTAGAGATTCAATATATCACTTTATTTACTATGTATCCTTTAATTAGTAGGCATGTGCATGGGGAAAATATTCGATTCGGTTAGGCATTCTGAACTTCGGCACTTCGGAATTTCCGGACTTCAGAATTTTGGGACTTCGGGACTTTGGATGTTCTCTTGCAGCCGCTTAGTAGATAACTCCCTAATTCCCAAGGTATTAGGGAGTTATCTACCAAAAGGCTGAAAGACCTAAATTGGCCTTTCAGTCAAATTTACTAATACTAAGTAAAAATTACTTAGTATTAGTACATTCTGCCCCTACTCGCTATACCGCCTGTGGCTGCTTAAAAAAAACAAAAAAAAAACACCTGTGTCCCCTCTCCTGAGCCCCCACCTGTGCCACGCGAGTGGCGGCTTTTAAACTGAAGGGGGGACCTATTGCCCCCCCCCAGCGGCAGATGGGGGCCCTAAAGAAGAATAGGGGGGGGACCTATTGTCCTCCCCGCGGCCCCCACCCCTGAGCGGTGGGTGGGGGCCCTAAAATACTTCAAATGGGGGGACCTATTGTCCTCCCCCCCGGCGGGTTAGCCCCTAAAAGTAAAATAAGGGGGGGGGGGCTATTGTCCTCCCCCCCGGTCCCCACCCCTGGGCGCTAAATAAAAATGCTTCCCCCCACAGGTGACTAGGGGTCCCAAATCCCCTAGTCACCCCCTCCCCAAAAAATTGTTTAAATCCCTACCTACCCCCCTCACCCTAAAAATAGTGAGGGAGGAACAATGACTAAGTACCTGTAAAAAAAAAAAGAAATAAAACTTACCATTTGATGTCTTGTTTTTTCTAAAATCTTATTTTTTTCAGCCCCAGAAAAGGCCAAATAAAAAAACCATAATATCTGTCGCACTTTAAAAAAAAACAAAAAAAAAAGAGCGCAAAAAAATCCAACGAACCCCCCCCCCCCACGTTGAAAAAATAATCCATCTTCACCCATGGAGGGCACAGCGGACTGAGCTCCGCAGGGCAGGGGAAGGCTTATAAAGCCTTGCCCCGCCCTGCAATTAGGCTCAGAGCACTCTTGTTGGTTGGTTTAAGCCATCCAATCAGAGTGCTCTAACAGGTAAATGAAGAGACTGACAGGTGAGTTTCTACATTTACCTGTTACAGCACTCAAACGGGCAAATCTGTTAGGCTGCATGAGATCAGGACTAGCTAAACCTTTTCTCTTCCCTCCCCCCCTGCTTCCTCTCCCCACTGTCACCCAGCTACGTGCCTGTTCCCCATCTGTCTTATCTCCTCCCTCTCCACTACCTGTCCCCACTAAACTCTGCTCAGTGAGCAGCAGACTCCTCTCAAGATTGTCAATCTCCCTCAGTGTTACAATTTGCCTCTCCAGATCTCTAATCTGAGCTTCCAGAAATGCCACTCGCTCACACCCACCACAGAGGTATGGACCCTGGACAGAATCATTCAGGCATGCATACATGTGGCATGATGTGCACTGAGTTAAATTTGCAATCTTGCTAGCACTCATCCCCAGTAACAAAAAACACAAGTGAGAAAAAAAAAAAAAAAAATGTTAACCCTCTTGGTTTAAACTCCCTTGTAGTTTCAACTCCTGTTGTTTTAACTCCTACTTAAAAGAGACTACTTGAAATAGCCTACTTTCAAGCAAACTCCAGTGAGCAAGCTCTGTGAGTCAGTAGTGGGTTTATATTTGCAATACAAATCCCACACAGGTGGAAATTAAGGGGCACTCCCCCTAATTAGCTCAGCAGCAGCAGCACCCACAAGGAGGGGAATAGAAACAACAAGAGAGGGGGAAAAAAAAAAAGGAGGGAAAATGTTTTAAATAATACCAGCAAGGTGAAAATATAGAAGAAAAAAAAAGGAACAAAGTTTAAATATATCCAAAGAGAAAAAATATATATATATGAAAAGGGGAAAAAAGTTACAAAATATTAAAATAAATCAAAACATAAATAAATATATATATATAAAACGATCGATCTGCCACAACATTAAAACCACCTGCCTAATATTGTGTAGGTCCCACTCATGCTGCCAAAACAGCTTTGATGCGTTGAGGCATGTACTCCACAAGACCTCTGAATGTGTCCTGTGGTATCTGGCACCAAGACATTAGCAGCAGATCCTTTAAGTCCTGCCAGTTACGAGGCAGGGCCTCCATAGATCGAATTTGTTGTCCCAGCACATCCCACAAATGCTCAATACAATTGTGATCTGGGGAATTTGGAAGCCAAGGCAACACCTTAAACATGTTGTCATGTTCATCAAACCACTCATGAACATTTTTTGCAGTGTGGCATGGTAATTATCCTGCTGAAAGAGGCCACTGTCATCAGGGAACACCATTGCCACGAAGAGGTGTATGTTATCTGTAGTGCTCTCTAGGTAGGTGGTACATGTCAAAGTAACACCCACATGAATGCCAGGTCCTAAGGTTTCCCTACATAACATTGCTTCCACCTGCCTGCCTTCTTTCCTTAGTGCATCCTACTGCCATCTCTTCCCCAGGTAAATAACGCGCCCACCAGGCCATCCACCTGATCTAAATGAAGATGTCAGATAAGGCAATCTTCTTCCATTTCTCCATAGCTCAATTCTGATGCTCATGTCCCCATTGAAGGTACTTTCAGAGATGGAAAGGGGTCATATACAGCAAACCACAAAGCACTGTGTGCTCTGACACCTTTCTATCATGAACACACTATAAAATAGATACAAATTCATACACCCCAGTGTGGGCACACAAATATATTTATGTATGCAAAAATGAGATGAGAACTTCCACATTTGTATAGCAGCAGCAGCTACATGAGTCTGAAACATAAATAAAACACAAACACACATAGTGTACTCCATGACATATAAACTGAATCTAAAAGAGCTAAAATAAAACTCACAAAATAGATATCCACCATGAGACAGAATGCAGGAATCTTCAGTTAAAAATCTTTAAAAATCTTGTGAATGAACAATTAATAAAATATATAAAAAAATATATATATATTTTAAAAAAACGACTACAGTAGTAATCAGCGTGACAGCATAAGTCGTAATATAAAAACTTTGAAAAGTCCCACAAATTTGTTTTTCCGGTACTTTGCAGTTATTTATATTTTTAAGAAGTTTTTTTTTTTTTTTTTTACATATTTCTTATATATTTTATTTATTGTTCATTCACCTTTCTATCATGGCCAGCATGTTTTTTTCGCAATTTGAGCTACAGTAATTCTTCTGTGCGATTGGACCAGATGGACTAATCTTTGCTCCCCACATGGATCATTGAGACTTGGGTGCCCATGACCATGATGCCTGCTTACTGGTTGCCCTTCCTTGCAACACTTTTGGTAGATACTAACAACTGCATACCGAGAACATCACACATGACTTTCCATTTTCAATATGCTCTGACTCAGTCGTCTAACCATAACACCCCTTGATAGGTGCCATTGTAACAGTATAATTAATGTTATTCACTTCATCTGTCAGTGGTTTTAATGTTGTGACTGCGTAATGTATATATGTATACACACAGTGGCGTACATACCGGGGTCGCAGGGGTCGCGGCAGCGACCGGGGCCGCCCCTGCGACCCAGTATGTACCCACAGGGCCACCTCAGGCCCCCCCCCCAGGCTGGCCCTGCTGATCCGGGCGGGCTGGCTGTCTGGGTGGCCGGCGCGTGAGGGAGCACTCTCCCCCGAGTGTTTCCTCTTCAGCTCCCTCGCGCACCGCACTGATACCGGAGCCGGAAGATGACGTCATCTTCCGGCGCCTGCATCCCTATGCAGCGCGCGAGGGAGCTGAAGAGGAAGCACTCAGGGGAGAGTGCTCCCTCGCGCGCCGGCCACCCAGACAGCCAGCCCGCCCAGCAGCACCACTGGACCCCAGGGAATCCCCTCAGCTCTCCAAAAGGTAAGGAGGCTGGGGGGGATTAAATTTTTTTTTTAAATGTGTGTGTTTGTGTGTTAGTGTGTGTGTGTTAGTATTTGTGTGTGTGTGTGTTAGTGTGTGCGTGTGTTAGTGTGTGTGCGTGTGTTAGTGTGTGTGTGTTAGTGTGTGTGTGTGTTAGTGTGTGTCAGTGAGTGTGTCTGTCTGTTACTGAGTGTGTTTGATGTCTGTTAGTGAGTGTGTTTTTTATAAGTGAGTGTGTCTCTGTCAGTAAACCACTGCAGCTTAATAAAGTTGTTCTGGTGTCTATAGTTTGTCCCTGCAGGCTTTTTAATGTAAACACACACTGTGTGCAGCACTGGCATTAGTTCATATGGGTGGGGCATTGCATGTTGGGGCGGCAAATCTTTCTTTTGCCTAGGGCGGCAAAAATCCTTGCACCGGCCCTGCCCGCCGCCATGTGTTGCGGCCTCAAACCGCGCCGAGTAAGCGCGGGGGGGGGCCCACGGATCAATTTTCGCACCGGGGCCCCATGGGTCATGTGTACGCCACTGTATACACACACACATACACAAGCTATTTTTGCATCTTCCTGTTGAAATGTAACTTTTGAGGAAATTATTTCAAAAGCAACGCCACCATGACATTATTTACACATTTACAGATAATTCTGGTTTTTTTTTTACATACTGGAGTTTTCAAATAGAAATATGGAAAAAAAAAGAAAAATGAGCTGGATAGGGGCTGAATTGTTCTTTGTCTCCCCAGCCCGTCTACCCACATATATGTAACAGAACGTTAAACATACATTACAATCTTAAATGTGGAAGGTGCAGTCAGGGCCGGACTGGGGATACAAAGCAGCCCTGGAAAAATAATTGTGCCAGCCCCATAAGTCACTGTGCCATATATTGTCGCGTGTAATATGTAAGGCTATGTCTTGCCAGGACAGATGATTGAGTAATATAAATATATATATATATATATATATATATACAGGGAGTGCAGAATTATTAGGCAAGTTGTATTTTTGAGGATTAATTTTATTATTGAACAACAACCATGTTCTCAATGAACCCAAAAAACTCATTAATATCAAAGCTGAATATTTTTGGAAGTAGTTTTTAGTTTGTTTTTAGTTATAGCTATGTTAGGGGGATATCTGTGTGTGCAGGTGACTATTACTGTGCATAATTATTAGGCAACTTAACAAAAAACAAATATATACCCATTTCAATTATTTATTATTACCAGTGAAACCAATATAACATCTCAACATTCACAAATATAAATTTCTGACATTCAAAAACAAAACAAAAACAAATCAGTGACCAATATAGCCACCTTTCTTTGCAAGGACACTCAAAAGCCTGCCATCCATGGATTCTGTCAGTGTTTTGATCTGTTCACCATCAACATTGCGTGCAGCAGCAACCACAGCCTCCCAGACACTGTTCAGAGAGGTGTACTGTTTTCCCTCCTTGTAAATCTCACATTTGATGATGGACCACAGGTTCTCAATGGGGTTCAGATCAGGTGAACAAGGAGGCCATGTCATTAGATTTTCTTCTTTTATACCCTTTCTTGCCAGCCACGCTGTGGAGTACTTGGACGCGTGTGATGGAGCATTGTCCTGCATGAAAATCATGTTTTTCTTGAAGGATGCAGACTTCTTCCTGTACCACTGCTTGAAGAAGGTGTCTTCCAGGAACTGGCAGTAGGACTGGGAGTTGAGCTTGACTCCATCCTCAACCCGAAAAGGCCCCACAAGCTCATCTTTGATGATACCAGCCCAAACCAGTACTCCACCTCCACCTTGCTGGCGTCTGAGTCGGACTGGAGCTCTCTGCCCTTTACCAATCCAGCCACGGGCCCATCCATCTGGCCCATCAAGACTCACTCTCATTTCATCAGTCCATAAAACCTTAGAAAAATCAGTCTTGAGAGATTTCTTGGCCCAGTCTTGACGTTTCAGCTTGTGTGTCTTGTTCAGTGGTGGTCGTCTTTCAGCCTTTCTTACCTTGGCCATGTCTCTGAGTATTGCACACCTTGTGCTTTTGGGCACTCCAGTGATGTTGCAGCTCTAAAATATGGCCAAACTGGTGGCAAGTGGCATCATGGCAGCTGCACGCTTGACTTTTCTCAGTTCATGGGCAGTTATTTTGCGCCTTGGTTTTTCCACACGCTTCTTGCGACCCTGTTGACTATTTTGAATGAAGCGCTTGATTGTTCGATGATCACGCTTCAGAAGCTTTGCAATTTTAAGAGTGCTGCATCCCTCTGCAAGATATCTCACTATTTTTGACTTTTCTGAGCCTATCAAGTCCTTCTTTTGACCCATTTTGCCAAAGGAAAGGAAGTTGCCTAATAATTATGCACACCTGATATGGGGTGTTGATGTCATTAGACCACACCCCTTCTCATTACAGAGATGCACATCACCTAATATGCTTAATTGGTAGTAGGCTTTCGAGCCTATACAGCTTGGAGTAAGACAACATGCATAAAGAGGATGATGTGGTCAAAATACTCATTTGCCTAATAATTCTGCACTCCCTGTATATATATATATATATTGCTTTTTCTAATATAAAATATTGGTCCTTTCAGGGTAAAACGTTTAATTATACAGTAAGCATACTCACATGCAGACACAGGCAATTTCACTGACCTCTCAATGACACACACAATCTCATTGATACACAGCCTCATAGACAAACAATCTTACTGATATACATCAGCTCTTTGACATAAAAACACAAGCTCACTCACTAGCAGGCACACGCAGTCAAGCAAGCTCACTCACTAGCAGACGCACACACAGCTTAATGTGGTGGTACTGGTGTCTATAGCATGTCCCTACAGGCTTTTCAATGTAGACACTGACTTTTCAGAGAAAAGGCAGTGTTTACATTGCTTCAAAGTGACACTGCTAGTGACAGTCACGCAGACGGTCACCAGAGGTGCTTCCTGTGTCAGTGCACCTACACTCAGGGCCTCCACACTCTGTAGGTGCTGAACGTTCCCCATAGAGATACATTGATTCAATGCATCTCTATGAGGAGATGCTGATTGGAGTGGCGTTTTGCAGCCAATCCTATGGCAAAGCATTGGATTGGCTGAGATCATCAAGCTTGATGATCTCAGCTATAGAGGCAGGGCCAGTCAAGGGGAGACCAGCACGCTACGTGGGGAAAAAAAAAGGTGAGCAAAAACACTATTTTTAAACACACATTTACACCATGACAGACACAGAAGCACACATATACCATGACAGATACACACCCCATGACAGACACACACACACACCATACAGACAGACACCATAACACAGACAGACAGACACATTACTAATACCTGCCAGGGGGAGGTCTTCTGGAGGCCGCTGGGGGAGCTGCGCTGGCTCTGCTCTCCCGCCCTCGCGCACTGCTGAATGAGACCAGCGCCGGAATATGACGTCATATTCCAGCGCCGGTCTCATTCAGCAGCGCGCTGGGGAGCAGAGCCAGCGCAGCTCCCCCAGCGGCCGTCAGAAGCCCCCAGCAGACCTCCCCAGCGGCCCAGGTGTCTGCCCGGCCCCAGGTGCCGACCGGGAAATTTCCCGGTGGGCCAGTCCGGCCCTGGGTGCAGTGTTATCACCCACCATACATTAAGGGATTTTAAATGATGGTCAGAAATAAACTGTGTATATAATGATCATGCCCCCACACAAGGAATTAGATTTTTACTTGTAATACGCCCCCTTTAGGGTATATATCATGCTCATCTTTAACTAAGAAGCAAAACATACATTTCCAACTTCTGATTAAAGTAACAACACACTGGCTTCACCAACCTTGAAATCAGGAGTAGGTATCTGGACATTTGGTCTTTACTTCAGTTCTTTAGATTTCAATAAACATTACCAGTGTTATAATTAACCTTGTTACAGACCTCTGTCTGTCAATCAGAAAACGTAACTTCCTGGTCTGGTTAGCTCAGTGGTGTTAACTTCAAGAGGCAGCAATTGCCCAGAGCTGCATTGGGAAGTCCATGATTGGACAGCGACAGAAAGCCTGGGTGGGGTTAGAAGGGGAGGACTTACAAAGGCTACAAACAAGAGATCTGCGGGGTTTGCATGTTTTTAGAAATAATCCTAATGAAAAATTGTGTGACTAAATGCATGCATGCTTTCATTAGGGGGTATATATTAATAACGACTTTAAAAAATGTGTTTATTTGGTATTTGGCAGCAGAATGTCTCTTTAAGTTGCTGCTAATATTCTCTTGCAGCAGAGGACAGTTTGGCATCAATCTGAACTCCTGGAGTCTTCCATTTTGTTTTGCAGTTGTTTACAAACTGCCGTGTGGATAACATACTCCTCACTGAAAAATAGAAGTGAAATATAATACAATTCCATGCACCTTATCACATAATTAATAAATATTTATTCTATATACACATATGCCATCTATATAACCATCATATTGTTCAACGTAATGCTTCTGTCTCCCCTGCTTCAATCTCCTTATAAATATATTTTCTCTTTTTAGTGAGATTCAATTAAACAAAGCAAATAGCAGATCACCAGCAGGAAGGAAGGGATTCTCAATAGCTCTTCATTCTTTGAATTAGCAGTACTGTAAAAATACATAACAATTATCTTTCCTTATATGCCCTTGTGTACAGTAGCAAATATCAAAGCATCTGTGTCACAACAGTTTGTATTGTGTGATACATTTGTGACTAGTTGGCAATTTATACTATAGTGCGACCTAAGCATTTACAGTCAGGACGCCTGAAATTCAGGGACTCATTTTGTGTGGACAAGTATTTAATCTATGATGGTGCAAATGTTTGTGCTGGAGTTGAGATACTGATGAAACACTGGGCATGGGAATTCTTGCACACTGCTAAGTTATGTTTTAATTGTTTTATGTTTTATGTGTGAATAGTATATGAATATATGTGCTTGTAAAAACACTAAGCCATTTTTCTAGCCTATCCTTACCTTTTGTGTCACAATACCCATGTAAGCTCATTGAGCAGAAACCTCAACCCCTCTGTTCCTGTGCGTCCCTCTCGTCTTGTTACAAGTACTTGTCTGTTAGTCCACCAATTGTAAAGCGCTGCAGAATTTGTTTGCGCTTTATAAATATTAACAATAATAATAATCATGTGTAACTGTGCTGGTGTACATACTGTACAGTGTACCTAAATATATACATGCATATAATGTGTGTGTTTTAGTAACAAATATATTTATGATTAAACATGTCTATAAAACATGAGCATTAAATATCAAACACTTCTCTTTTTTGGTTGCCAAGGATACATGATTTCTAGAAGCTAGTTGCTGCCCCATGTCTTTCTTGATCTCTTACTGGCATTTTCACATCATTCTGCCACCAGTGGCATCAGTACACTATTTAGCTAATTACCAGCCAACAGACTACTATCTATTTGGAGCCCCGCTGTGCTGTACCTTGGTATCGTATTCTTTTGTTGTGACTCAGTTTTGTTGACTACCGCTGTTTCTGTTTATCTGACCTCAGTCCTTTCATCCATCACATCTTTCACACTATTTGCTCCCTGCTTTGATGTTTTGCCCCATCCACCTTTATATGTGCCCCGTGCTCCTGCTATTTTTCCAGTTTTTTTTAGTTCTTTTACATCATGGAAAATAAAAATGGATCATACCAACATAAGCCCATGACTATTTGGCTTATATATAGATATTTCTCTGGGTAAATGCAACCATCACAAAAAGCATTTCAACGTGTCCTATCATCTTTTTTTTTTTTTAATTCTTTATTTTTGTTGTGCATATGTGTAGTACAGGCAGGCAAGAGGTGCCCCAAGAGCAGTCCTCCAGCATTTCCCACGCTCAACATGCGGGGCACAAGATGAACAAGCACATTTTATATTAATGACAAGTATAAACAATCGATTGTAGAAGTAGCTATATGGTAAATTTAGGCTGGGTCAATGCGTTGACTAAGCTTTAAATGCTCTAAATAATGCTGGTGCAACATATATATTATGAAAGTAAACTAAAGCTTTATGATTAAACAATAATCGTGCATTGGTTAGCAACAGGCTACAGTTAGGTAAATCGCTTTAATGCTATTATCACCCCGGCCGACCGGGACCACCCATGCTGCCTCTGCGGGGAGCCATCTTCTTGGTGGTCCAGAGACCTCACACTCAGTGGGAGACCCACTGTCATTCGATACCTGCTCTGCCCTATCTGTGTAACATGGAGCGAGTGTCCACCAGAGCAGGCATCAGGACACAGTCCACTCATGCTGCGCTGTAAGGTTCTCGCTGAGTTCTTCCTCTGAGTCTGCAGCTGTGCTTCAGTATGCTTGTCCCTCTTGGTTCTCTGAGGGTCGGCCTCAGCCGTGAAGGGGAGCTTGGTGTAGTCTGCATGTGGTTGTCGGTTCCTGGGTGGTTTTTGTTGCAGGCTGGGTGTGGGGTGAGTGGTTGGTATGTCTTTGCGCTCAGTCCGTTCAGGCGGCAATAGTCGGTGCGCGGGTTACCTCCATCCCCCCTGTGCCGCCGTTGTCGTCGCTGATTCAAATGGCTGCAGGGGTAAGTGATAACAATCTCGCTTCTTGGTTTAGCCGGGTCTGAAGGCAGGAGCCGCATTGTCAGCCGTGGGCACTGGTGCTGGGTGCTGGTCCTCCCTTCGTCACTTGCGCACATGGCGCCTGCCATCTTGGACCTAGCGGTCTGACCCCCCAGCTTCGGCCACGGCATCCCGGTCAAGGTCTAAGGGTGAGGACCGGGATCACCCCCCCAGTCCATAGGGGGGGGGGGAACAGGGCCGGGTCCGCTCAAATTTGTGGGTACTGTAGAGATTAGGTTGGGTACTGTATTGCAGGATTGTTTGGGCAGCGGCCGTCTGCCCCACTCACTACCAGAGAAGGCCTCAGGTAGTTCAGCGAAAATTTATCCTCAAGGGGACTGTAGCTCGATGAGCAAGCCTCTCCCTGGATCCAGGAGTCCCTATGCTTTAGGCATCATTGCTGTCGGTCTGCTTTTTGTTTTAAAGGCATGGTTTTTAGTCGTTTTTAATGCGGTGTTGCAGGAGCTCTGCTTACCTGCGACCGTCCAGCTCGGCGGTCCGGCCCCGCCCCCGCGTCCTATCATCTTTAAATTTTTATTTGTGAGGCATGATGATGTTAGCATTTTCTTTGTGCTGTTGTAATGGTGTTTTGTACCATGTGGTGCCACCTGCATTTAGGTGGAAAATGCAGGCCTCTTAAAATGTGGCCTTCCAGTGGTGTGGTGTATATTTGAACAAGCAGGGCGATAGCGTAATCATTTTTGTCCCTTCTGTTCCTTAATCATTTTAGATTTTTGCGCTCTCCCCCCTTTTTTTTGTTACAAAAATCAATATTAAAAAACCTTTAATCCAGAGCCAAGTCAAGTCATCAAGATTGATGATTTTTGTTCAACCAAATATTTTGATTGAGAATCATTTCAGATGTATGGCAGCAGTCATGCTCAGACATGCTCAGCAGGTATGTCAAGAACCATGTTATTACTGGACTCCTCAATAGCGAGACAGTGCAGCAATAGCCCTCCATCCCATGCTGCCCAAGGAATATCATTGCCAAGGCATTACATTACTGAGATTAGATGCCAACTGCCATAACAAATGATTGGCACACAGCAAATAATGCCATAGCCCATTCTACAGGACTACATGCAATAAAGGACTCAGCAAAAGTATTTGATTGGACCCCAAGCTGGGTGATCACCATGTGGAACCAGTCACAGTAAATGCATTATCTACAATCTACTAAATAGTAACCCTCTAGGGTTTGTGCTAGGGTCAGTGTGTTTTGGCCCTTCAAGTTCTCAAAGAAAACTGACAGAAGCATACATGTGGGATATTGTTGTATTCACGACTCATGGGATTCCAATGAATGCTAAACTAGGGTCTTTCAAGTAGTAGAATACCCAAGGCAAATGAAATTCACTATTACTTTTTCATTTGTATGTGAAAAAAATGACAAAATTCCCCCTAAATTCAGCAGAAACTGGGGATGAAATGAGCATCTTAAAGTATCAATATGTCCTATTTTAAATAGTTGAAACTGTTTTTTTTTTTGAGGTTATGATTTGGGTTAGTGCAGTTAAGCTTTCTATTCTTTTCCCGAAAGGGCCCAGTAAATCAGTCAATGACAATTGGAAATTTTCAGTGGGATACATAAAGTTGTGTTGTTCCCAGTGAAAATAACGTGTATGTGAAAAACACCTAAAATAATTATAACCAGCTGATTGTTGGTTGGTTATGATATAATTATGATGGCATATTTCTTATTTTAACAAAGCATAAATGTATCCAATATATACTACTTCAGTATATGGTAGTATAACATACTGAGATTTTCAAAACATGAGTGTATAAGTCATAGGCGTGCGCAGCCTATTGTATAAGGGTGTGCACCCTAAAGCACAAACACACACGCTGGGGGATCCTGCTGCTCCTGCCTTCCCTGGTGGTCCAGTGGAGGTGGGGCAGATTGCTTAATATCCCCCCTCCCTTCTTACATTATGCCTGGGAGGGGGGATCCTTTCTGCTGTTTCCATCCCTGGTGGTCCTGTGGAGGTGGGGCAGATTGCTTAATATCCCCCCTCCCTTCTTACATTATGCCTGGGAGGGGGGATCATTTCTGCTCCTTCCTTTCCTGGTGGTCCAGTGGAGAATGAACTCTAGCCTGCCGGGGCAACGCTCAGAATCCCGCGAGAGGAACCCGGCGGAGCTGCCGGCAATAGCTCCCCGGGTCCTCTCCTGCCTCCCTCCCTGCCTGTGGGTCGGTGGGAAGGGAGGCTGAGAGCAGAGCCGGCGCTCGGATAGCGCCGGCTCTGCATGAGCTGACAGGGGAGATCCTGAGATCTCCCCTGCCGGTCTCAATATACATAGGCGTGCCGGCGGGATTAGGGTGTGCCAAGGCACACCCGGCGCACGCCTATGGTATAAGTTAAGGAAATGATAGGGTTGGATAATTATGTTGTGTGACATTTGAGAAGTTAGCAATAGGGGGGTTACCAGCATAAAAAAGGGGGAGAGGAGAGAGGAATAAGAAGGATGAGGGAGAGAGAAAAAGGCAGTTATTCTGCCTCTGAAACCTGTGTCCATGCGGAAATGACAGGCAAGAGTCACAGGTAAAGAGAACTTAGGTGTTTTTTTTCCAACAATTGCAACCAGTGAAAACACATATTGCCTTGCATTGTTGGTATTTGTTACAGGATGCCAAGATAAGCTCTCCACTCTCCAGATTTGGATACGAAATCTTGCATTGTAGGGCCATCCTTCTTCTAGAGGCCAAGGATGAAACTGCATTTGCTCAGTGTAGGAGCCAAGATTGCTGATAACATGATATCGGAATCTGAGATTTATGTTAGCATTAGTAGCTTGGGTAACAGAGTAGAGGGTTATCACTGAAGCATTGTAAGAATTAGTGGACCTGTCTATAGAAGGGTTGCATAATAAAAAAGGGCCAACATATATAGACCAGTGCATCCAATTCCTTCCTGCACCACCAGCACTCTGAACCATGGCCAGTTGAGTATCTATAGATTAAGTATGGATGGATTATAGTATCTGCTCAGCATTTTATATCCAATTTCTTGGAAACAACGGGGTGTGGGATGATTTTTGATTCAAGAGGAAGGAGGTCAAGAAGAAGATTCAGAAATAGTGATCATTGTTTTTGAGTTCCTACGTCTCTCTAAAAATGGTTGTTAAAAATAGGAGAGCAGAATTCCATAGAAGAAAGTGCTTACTGTCTTCTAAATGAGGGAAATATTGTTAAGCAATAATTACAAAATGCAATTTTTAGGTTAATCTATTCTATCGATAGAACCTGAACTGCATTTAATGTAGCTTCCAGAAGGAGGTAGTCTAGGAAATCCTCTAGGTCTTCACAATCAGTGGGTAGCATGAGGAGACTCAAACCTACGTACCTCTTGTCAAGGTCTTCAATGATTTCAGATTGGGAGGGGACATGCAAAAAAATGTGTAGTTGGGGGTTATTATTATTGGCATTTATATAGCATCAACTTATTCTGCAGTGCTTTACAAAATTATAACGAAGGGAATATAACAATAAATTAGACATTTACAAAATGTTACAGGAACAATAGGATGACGAGGACCCTACTCAAAAGAGCTTACAATCTAGAGAAAGTGGGGAATAAAAACACAATAGGAAGGGCTGCATAGGGCATATGAAGTGACAGTGTGGGAAAGTAGCAGAATAGGAAGGTGAGAGAGGAGTGTGGTGCTTTAAGAGTGAGCGAGAAACAGGATTATGGAATAAAAGTTACCTTGGGAGGCCATAGGCTATTCTGAACAGATAGGTTTTGAAATACTTCTTAAGTGATTGAAGACTACGAGACACCCTGACGGAGTTGCTCGTCATCACTCTATCTTGTAGATATATAGTCAGGACTTTGTTCCAATAAGGCACTAACACACACACACACACAACGTTAGATGTCGCTATGCAGTCTTATAGGTGAGAATGTGGTTAAGCATATGTGGAGACTGTGTGTTGCACTAGGTGTCAGGAAAGTATGATAGGTAGTGCAGGTGTCTTATTCTTCAGATTAAAATGGATGCTGGGGTATTGGTTGCTAACTTGAACCCTGAGAGGTATGGCTTTATCTGAACTGTTTCCAGGTTCAAAGCATTTTTTGTGTCTTTACTCTGTAAGTGGCAGAAGGGTCTTGCAGGTTTATTAAAAATGAAATTCAAATTTACGTCCAGAGTATCTGAACTGAAACTGTAGCTGACTGTTTTCCAGTTTGGATATTTTAACCTTAAATTTATTTTTTAATTCAATATGAATTTGGACTTTAGTAAATAACCCTGTTGATGTTCAAGTGACCGGTTTGCAAAGTGGGACCAGCATACAAGAATATTGAGCTAAGTCTCAATATTGGGATATTCTGATAGACATCAAAGAATTCCCAAATCATAAATAGATGCTGGCATAACACCTTGTATTAAAGTTATATACATATGGATGTGGGATAATAAAGTTGTTCTTCAATGAAATCCCTTAACAAACAAGTTTTTATTTTTATTTTAGGCTAGAGTAAGCCAAACTTAAAGCATAGCTGAATAACCATGAAAGTTATCTTAAATCGCAACTTTAGCACTTACATATAGACCTCCATTTAATATTTTAGGTGAACGTTTCCAATGATTTACATTTATTAGATAAACTTTTTAAAATTATTTTGAAAATATGTTAATATTTTGATATTTTATATATTTTTTTTAATAGTTTTAAAAAAAAAATCATTTTAAAAGTTCCAAAGTATACAAAAAATATTAAGTAATTTGAAATGCTTTTACAAAAAGCTGGAATTTTTTTTTCACCAAACTGGAAAATCAGTTGAACCATATTAGGGTATCAATTTATTTTTTATTTATTTATTGCAGGATCAGCTTTTATCAAAGTATCTCTCATGAATCACAACAAGTTTATCAAATCTAAAAAGACTGCTGTAGTTTGTGGCTCACCAAATCCTGTTTACAATGAAACCTTAAGCTTCAAGTTGGAGCAGAACGAGTTGGATACGGCAAGCCTGAGCCTGTGTGTCTTTCAGAGCAGTGAAGGAGACAGTAAGTGCTTTGCTTCACCTAATGTGTTTCTTCTTATCACTGATAGTAATATATAATCTATGCTAAAAAGTAGGATGTGAAGAAGATGTCAAGCCCCCTTATATCAGGAATATTTACCTGATTGACAAGGCTTTGCATACCAGTGCCATTTCTTACATTGAAATTGTATTAGATCTCTCTATTGCTTTAAATTTTTTCTGTCTATATGATGGCCTATTCTAAAGTGTTAAGTATCGCTACCGAATCTGATGGCGCTATATAAATAATAAAATAATCCCCCTCCTGCCGGCCTGGATGGCGAGGAAAGGGTTAAATCTTACCTTTTCTCCAGCGCCAGGCGGGGAGCTCTCCTCCTCCTCTCCGCCTCCGATCCTCCTCTTCAGCTGAATGCGCATGCGCGGCAGGAGCTGCATGCGCATTCAGCCTGTCTTATAGGAAAGCATTCATAATGCTTTCCTATGGACGCTTGCGTCTTCTCACAGTGATTTTCACAGTGAGAAGCACGCAAACGCCTCTAGCGGCTGTCAATGAGACAGCCACTAAAGGCTTTAGAGGCTGGATTAACCGTATTATAAACATAGCAGTTGATCTGAAACTGCTATGTTTATAAAAAAAAAGGGTTAATCCTAGAGGGACCTGGCACCCAGACCACTTCATTAAGCTGAAGTGGTCTGGGTGCCTAGAGTGGTCCTTTAATATTGTCAATGAAACAGCATGCACAGGTTTTAGCTCTGAGTATAGTGTGGGAAATGGCTATAGCAGGGTGAAGCAAATAAACATCTGGGATTGTGAGAGTATGTGCTGATGAGAGAGGACATTGTCATTGTTTAGCAAGGAAGAGGGCTAAATTACAATGATCGTGGAATAATTCACTGAAAATAAATACTATGGATTTCTGAAATACCATGATGAGAATAAAAAGATAAGCGCTATAAAGTATAATGTCTGGTTAAATAGCCAGACATTCTGATTGCCGCAATACGAAAACAGTGCGGTTTTAAAATTGCAAAACGCAGAAAAAAACACTTTCAGTTTCAACAACTTTCACATGTAATATGCCATACTTATCCAGTCCAAGAGTCATAAAGAATAATTCTTGAATAGTCTGCAGCATTCATAATATTAAGTCACTTTAAAAGTCTATCCAAAAATATCGATCATTTGGAAAGCGTATCCAACTATATTAGGCTCTAGGACTTGATTTAATTCGCTTTTCAAGTGACCATTAAAGTCAACAGGAATTTTTGCAAATAAATCACTTTTTTAACTGGAAAGCTTAGTAACTTGAGGGCTATGTTATGGACAATAAAGCCAAATTCTGTTTCACCCACTTAGATGGGCTTGATCAAGATAAGCAAGGCATTCACTATCATGCCATATTTCCAGTCCGTCCCTCATTATATCTTGAAGGGATAATTTCCAATACTCACACTAATATTTTGCTACAAAAAAGCAGACATATTGCATAAAACATAAACAATAAAAATTAATATGGGCCATGTGATATCAAGAAGTATATATACAATGACATATGCTCTGAGAGGTTGTTTTTAATCTCACAGCTCCCATTGTAATTTATTGTGGTTTAGTATTTTAGATTTTGATTGATATTCTTTATTTGTGCTTTCTTGTTCTGTGTCTTATAAAGAATGAAAACATACTAAAGTTTATATCAATTTCAAGCAGATGGAAGAAACCGCAAATGGTTTCATATTGACTCCCCTATGATTATTCATGGACAGTTACCTAATAAGTCATGTGTCTTTTAAAGTGAGTGGAAAATAAAACAGCATTTAATGTGAGAACTTTCAGCTTTCAGCCAACTGTTTCTTCAACCTTCACTTGTCTTATATCTCCAGCGTGGCAGTAAAGCAAATACCTATTCACATTGGTTTGTTATTTTCCATTAAAATTAATTTCAGTATTCTGTGAAAGAACAAGGTTTCATTATTACATTTTCATACGCTATCAGCAAACTAAAGGTTGTGAGAAAGGTTGACATTGAACTTAAAGCTCGTTATATTCCGTTATAGGTCCCAAATATTTAAATAGCCACTGTTTACAATAAAGGTGTGCAGAAAAACATCTTTGAATATACAAAATATCAAACATACCAACTTTCTAGCAGATGGGCTACAATAGCAAGAAGGCCACACTGGTTCTATAATATCAACTGGGAACATGAAAATACTTTAGAGTGGACAAGTGTTCACCAAAGCTGGACAACTGAAGATTAGAACATTTTTGCCTGATGTGCTTCTTGACTGGGGCCATTCTCTAGGGCAGGACAGGTTATCCCACCCTTGTATAATGATAAAGGTGATGTTTTCCTTTTTTTATGATGTGTAGCCAAAAAGTCTGCAGGAAACAAGCATGCACTTTGTTGACTCACTCCAACGAAGAATTTATGATCGGTATTGAAACCTCATTCTGCACAGATCCCTCATGGGGCAAAGATTGAACCACTTTTTTGCATTGTAGTTTTCATTTTGTCCCATTGGACTTTTTGCTTTTTTTATTATTATTTTGAAACTTTTCTTATTTCACAGGTACTAGTTTTAATGCCCCCCATTATTATAATGGTGAGGTAAGGAAGGGTTCACTTAATTTTGGGAAGGTAGCTAGGGACTTGGGGACCACTAGCCTCCCTAGGCTGGAGGTTTCAGAAAGACCATTTATTGGCACTGCTAATCTTTGTATAATTATTTAGAACCTCTACCCATCACCCATGTGTCAGGGCTAGGTCATTCCAATGTATTTTATATTTAAAGCATGTGTAGGCAAATACACAGTTTAGTTTTCCATGCTGGACAAGAGGTCTGCCCAATCACGTGGACTAGATCTTCTATCCAATCAAGAGGTAAGAAAAAAAAATAGTTGCTGGTTAGGGGCAGCCGGTAAATGATTTTTTTGGTGATACATTTGGTGATGATAATTCTGTTTCCCCCACCACTGCAGACATAGCACTTTTACCTCCGGCCCAGGCGCTACTGGACTATGATGAGTCAGGAAAATCACAAGTGGAAAGGGTGGAGTGGAGAACACGTAGCAATTTTTGAATATCAGTATAGTCAATAATAATCACCTTTTTTGCTGCGGTTCTGGATTTTACTAATATTTTTCCGTAAACAAATTTGTCCGAAATGAACAGTGACATGAACCAAATTCTGGCTACGTGAATTTCTTTTTTCTTTAGAAAAAATACAGAATGTTTTGCCTTGCACAAGTCTTACATAGTTACATAGCTGAAAAGAGACTTGCGTCCATCAAGTTCAGCCTTCCTCACATTTGTTTTTTTTTTTGCTGTTGATCCAAAAAAAGGCACAAAAAAAAGTTTAGTCTAGATCTCACAATCTAAGTAATACAAGATCATCATGTTCTTCCCTTTATATAATGTATGTGTGTGTATTGGGTGTATATATACGCATGTACACACACATAAAGAAACATACGTCTGATATTGAAATAGAGCCAAGCAATTCAACTATGCAAAAAACAAAAAAAACAAAAATAAAACAAACAAAGGAACAGAAAGATTGCAGAGGTTGCTCTGCACCGATGAACCAAAATGTGAAATATTTAGATATATCAGAAGGCAGTTTTTTTGCTCTATGGCAGGAAAGTGTTACAGGAATGAGTGCCTACAGGCAACAATGAAGCACGGTGGAGGTTTGTTGCAGTTTTGGTGTTGCATTTGTACAAATTATCGCCATTATCGCCATTTATATAGCGCTAACAGATTCCGTAGCGCTTTACAATATTATAAGAGGGGGGATTTAACTATAAATATGACAATTACATGAAAATTTACAGGAACCATAGGTTGAAGAGGACGCTGCTCAAACGAGCTTACAGTCTATAGGAAGTGGGGTAAAGAACACATTACCTGAAAAATACAGCCAAAGTCATTACAAACGTTCTTCAGTGTACAGTTGAAGAAGAAATTAATAACGCTGCCATAGAGGCCCTAATCTCAGCATCATCATCCATCTGGGTTTACATAAGCAGACAGAACCGAGGCTGCCTATACCCACAGAACTGTGTTTAGCGCTCCAAAATGTTTGAAACAACCTACCTTTTGAGTTCCTCATAAAATCGTGTTAGTGTTAATCTAGATCTGATGCTGTTCTGACGGCAAAGGGTGATTCGATTTAGATTTTGTCACTTGATAAAAACAAAACAAAAAAACTATTAGCCTTCTATTAAATCATTCTTACTTTACTCCCTTTATTTCACTCCTGCCTAAAACTTTTACACTAATATATATTCTCACACAGAGAGGATCTTTAAAACAAAGATAAAATGCAATATTAAAGTACTTACATGGGTATGTATTCTGTTCTTTCCTGAAGGAAGTAACAGCAAGCTGTCCTAGTTAGAATTTCAAATACGGTAACTTCAGTCGGAGTACTCTTTTTTTTTTTGGCAAACTATGGTCAGCAACCCAGAATTACATAGAGGAAAATAAAATGATGGCAGTCGTTGTCTACAGTAAAATTCAGACTTGCTGGAACAATAAAAGTAAAATAGGCATATTATTATTAGTGTGCATTTTCTTACTAAAATTCCACTGGAACAATCATCTCTCTCTTTAACAAAAAGAAGATTCATAGTACAAGAGAATATCTCAAGACAGTTATGCAGAACAGAGCAGAGAATTAAAATGTCAAAACTTAATTAGATGCCAGCTAAGGCCATCTGTTGCCCGTGCCAGCTGTCCGAGCACAGTATTAAATGACCCTAAGGCAGAGTGCATGAGTTTTGTTTTTGTTTTATTAGAGAGTTACGTCTTCATACAGTGGATGTGTGTTTTATTTAGAATTAGTAGTACAAGGAGATCAATACATATACCTGTACATTTTGAGACAGAATGAGGTTTCCTAAATGGTTCTACTGATTCTGATTTTTTTTAATCAAATTTTTTACTTTTCATGATACTTGATCAACTTTCATAAGTTCGAAAGGTATTCTAAAATATATTTAAAGCAGAGATGTACTCAGGGGCGGACTGAGCACTTGGGCAAATCAGTCATGGACCGAGGGACCCCAGTAATGGCTCAGCTGGGGAGTTCAACAAACTTCCCAGCCAGCCTGCACACAGCAAGGGGCCCTCACGCCCCCCTTAGGGCCTTCTCCCTTCGTTAAACTACGCTGCAGTGGCAGTCCCAGCATAGCACACTGAGGGGCAGCTAATGGGGCCTTCTCAAAGACCCTCTAGGCTGCCCCTCAGTGTGTCTGTCTCTAGGAGTGAAAAATAGGCCCAGCATGCAGGTAGCTTGATCAGAACACCGGTGAGGGATTTTCAGGCCAACAGGAATAAGGATTCCTCTCCCTGGACAAAGGTAAGACTCAGGGAGGGCCGGGGGAATACATGACTGCTGACCCATATACCATCCCACCGTTGCCCCAATAATACACTGAACACCTTTTAAAGTGGATAAGGGCAACGGCTACAGCTTTATTAAACCGTAAAAATTCTTAATTCTTAATTCCTGTCAGCTGTTGGGTGAGGGCCCAACAGACAGTCCTCCATCCTTATTCTCCAAGAGCCCAACACAGCAGTCACTAGCCATCAGTCTTGCGCCGACTGTAGTCTCCCAAAAGTGACCTTGCGTCATACTCCTTTCTTTTTTTGATTCCGCTGTCCAGGGAAAACCGCCAGCTGTGACAATGAGAAAACACACGAGAAACAACCAAGCACACAGCAACACAAGTCCTTCCACCTTTGCAACATTGTTGCTCCCATTATTCCATCCCACTATCCTGGGCAGCAGTCATGCTCCCACTTCCCTATTTGTCCAGGGGGACACTTTATTTAAACATGGTTTTATTATCTAATTTACCTTACTACTGCCCCATCACAGCTCCTATCCCCCCCATCCCCCTACCAACCAAGTCCCCTATACCCCACTACACTAACTACAACCAGTGGTGTATCTTGGTTTTGTGCTGCCCTAGGCCGGACAAAACTCAGGCGCCCCTCTCCCCCCGCGCCACCCCCACCCAACCCTTCCCCCCGCCCCACCTTCTAAATACACACACACACACAGTCAGACACATACACACACACACACACACACACACAGTCAGACACATACACAGACACAAACACACACACACACACATACACAGGCAGAGACACACACACACACTCACAAACACAGTCAGACAAAAACACACACACACAGTCAGAGACACACACACACACTCACAAACACAGTCAGACAAAATACACACACACAGTCAGACACAAACACACACACAGTCAGACACACACACACACACAAACACACACACATACACAGTCAGACACAAACACACACACACACACATACACAGTCACACACACACTCACAAACACAGTCAGACACAAACACACACACACAGTCAGACACAAACACAGTCAGACACAAACACACACAGTCAGACACATACACACACACAAACAGAGTCAGACACAAACACACACACAGTCACACACACATAGTCAGACACAAACACACACATTAACTTTTTTTTTAATTTAAATCCCCCCCCCCCAACCTCCTTACCTTTGGGAGTGCTGGGGGGGGTCTCTCTCCCTGGTGGTCCAGTGGCTGCAGGGCGGGCGGCGCTGGCAGGCGGGCGGCTGGCGAGGGAGCACTTCCTATGAGCTCTCTGCTCAGCTCCCTCACGCGCCGGCTGCAGAGTGAAGCTGGGAGCCGGAATATGACGTCATCTTCCGGCTCCCAGCCTCACTCTGCGGCGTGCAAGGGAGCTGAGCATAGAGCTCATAGGAAGTGCTCCCTCACCAGCCGCCCGCCTGCCAGCACCGCCCGCCCGCTCGCCAGCGCCGCCCGCCCGCTCGGGATGTCAGTTAGCCGCAAGGCTAACTAGGCATTTGCCCTGGGCATTTGGGGGGTGGCGTTTTTTGCCGCCCCCTGAAAAATGCCGCCCAAGGCAAATGCCTTGTTTGCCTCGCAGCTAATACGCTCCTGACTACAATGCCTATTATCCTCAGGCACCCACTACAGCCCCTTCACTCATGCACCCACTACAGCTACACCCTCTCCAGACCCTACTCCCAGGCACTCACTACAGCCCCTAACCTTCCTCCAGACACCTTCTAGAGCCCCTGGAACCTTACACCCTCTATCCCCCTACACCCTCTACAGCCCCTATCCCCTTTCACCTTCTACAGCCCCTATCCCCTACACCCTCTACAGCCCCTACCCCATGCACCCTCTACAGCCCCTATCCTCCTGCACTCTCAACAGCCCTAGCCCCAGGCACCCACTACAGCCCCTATCCCCCTACATCTACGACAGCCCCTGCACCCTCTACAGCACCTACCATCCTGCACCTACTTCAGATACTAGCACCTCTAGAGCACCTATACCTCCTGCACCCTTTACAGCCCCTATCCACCTACACCCTCTACAGCCCCTATCCCCTTGCACCCTCTACAGCCCCTATCCCCTTGCACCCTCTACAGCTCCTATCCCCTTGCACCATCTACAGCTCCTGCACCCTGTAGAGACCCTAAAGCCTCATACACCCACTACAGCTCCTGGTACCCCCATGTACCCACAATTCAGCCGTTACCCTCATGCACCCACTACAACCCCTATTAACCCATGCACCCAATACAGCCCCTATTACACCCATGCACCCACTAGAGCCCCTATCCCTTTCTGTGCCCACTACAGCCCCTATGTCCTTTAGCACCTACTTCAGCCCCTATGTTCCCACACACACCACAGCTTTTATCCTACTTACATATGCACTAGAGCCTCTATATACCCCACACACAGTAGAGTCTCCATTTTTCATACACACACACACATACTACAGCCCCACTAACCCCCAGATGCCTACTACAGCATCATCTCAGGCACACTGCAACACAACCAACCTTCACTACTCACATACTACACTGCAAACAGCCCCATCCACATACGCAAACCCATGATTATCCTCACAGTATACACACAATCCTGCAAGCAGCATCCCCACACGTGTAAAACCACATGCAGCCTCTTTAACCATGCACATCACAAGTAGCACCCCAACCATTGCAATACTGCTGTCAGAACTTACCAAAACTCCATTCCCTCTGGGTTACTTCCACTCCTACGTAAAGGGTTCATAAGACCATCCACGTCTTCTGTTGCTTCAGGGATGTTCTTCGTGAGGAATAAGGATAAAACAATAAGCCTATTATTGATTACAGAGAATTAAACAAAAGAACCATTTAAAACTGATATCCCCTACCATTGATTCCAGAACTCATTGACAGATTGAGAACAGCCAAAATCTACACTAAATTGGACTTACAAGGTGCATGTAGTTTAATCCGGATAACAGAAGGGCACGAGTGGAAAACAGCCTTCCGTACCAGATACGGCTTATTTGAGTACCTCGTCATGCCTTTTGGGCTCTTCAATGCCCCTGCTACATTTCAACACTTTATTAACAATATTTTTTAAAGATTTATTATATTATTGTGTAATCATTTATTTGGATGATATCCTAATTAACTCAAACAACATCCAAGATATTTGAAAACATGCAAGGTGGGTTTTATCCCGACTCAGAACACATAACCTATATGCCAAACCAGAAAAATGTTTATTTGAAATTTCCCAACTTGCTTTTCTTGATTATGTTATTTCTCCCCAACAAATACAAATGAATGATTCCAAAATTAAATGCATATTGGACTGGCCCATTCCTAAAAGCCTTAAAGAATTACAAAGCTTTTTAGGCTTCGCTATCTTCTACAGGAAGTTCATAAAATATTTCGCCCTTTAAATTATCTAAACAGTAACAAACATTCTTTCAAATGGAATGACGAAACCCAAGCAGCTTTTGCTCATCTAAAACAAAGATTCACTGCAGCTCCCATTTTAAAGTTGCCAAATCCATTGTTACCTTATGTTCTGGAGGTGGACGCCTTCGATGAAGCAGTGGGTGCCGTATTACCCCAACAAGAGACTTCACAACCTCCTCTTCATTCCGTCGCTTTTTTCCCCAGACCCTGACTTATACTGAACGGAATTAACGCATGGGGAGAAAGAATTATTGGGAATCAAGGCCAACTTCGAAAATTGGAGTCACCTACTGAAGGGACAAGAAACCCCTATAATAGTCTACACGGATCACAAGAATCTTGAATATTTAAACAATAACAAAACATTGTCTGTCAGACAAGTTAGATGGAGTCTTTTTTTTTACTGTTTTAATTTTCATTTTGTTCATAAACCAGGGTCCAGGAATAAGAAAGCTGATTTCTTGTCAAGAATTCCACATCCTGTTTCTCATAAAGAAAATCCAATGACTATTTTAAGGCCAGGTACTTTCATCGGACTATCATGTACCTTAATAGATAAAATCAATGAAACACCTGCTTCTGAGTTGAATTTACCAACCAAACATGCGTTACAGAAAAGAAATGGCATTTATTACAAGGAAGATAAAATATATATCCACCCAACTTTAAGGAAAGAAGTTCTACGAATGATTCATGATTCCTCTCTGGCAGGACATCCCGGTATAAAGAAAACCTCTGAATTATTAAACAGATTATATTGGTGGCCCCAGCACAATAAAAGCGTTTCATCATATTTTTCATCATGCTCCATTTGTCAAAGATCCAAACCAGACCTACAGCATCCTTACAGTCTTTTAATGAATTTACCAATCCCAGATAGACCATGGAAATCATTTTCCATGGACTTCATAGTTGACTTACCTCCTTCTCAAATATTTACTACCATCCTCGTCATTGTGGATCGATTCACCAAGATGGCTCATTTCCTTCCATTAACCAAGATACCCACCTCATCTGAATTATCCAAATGTTTCATTTCCAATATAGTTAAATGACATGGATTACCAGAGGAAATTATTTCAGATAGGGGAACCCAATTTACCTCCCGTTTCTGGAAGGAGCTATGTTCTTCCCTTCAAATAAAACAAAAATTATCCTCCTCATATCATCCCCAAACTAATGGACAAACAGAAAGAGTTAATCAGTGTCTCAAACAATACTTAAGATGTTATTGTACCTACCTACAGGATGACTGGTCCACATGGCTACCCCTTGCAGAATTTTCTTTCAATAATTCCATTCATTCAAGTACAAAGATGTCTCCCTTCTTTGCAAACTATGGTTTCCATCCAAGAACACTCCCCACAGATCTTGTTCAAAACCATAATCCTGCTGTTAACATTCAACTTTCCAAAATCCATATGCTATACAATGTCGCTGATCTAGTGTGGCTTTCTTCAAAAAACATCAAGGCCAACCGTCCTTCGAAGAAATTAAGCTCTCTCTACCTTCGTCCTTTTCCTATTGAACGAATCATAAATGAATCCGTAGTCAAATTTACTCTTCCACCTTTAGTCAAGTTACATCCCGTATTCCATGTATCCCTACTAAAACCTCACAAACCAGACCCTTTCATTAGGAATATCCAAGACAATCCTGATCCTATTATCATTAATGGTCAGGAAGAATACGAAGTTCAAAAACTACTTGATTCACGTCTTCATCATGGCTCATTACAATGTCTGATTAGATGAAAAGGATATGGTTCAGAAGATGACACTTGGGAAAGATCTTCCGATGTTCATGCTCCTAGACTAGTCTCTACGTTTCACAGACATTATCCCTCCAAACCTCCTTGGGGAGGGGGTCCTGTTGGAACTTAGCAAAACTTTGTTCCCTCGGGGTTACTTCCGCTTTTGGAAGTAAACTCCTCCCACTTGAATGATGCAAGACTCACCTGCCTTATAGGGGAGCCGCTCCAAATTCAAACTGCTGAGTGATTCTGTCTCTTCCCGAGAACACTCCTCACAATTCAGGGGGGTGAGGCACTCCTGGTACCATAGCTGCTATAGCAAGCTGTAGTTGTTATGGTGTCTGGATTGAAATTTTAAATAGATTTTAATGTATTATTAATATTATGCATTTAAATGGGGGGAAGAGATGATTGTAATTTTTGCTGTTTGTTTACCTTTAAGAAACAGCAGGCAAATACATTTTCATAGATCAGTGATCAACTCATTTTAAAGAGACACATGCTAAAGGAAACTCAAAGCAGGAGGCAAGCATTGGAATTAATGCTTTTCTTTGCAAAGCATCAGAAGAGTGTAGTGATTGCCACACAAATATTGGAGTTCCCCAATGCTTCTCTGAGTAGTATGAGATTGGACTGGAGATCATCACAAATGGTGTCCTGGCCCCTGGAAATTAGATTTGTTTATTTTATTTTACTAATGATACCGGAGGGGTTCTAAGTCTAAAACAAAAAAGGGATACCTTAGCATAAATAATAATAATATATATATCTATATATATATATATATATATATATAGATAGATATATACATATACGTGATGTTAGAGGGTTCCTTTTAAAGCATTAACTTTTTTGATTTTAGAAGAATTAATATATTTGTTTTGATTGTGATGGCGGGTTTATTATTTATATTTTTTCTTCTCTTTACTTTTTTTTCCAGAAAATCACTTGCTGGGCCGCGTTGTGGTTGGGCCATTTATGTATGCTAGAGGACGTGAACTCGAACACTGGAATGAGATGCTCAACAAACCAAAAGAACTGGTGAAGCGATGGCACGCCTTATGCATTAGTACCTGATGTGGAGATCTGTTCTACCAAAAAGGACATTCTATGTGTTGGGGACAAAGTAGAGCAACAGTGCTGTTATTGGAACCCTGTAATCTCTCTGATTGACTATAGTGACCCACCCATTGTTCAGACTGTGTATAAAGATGGACATTCACGTAGGCTTTGTTGTAAAATGCAAAGGATAACTTAGCAGATGGTAGTATTGATTCAGTGTTCATTTTATGTGAATTATCTGTGGTCAAAGAAAAACACAGATAGTGACAGTATTTGTAAACAGCTACAAGAAAATAAGTGAAATACTCTAAAACATAACAAACACACATATCCCTTAATATAAAACAAAAGTGTACAAATCACATAGTGCTGTGTGATAGGTTGGCTCTTAATGAATACAGTTATTGTAAGGTGATGAAAGACCAATTGGTTCATAAAAGTAACTCTGCAACAAGGAATCTAGTATTGTGTAGAGAGGCAAACATGCACAATCCATTAAGTAATGGTGTCAAAACATCAGGGACAGCTGAATAGTCCTGCATATTATCAGTAACACACCTTTATGGTGATTTCGTTATTAGTTGTTTACAATTAATATTATCAGGTTTTGTGTTTTCATTTTACTGAAATTTTCCAATCTGTCCCTAAAGTTTCTCTAGCTGTTATTGAAGAACACATGTATCCAAGATGCACCTCTGTCGAAGTTTATTGTTAAATATTTGGTGTTCTCTCTATTTGCTTTTGTTACAGATGGCGTATATGTATTAAAATACAGTTAAAGGAACAGCACGACCACAAAAACAAAAATACCATTGTAAATGTTACAAGGCAACTGAAAAACACCTATCAAAAAGAATCAGACTGCACAGAAAAAATAGGAATTGGGGGCACACCCACAACATGCATTTTTAAGCAGTGAAACCTATACAAAATACAGTTAAAGAACAGCGCACACACAAAAACAAACATACAGTTTTAAATTTTACAAGGCAACTCAAAATGACCTATCTTGGCAAACAAACGTATATGTTATGTCTGACCCAAGGATAGGGACAATGTCATTAAATCATTTGATGGTGCAGTGCATCAGGATCGTTTCTATCGTGAAGGTACGTTTTATTTTTGTTAATGAAATACAGTGGTAAACTAGTATGGAGTAAAGGGTAAAAAAAATTCAACTTCCCAAGATAGAATAAACATGGAATTCAGCAGAATTCAACGGAATTCAACTATCTTGGCTCATTTCTTGTCCTCTCTAGACATGTTGTAATGTCTTCTGATGTAAACATGCTGAATTAAAAGTGCTAATATCATGAACTCAAAATCTCTTTCTTGAAGTGAAACAACATGAAACATAATCTTTGATATGCGATTATATTAATATATACTACTTTTTAATTTGTGTGCTACTTTATTAGAATAAAAATCATGTGTTTGGTTTTGTTGATTATTTTCCCTGTAGTTTGATCTACTGCATGGGTAGTCAACCTGGTCCTTACCGCGCAGTAGTGGGCGGTTTGGGATTTTAGGTCGGCGGTGGTGGGTTCTGCAGAAAACGCCCAGTGGGCCTCGATGGCCGTGAACCAAGGCCGGCAGCGGAGATCCTTTCATCTCCCCTGCTGGCCCATGCAGAGCCAGCCTTGCTGTAAGCCCTCTTGGGTTGGTTGATCAAAGATCTCCCTCGCCAGCCTGCTGGCACTTAGGGAAGGGCCTGGGAGGCTCTGTGTTTCTCCCGTGAGCAGGCTGGTCGGAGCGTTGTTGCGCGTTAACATAGCAACGCTCTGATACAGTGCTGTGCTCACAGGAGGATAGGAGAGTCAGCCGGAGGAGCTGCAGGCTAAAATGAACAAACCACCACTGAACCACCAGGGCTTGCAGCATTATGTCCACCCACCCTGGTAAAAGGTAAGAAGGGATGGGGAGACATTAAGATAGATTTTCACATCTGAACCACCTACACACAGCATAGACCCTATGCATCCTTCACACAGCACCCTACACACACATACAGCACCCCTCACACATGCACACACTGCCCCCCACACACTGTATCCCTTACACACACTACCCCACAATGCCCCTTCACACACAGTACCCTTCATACATACACAGCACCTCTCACAAACACATCACTTCTAACACACACACACACTGCACCCCAGACACACACACACACTGCTTGCCTTACACACACTACTTCCCTCACACACAGCTTCCTTCACACACACTGCCCCCCCCACACACACCCTTAACACACAGCACCCCTCACACACACACTTCACCCTTCACGCACATACAGCATCCTTTACACACATACAGCTCTCCTAACCAGGCATTGGTGGGCGGTAAGGAAATTTTACCATCAGCAAAGATACAAAAGTGGGCGGTAGGTATTAAAAGGTTGACTACACCTGATCTACTGTTTTTCCTGAGTATTCTACAAACAGAAATGTATCTGTTCAGAACACTGGCAGCAGTCTGATATGCCCTGACTAGAAGATGAAAAAAATAATTGAGTGATATCACAAAGAGTTAAATCAGGGCTGGCACTTTCTTAAGGCAGCGCTGGAGGCATTCTGATTTGGGTGCGCATAAAATGCCCCCCAGTTAGCTCAAGCAAAGCACCAGCCAATTTCACCCACTGTAGTGGAGAAGGTGGGTCCAGAAAGCTTTCAGGTGCAGACTTGGTATATGGCTCCAAGAGCTCCTGGCCATTCAGAACATTGCAGCAGGTTCCCACAGCAATGCTCTGATACTATTAGGCTGGAACCCAGTGAGAGCCTTTAAACCAGGTCAGAGGGTGCAGACCAAAAACTCTCCACACTGGCATGTCTCCCCTCCCTGTTGCAAAGTAACAACAGGGATAGGGGAATAAAATTCATTTTTGTTTTAATAATATAATATAATTGTATTTTTCATTATACATTATACAAATCCTTATGTCACCCTGTCACACACACAAACACAGCCCCTATCCCACACTACATCACTGACACATATGTACTGTGTCCCCAACACACGCAACATCCCCTACACAACTTCTCACAGCCTGCTTCCCCTATACAAATGCACTGCCTTTTCCCTATGCACTGCATTCGCCTTACTAATATGCATGGTTTATCCCCTGTACACATACAAATACACACTACATCCCCTGCACTGACACACTGCACCCGCTGCATACACTATATCCCCTACACACAATACCTGTTCCTCTTTTGCCCTTTTGTATCCAACTTAGGGAGACACCAGAGACAAGTTGCCAGCAGTCATGAGGTTTATGACTGTGGAACTCTGTGATGCTGACGTACAACATGCATGTTACTCTGGGTTTTATAGCTGTGGAGCTCTGTGATACACTGCTATGCACAGGTGTGTTTTTTTCTGTGAAGCTGTGTAATACATATAAATGCACTGACTTTAGCTGAAGTAGGACGTACAAACCTTAAATGCCCACTCCAAGTACCCTAACAACCCATGTTTATTGTGCGGGTCATGGTGCAAGCAGGTCCCTTATCATAATGTCATGGAAAACAATGGGTTATAGCTGCAGCGATTTGTAAAATATCCCTGTATCAATAAGAATGCCTTCACATCCTCCTTTACCTTTCAAAATCCTTCCAAGTTCTCTGTATGCCATGGCAGACGGGAACACACTGTAAAAGTTGCTGCTCTACCTCTTCACACATGACTATGTGGACATCCTTCTTCGATGGCTTAGGAAAACAACATGTACACCCCAGTTCAGAAAACTGTGAATGGTATTGGCCAGAAACAGTAAATGGCAGTACAGTGAGGATCAGCTTGTTTAGCAGCTCCACCTTGCTGTGTGTAAGTGGAACTTCTGGGACTGGATTACAAATCTCATAAATTCCAAGTGAATAGAATATGCTATGTCTAATGGAAAAGAGGTGGTGTGGACCAGGGCAGTATACTTGATACCTATAGCGGTGACTGGTGGCTGGTCCTTGACGTGGGATTCAAACCTGTCCAACTCCACTATTAGTCCTTCTTTGGCTAACAGGAAGCACTCCAGAGAGCAATATCATCATCACTAGATCCATCATCATCTCTACAAAGACTAGACATTGGTTACACTACCCTGGTACTCTGCTCTAACTCTTCAGTAAAAAGTGGCACTGATAACATTTTAAAAGTCTCTTGTGAGCTCTATCTTAGTTGCTTCTTGGTGGGCTCCAAGCAAAAGAAAGCAACAAGTCCACTTGTTTTAATGATATCTTGCTACATGCACCATTAATCACAGATGCCGTAACACTTGATCTAGCTGTCGCAGAAGGAGCTGCAGTGCCAGTGGAAGCAACAGCAAACATTTTTGCAGCATGAAAAGGTTGGGAAAAATTAAATCGCTGCTTCATGGTAAATCAGACTTAATGGACATGCTGGCAATCCCACTATCCCAAGGCTGAATACTATTAATAGGAGTAGTAGACTTGGTAGGGGAGGCAGTGGTGGAGGAGGCATCAGTGGACGAAATTTCAGCAGCTCTCATGGCCGAGGTGTTCAGATTCTCAGAGGCCATGAAGCTGTCACAAACTTACCTTTATTCGGCGCCCACTCCTCTCCTCCGTTACCTCAGTCCTCTGTCCTCTGTCCACGGGGCTCGAATGCTCCCCGTTGCCGCACGGCCTGAATATAATACTTACCTTCAGTCCCACGAACAGCTCCCTCAGTTTAGTATCTAGATATATCAGCTTAAGTATACATCACCATTAGAGAAGCTTGGTTGTCTCCTTGCCACACATGACTGGGGGGAACTCAGGCAGTCACTCAGAGAGACCCTCTCTTCTGGGAACAGCAGAAACCAGTAACAAGCGTCCGCATTACAGGTGGGTAGTTCTCCAAGGGAGCGCAAGATTCCCTTAGTCTTATATACCTATCTTCAAGGACAGTCAGTAGTTCCTTATCAGTGCAGCCCAGCAAAATACCTTGATACAAGCAGGTGGATGTACCTGGCAGTTGGCCAGACTGTTCAGGACCACCAGTACTCATGCCAAGTCTTGTGCGGTTAATTATCTCTTATCTACAAGCTTTCTTTGTACTGTTCTAGAGATGGCAACATAAGTTTTTTGATGGCAACATAAGTTTCTCAAACTGCTGAAGTGCTGTGGCAGCTTATAGTGCTGTGTCAGCTTAGTAAACAGATGTAGTGCTGTGTCAGCTCTTAATAGCTGTGGCATAAAGCCTTCAAGCCTGCATCTAGTAATTGTGGCCTTCAAGCCTGCATCTAGTGTGCTTCTGTAGTAGCTCCTTGGTAACAGTGTTGCAATGTAAACCTTCCTCCATGAGTTCAAATCCTCTGTGCTACAAGAGCCCAAGCACTGTGGGTCACAAGGAATTTGCTGCGTATTTATAAAACTTGATACGTGTTACATCCACAGAAACATGTGGATCAAGTGCCCATATTGTTTGAGGGATAAGCCAAATGACAAATGATTTAGGTAAACTAGAAAAATGGTCAGAATTGTGGCAACTGACATTTAATGTGGATAAGTGCAAGATAATGCATCTTGGACATAAAAACCCAAGGGCAGAGTACAGAATATTTGATAGAGTCCTAACCTCAACATATGAGGAAAGGGATTTAGGGGTGATTATTTCTGATGACTTAAAGGTAGGCAGACAATGTAATAGAGCAGCAGGAAATGCTAGCAGAATGCTTGGTTGTATAGGGAGAGGTATTAGCAGTAGAAAGAGGGAAGTGCTCATGCCATTATACAGAACACTGGTGAGACCTCACTTGGAGTATTGTACACAGTATTGGAGACCGTATCTTCAGAAGGATATTGATACCTTAGAGAGGGTTCAGAGAAGGGCTACTAAACTGGTTCATGGATTGCGGGATAAAACTTACCAGGAAAGGTTAAAGGATCTTAACATGTATAGCTTGGAGGAAAGACGAGACAGGGGGGATATGATAGAAACATTTAAATATATAAAGGGAATCAACACAGTAAAGGAGGAGACTATATTTAAAAGAAGAAAAACTACCACAACAAGAGGACATAGTCTTAAATTAGAGGGACAAAGGTTTAAAAATAATATCAGGAAGTATTACTTTACTGAGAGGGTAGTGGATGCATGGAATAGCCTTCCAGCTGAAGTGGTAGAGGTTAACACAGTAAAGGAGTTTAAGCATGCATGGGATAGGCATAAGGCTATCCTAACTATAAGATAAGGCTAGGGACTAATGAAAGTTTTTAGAAAATTGGGCAGACTAGATGGGCCGAATGGTTCTTATCTGCCGTCACATTCTATGTTTCTATGTTTCTAGTAATATGTGCTATGTGTGCTTATATGCTTACCGGTGCCATCTTAACTATCTATAAATGTTTGAGTTGCTCAATAGTGATCAATCAATCAATCATACTCAATTAATATGGAATATTATCACATTCCATCCCTTGATCACTCAGTGAGCAAAACCTCACACATTTACACATACCATTCAGGTTATCAGCAGGGGGAAAACCCATTTACCCACTTATTCCCATTATGCTCAATTCACACCTGGAACCGATTCAAGCCTAATTAAACTCTTCTAGCGCTACACTATGATCAGGGCCGGATTAACATAGGGACTGGTGGAGCTGCAGCTCCAGGCCCAAGCCCAGGCCCATGGAATAGACCCATTGA